CATCACCCACCAAGTGCCGATTGGTCTATCAAATATAGTTCTAGTCCTATATGCCTAGTACATGTGAAGGCATGGAAAAGGGTCCTTTACCGTTCATCACATTATTACACTCACATAGTCAGAACCAACTCTTACTTAAGATGCTTAGTCTCTGGTGTTTTTCTTTTTTAACTTCTTAACTCTTTTACTGGGAGAAGCAGGAACACTTCCAGTTGGGGTCAATTCCCCATTAATGTCACATTTCCAACTGCCCTATGGTAACCTTTTCATTGTGTGCTACTGCCTGTTTTTGTGCTTGAGTTTAATCATTTTTTCCTTTGAGTCAAATAGCTTTTTCAAAACCAAGATGACATCACATTTTCCCATAGCCTTAGTGATTGAGGTCATTGGGTCATGGATTTAGTCATCAGGTGCATATGTTTATTCAGGACATGGGGAATGTTTTTTCTTTACTTCTTAACCCTCTTCATGTTCATGATCCCTTTATATATATTTATATTTGAAAAAAAAAAAAATATAGAACATTTAGATAAATAATTTTTTTTACAAATGTATTAGTGACCTGTGTGTAACATTTCTGATTATTCATGTTTGAGTCATTCTCAAACTTTCACTGGCATGTGTTAAAAGTTTACTATTAAAATTAAAAAAATACATAAATTGGCTTCAAAACTATATAATTTAGGCTAACTGTCTGACTTTACTTGCCATTTAAAAATGGCTGCACACTTCTTTCGTCTGTTAAGGCCAAGGGCACAATACTGCTATTTTCACTCGCTTGTAATGTGCAATTTTAATAGGAATGGGTTCTGAACCATGCAATGGTGTAATATGCATGTGAGTTCAGACTCCCCTCAGGATGTATTTGGCATCTGCTGGCGACAATTTGCCCAGTGTAGTGAGTCATCTGCTCCTGATAATTAATGTTTGCATTAATAATGAGGTTAGATACTGAAAATAAATTATGTACTTCAGATGTACTGGGTTAGAGATGTAGAAAGATACACATCTGAACACAAGTCAAGCAAGCAGATTGACAGGCATATGCCAGATGAAATAGATAATTTATTACATGAACTGAATGATTGAGAAAATACATAGAAATGAAAGATTACTTAAGCAGAGAATGATCGAGAATGATTAGTCTTGTTTTGGGTCTTGTTTTGAGATCCCGTAACGGTATGTTTGTTGGCAGAGTTGAGTAAATCAAGTTACAAGCGGATGACTGAACTAGATTTGGCTGCAAGTTCTTAGACAAAAACCTGACCACCCGTTTGCTTTGACAATTCTGGTCAAGGCTGGATGTTTGTTTAGTATGGAACATTGTCCATGTCAAGCTTTTGCTAGGGGATTGTTGATGTGTATTTTCTTGATGAGGGTAATTATTCACCGATGTGCACATTTTGCTATCAATTGTTGAGTTGTTGTCCCTAGACCATCACCCCAGTGTGCATTAGCTTGGAGAAGGGGTGTGAATAAACAAATATTGATATCAGCGGTGTGCTCCTCTCAGTCATTGATTCAACATGTTGAAGCAGGAGTCAGTGTGCATCTGAGAAGTCTGCAGCTGACTGAAGTAAGAGAAATGAGCACAGTCATTGCACCCAGTCAAGACAACCCATAGATGGACATGGAGAACCAAACAGGTAAGCATGCTGGAGCTTGCAGGAAGCGAGTGAAATGTGAGAGTCTCAGCATCAAGTTTGTTTGTGTTCTATATTGGAACTATGCTTTGTTCAGTCAGCGCTGCCCCATTCTCAAAAAGCTCCTCTGCGGCAATGACATCATTGTCCTACTAGAAACATGCCTCAATGACGAGATAGTTAGAATGGGAATCTTTCACTGTTTCTACAGAAGACGTCACCTCGGACAGGTCACTCTTGTACTGACGACATACCAGTGTCTAAGGTAGACAAGTCCGAATGGAATAGTGACGACATACCAGTATCTGAGGTAGACAAGTCAGAATGGAATAGTGATGACATACCAGTATCTTAGGTAGACAAGTCAGAATGGAATAGTGACGACATACCAGTATCTGAGGTAGACAAGTCAGAATGGAATAGTGACGACATACCAGTATCTGAGGTAGACAAGTCAGAATGAAATGGTGACGACTAACAAGTACACACAATCAGAGTGTTGAGCGTGGCCCAGTAGGTGATTGCTCATGTGTATGCCTGCAACGGATAGGTGTCTGCATGGAAATGGTAGAGTCTGCTCCAGATTGAAGAAAAGAACATCCTTTACTGCAAGGACTTTAACACCAGGTGCTGTGGTTGGAGTCACCTTTATTTCCATTCCAAGATATGCAGGTGTCAATGGAAATAAAAGAGCTGATAGGTTGGCTAGATCTGCTATCACTACTGACAGACAACCTATGGATCATACTGATAATATTAATGCCCTCCAAAAATGGGAATCGTGGAAGACTTTGGGGGTAGTAAATCCACATCACTCACCAGAAGGATAGATTTGGGAGTTGAGATCAGCATAGCAAAAACGAGAAACACACCAGGCAAATTAGAGGACTTGTTAATCAACCTAAAACTGGTACTATTAGCCACCAGATGCTAGGGTACATACTGAAGGTAGGATCTGGGCACTTGTGGATCTGTCTGGAGTGCAATGATGATAACCCAACTAACTAACTAACTAACTAACTTTCCATTATTAGCTGCCTTCATTTCCCTGTTACTAATTACCTTAACATCCCTATTACTAATTACCTTAACATCACCATTACTAATTATCTTGATATTCCTATCACTAATTACATCATCATTACTGGCTGAATATACTCTAAGTATCTGTCCAAAATTATTAATTACCAATGAATCTGATAGTATAGTTAGGCTTGATCTCTGCATTTGTCTGTCTGTACAGCAACATATTTGATACTTCCCTTTCCTGCTGTAGCTGTTATTGTTCCTATATGCGTCATGGAGAAGATAATAAGAAAATGAGATGGATATGGAAGTCATTACAAAAGAAGAATGAAGAGGAGGAGGTGTTAAAGGAGAAAGAGAAGGAGAAGAAGAGAAAGAGAAGTAAAACTTACCATAGACCTCTAAGTCAAAGTATTTTTCTGCAAACCCAGCCTGGTTTTCTGCATGGCAAGTGTAGCGAGCCTTATCTACTGGATGAGAATCAACAATCTGCAAGGTCCTCCCTTGATCTAAAATCTGAGTCAAAAACAACATTTGAAGTTAACTGTATGTGTCCCCGCAAATACACTGTGTTATCATTCCTGCACCACATTTAGCAAGCACTAGTTGAAATATTTACATTTGGTCTCTACTTTCTAAATAATTCTGGCACAGTTATCATCATTATTTCCCTACAGCTGTCAAGCCTCGTGAGGAGTAATATTTGTGTTGCATAAATTTTGGCACTATTATGTCATCACTCCCCCCATTTCATTTCCTCCCTAATTCTTCAGCAATACAACAATGCTCAGGTGCTGTCTCCACAATGAAGTTTGGCTGCATACGGATGTGAGTCGTGGACCATCTCTCAGTCCTTAAGAAAGAGAATAGGGATTTGACCTGAAATGCTATAGAAAGATTCTCAGAATATCTTGGACAAAGAAGAGGAGAAATACAGACATCTTGAAAGATCTGAACATCAAGGAAGATTGGCTAATAAACAGCATCCTGTCTCGGAAGGTGAAATATTTTGGTCATATCAAGCGCCACGATGGATTGGAAAAAAATTATAGCAGAAGGCACGGTACCAGAAAGGAGGGGCAGGGGCCAATGTGACTTCTTCCAAACAATGTGACTTCTTCAAAACAGTGTGACTTCTTCAAAACAGTGTGACTTCTTCAAAACAGTGGGACTTCTTCAAAACAATATGACTTCTTCAAAACAATGTGACTTCTTCAAAACAGTGTGACTTCTTGAAAACAATGTGACTTCTTCAAAACAATGTGACTTCTTCCAAACAATGTGACTTCTTCAAAACAGTTTGACTTCTTCAAAACAGTGTGACTTCTTCAAAACAGTGGGACTTCTTCAAAACAATGTGACTTCTTCAAAACAATGTGACTTCTTCCAAACAATGTGACTTCTTCAAAACAATGTGACTTCTTCCAAACAATGTGACTTCTTCAAAACAGTGTGACTTCTTCCAAACAATGTGACTTCTTCAAAACAGTGTGACTTCTTCAAAGCAATGTGATTTCTTCAAAACAATGTGACTTCTTCAGCACAACGTGACTTCTGTGAAAGACGGTTCATGACCGGGTCAGACACAAAAATAATGTTGATAATGATCTTGTACAGTGTTTACATAACTAACCTGTTTGTGCCCATTTTCTTCAATGATGACGGCTCCATCTTTAAGCCATAAAACTGAAGGGTCAGGAGTTCCAGAGACTGCACACCGCATGGAGATAGACTGACCTTGAATTACATGTAGTCTGTCTGGAGTTGGCTTGCCAATGGAAGGCGGTACTGGTGGTAGTATTAAAAAAGAAATGCATGTATATAAATATATTTCTTCAATCAGCAGGTAATATACAGAACTCTGATCTTATCACGACACGCCTGAAAGTCTCTCTTTCTCTAGCTAATTCTCCAACCTTGTGTGCTTTCTTAGCCATTGCATCTCCAATGTGTTGTATCCACCTTTGCAGAGGGGAACTGCATACTACATAATCATTCTCTCCAGACCACAAGTTTCTGTTTAGAGTTTCTAAGAATATATAATGTGGTAGTCTCACTTTCTGTCTGTCTCTCACTCTGTATATACACACACACTCACACACACACACACACACACATACACACATAATACATACATATATTTTTTGATCCTTTGTGTATTTCCAGATGATAGTATTATTAGACTGTGCTACAGGAAGAAATGGGAGTTACGGCCCATGGAAAATTGTGCGTTTGACTTGCAGGACCTGCTCAGGTTAATAAAAGTCTTATGAAAGGCGTGCATGGGATTTCAGAACTGTTGTTACCATCTCTTGCTAACATGTAGCTGACATGTTTATTATCTGTTTTCATTTCCATGCAATGTGAAAATGTGTGAAAGCTGTCAAAATGTGGTTCTGCAGAAGAATGATGGGAACACCATAATAATGGATTTTCCCGGGAACTCATCACAAAATCGTGGAGTCCCTGAGATGGCGTGAGCTAAAAGAAAAGTACCTCAAATACCACTTAAATAAAATTTTTATATTTAAACATTAAAATCTGTAGCCTTTCAAATCATACTTAACGAAATGTATGACATGAAAACTTTAATAGCACTAAAGCAATCAAACCTCACCGAAGACCTGAACAGAATAATCCACCTCGTCCTGGCCAGCGAGATTTGTGGCTTTACAGGTATAGTTTCCAGCATCACTCAAAGTGATACTGCTGATTTCAAGTGTTTGGCCATCATCTAGCAAACGACGTCTTGGATATGGAAAATCTACATAGGGTACCTAAGAATGTATAATATAAAAATATTATTTATCATCATCATGTAGCATGTCCTTTGCAGAACGTCGCTCTCATCACAGTCTCATCACAAGAAACACGGTCTCTCGCCAGCTCTCATGCCTCAAGTGCTTATGCTCAAGGAGTCACTTAGATCCTGTGCCCATCTTCGTGTCGGTCAGCCCCTGCCCCTCCTTCCTGGTACCATGCCTTCTGCTATAATTTTTTTCCAATCCGATGTGGCGCTTGATATGTCCAAAATATTTCAGCTTCCGAGACAGGATGCTGTGTATATATATATGTTAAATTATTGGATATGTTTGCTGATTTGTTAGTTGGTTCCACAAAAATTCTCTGGACACTTCTCTGGTTCAAACTCCGCCCCATGTGTATTTTTGGATGTTATCTGTCATGGACTTTCTTCGTACTAGGCTTGTTGTTTCGCTTGTTTGTTTCCAGCATTGTAGACACGTTGCTTACACTAATAATTCAGATATAAGGAGTTATTGTAACATCTATCTGTGACAGAACACAGAAAGTTATTACATTATTGTTTGACTATTATTAAATGACTAAGAACAACTAATGAGATCGTTGGTACCCAGAGAGTTAATCTTCTTCTTCTTCAGCATTTTGAACCCTTTAGGTTCTTTGTTGCAGATATCACCCATCTCAGTTCATCTCTCTGGTTGGCCTTCTCTTTCCAGTTTGTGACACCAAGTGTTTGCAGGTCTGTCTGGTCATTATCTCTTCATCTTCTTTTTGGTTGGCCTCATGGTCTATGACCATTCATCTCTCTTGTGTATATAGTTTTTACTCTCTGTCATCTGACATTCTTTCAATAAGTCCCAACCATTTCAGTCTATTAGCTCTCATGCTGTCAGTGAGAGTTAAATGATAAGTGAATTATAAACAAAAATACTTGATTAAACAAAAACAATTATAGTTACCTCCTCCTTCAACCACTGAATTTCTGGTTCAGGGATTCCAGAGACGGGACAAAAGATTTTTATTGTCTGGTTATGAATTGCGACTATGTTGGTTTGCAGTGAGTCTCGGCCAATGGTTGGTGCAACTGGAGGGAAAACCAAGGAAACAAAATAATTACCAGCAAAAATGAAAAGTAAAGTAAAGGGCATATGATGCTAAACTCAGATTTTGTAAAGACCAATTGGCACTCAGCAGGTGATGTGGCTAGCATCATGCTGGCTACCTTTACTTCCCAGGACTTTGTCTGGCATCAATTATAGGCTTGGTTGACCTTGGAGCAAAGGATATTTTGGGGGAAAAATTTCTGACTAGATGCAGATTCAAACCCTAGACCTCTGATTTGACCAAAGAGAAACTAGCTACCACCCTGCTGTGGCTTCCAATAATTTCAGAACTGGATTTTTATCACCAATGTTAGCTCGAAAGTTTTACTTCTTAATACAATCTATGCCTTGTAGTCACGTATAAACTTCTATCTCATGTATTTTCAACATATTCTGACACAGATGAACTTTCATGATGCCAAACTGTCCACCATCTTCTCTCTTGGCCTCTGTCTGACTCTTTTGCCCTCCCACATTCCCACCATCACAATGTACTTCAGCTTTCTCCTTCTCATGATATGGCCAATGATTCTCATGACATGACCAAAGATTCTCATGACATGACCAAAGATTCTCCTGATATGACCAAAGATTCTCATGACATGACCAAAGATTCTCCTGATATGACCAAAGATTCTCATGACATGACCAAAGACTCTTATGATATGACTGAAGATTCTCATGACATGACCAAAGATTCTCATGACATGACCAAAGATTCTCACGACATGACCAAAGATTCTCATGACGTGACCAAAGATTCTCATGACATGACCAAAGATTCTTATGTCATTTCATTGCAGCTTTAGGTATTCTCTGTTCATCGTGACTTAAAATGTACCAAATATAGCACTATCTTCTCCGACTTACAACTCTTGGCACTAGTGGTTAGCCTGACATTTATTTAAAACATAGTGTCTCACACACACACAAAACCCATCTCTTTCCTTTCTTCTTTTGACCTTTGCATTCACATGGAGAACATGCATTCTCTTTTATAATACTGGTATGCTGGGATGATGATGCTGGGATGACAATTAACATGTATATCTCTAGATACTGGTCAGAGTAACTTGAACCCTATCAAGTTGATTGGTTCAGAATCTAAATCATAAGTGCTTTGTCCCCATCTTTAGCAGCCAGCGAAGAGTTTCAATGCTAGTGGTGCCAGTAGCAGCTTGATTGCCTGTCTGTCTTCAATTTTTCCTTTGACTGTTGAGTATCAGCCAGATCACTCCGCGCAGCACGATTCTCTTATTATCACAATGACACTTTACTTGCACTCAAGGGGTCTGGATTAGTTAGTTAGTCTTTCCTCTTGTGTCGAGTACGGCACATAGGGCAGAGGTCATGACTCTCCATACATGGCGGTTCGTTGCAATCCGTTGTAGGTCTTGGATGTTTAAGTGGCCCATGAGCGAGCCTTCCCTGATGATAGTTCTACGTAGGGTTTCCCTTGGTCTTCCACGAGATCTTTTCCCCTGTGGTGTCCAAATGAGGGCTTGGTAAGGAAGTCTTGATTTATCCATTCTAAGGGCATGGCCGACATAGTTCTAGCGGCATTTTCGTATAAAATTAGACACATACTCTTGCCTGGATTCTTGCCTTATAGGGGTCTGGATAGCTTCTACCAATTTTACTACCAAGTGATGCAGAACCAATCATTATGTCTGCCTATTCATTAAAAAAAAATATTTGTTACCTTTAATTAAAAAAAAAACATTAATATTTAGAGTGCAATAATCTTGATTCTGTGAAAAGAGACTGAACACACTAAATTTGGGAAAATAAAGTAAACAAGCAAACAAAAACTTACTGAGGACTTCAAGATTGAAATTTCTCTCCAACTGTCCTGCTTCATTTGTAGCAGTGCATGTGTAGAAGGCGGTGTCTCCGATGTTGACACTATCAATTTCCAGGATCCGGTTGTCACTAAGAATACTGCACATTGACAGATCAAATATTAGGGAATGTTCTCATGAAAATAATCATTGACAAAAAGAAAATATCAAGGCAGACAACTGAGGAAGTACTGAGGGTTTTTGGGAGGGGAAAAATAGACTCACTGCCCCTTAATAAACATAACAGGGTTGTTTTCTGTAAAGTCGGAGAGCATCTATTGGTGAGTGAGGAACTAATGGTCTGCAAACAAATAAGCCAGATTTGTTGAATGAATGTGTAAGCACAACTCAAGTTCTAGAACAAGCCTAAAGTCCACAAGTGGACAAACAACAAAAACTGTCCACCGGAGTTTACAGCAGGTGAACACAAAGAAGAAGGAGAATACAACAGAGAATGTGACTAGAAAGTTCAAAGGTGGGAACAGAAAAGACACACACAAATATAACCAAACTATTTGATCACATTCTTCATCAGTGTTGCTTTTGTGCACGTCTTTTTTATCCATACAGGTCTCTTTGGAGAAGTAGCTAAGCTGTTTGTCTCATGCTCTGAAGGTCATAGGTGTCTGTATGGAGAAGTGGTCAAGCTGTTTGTCTCATTCTCTGAAGGTCATTGAGGTCTGTATGGAGAAGTGGTCAAGCTGTTTGTCTCTTTCTCTGAAGGTCATTGAGGTCTGTATGGAAAAGTGGTCAAGCTGTTTGTCTCATTCTCTGAAGGTCATTGAGGTCTGTATGGAGAAGTGGTCAAGCTGTTTGTCTCATTCTCTGAAAGTCATTGAGGTCTGTATGGAGAAGTGGTCAAGCTGTTTATCTCATTCTCTGAAGGTCATTGAGGTTTGTATGGAGAAGTGGTCAAGCTGTTTGTCTCATTCTCTGAAGGTCATTGAGGTCTGTATGGAGAAGTGGTCAAGCTGTTTGTCTCATTCTCTAAAGGTCATTGAGGTCTGTATGGAGAAGTGGTCAAGCTGTTTGTCTCATTCTCTGTAGGTCATAGGGGTCTGTATGGAGAAGTAGCTAAGCTGTTTGTCTCATGCTCTGAAGGTCATTGAGGTCTGTATGGAGAAGTGGTCAAGCTGTTTGTCTCATTATCTGAAGGTCATTGGGGTCTGTATGGAGAAGTGGTCAAGCTGTTTTGTCTCATGCTCTGTAGGTCATTGGGGTCTGTATGGAGAAGTGGTCAAGCTGTTTTGTCTCATGCTCTGTAGGTCATAAGGGTCTGTATGGAGAAGTGGTCAAGCTGTTTGTCTCATTCTCTGAAGGTCATTGAGGTTTGTATGGAGAAGTGGTCAAGCTGTTTGTCTCATTCTCTGAAGGTCATTGAGGTCTGTATGGAGAAGTGGTCAAGCTGTTTGTCTCATTCTCTAAAGGTCATTGAGGTCTGTATGGAGAAGTGGTCAAGCTGTTTGTCTCATTCTCTGTAGGTCATAGGGGTCTGTATGGAGAAGTAGCTAAGCTGTTTGTCTCATGCTCTGAAGGTCATTGAGGTCTGTATGGAGAAGTGGTCAAGCTGTTTGTCTCATTATCTGAAGGTCATTGGGGTCTGTATGGAGAAGTGGTCAAGCTGTTTGTCTCATGCTCTGTAGGTCATTGGGGTCTGTATGGAGAAGTGGTCAAGCTGTTTGTCTCATTCTCTGAAAGTCATTGAGGTCTGTATGGAGAAGTGGTCAAGCTGTTTATCTCATTCTCTGAAGGTCATTGAGGTTTGTATGGAGAAGTGGTCAAGCTGTTTGTCTCATTCTCTGAAGGTCATTGAGGTCTGTATGGAGAAGTGGTCAAGCTGTTTGTCTCATTCTCTAAAGGTCATTGAGGTCTGTATGGAGAAGTGGTCAAGCTGTTTGTCTCATTCTCTGTAGGTCATAGGGGTCTGTATGGAGAAGTAGCTAAGCTGTTTGTCTCATGCTCTGAAGGTCATTGAGGTCTGTATGGAGAAGTGGTCAAGCTGTTTGTCTCATTCTCTGAAGGTCATTGGGGTCTGTATGGAGAAGTGGTCAAGCTGTTTGTCTCATGCTCTGTAGGTCATTGGGGTCTGTATGGAGAAGTGGTCAAGCTGTTTGTCTCATGCTCTGTAGGTCATAAGGGTCTGTATGGAGAAGTGGTCAAGCTGTTTGTCTCATTCTCTGAAGGTCATTGAGGTTTGTATGGAGAAGTGGTCAAGCTGTTTGTCTCATTCTCTGAAGGTCATTGAGGTCTGTATGGAGAAGTGGTCAAGCTGTTTGTCTCATTCTCTAAAGGTCATTGAGGTCTGTATGGAGAAGTGGTCAAGCTGTTTGTCTCATTCTCTGTAGGTCATAGGGGTCTGTATGGAGAAGTAGCTAAGCTGTTTGTCTCATGCTCTGAAGGTCATTGAGGTCTGTATGGAGAAGTGGTCAAGCTGTTTGTCTCATTATCTGAAGGTCATTGGGGTCTGTATGGAGAAGTGGTCAAGCTGTTTGTCTCATGCTCTGTAGGTCATTGGGGTCTGTATGGAGAAGTGGTCAAGCTGTTTGTCTCATGCTCTGTAGGTCATTGGGGTCTGTATGGAGAAGTGGTCAAGCTGTTTGTCTCATGCTCTGTAGGTCATAAGGGTCTGTATGGAGAAGTGGTCAAGCTGTTTGTCTCATTCTCTGAAGGTCATTGAGGTCTGTATGGAGAAGTGGTCAAGCTGTTTGTCTCATTCTCTGTAGGTCATTGAGGTCTGTATGGAGAAGTGGTCAAGCTGTTTGTCTCATTCTCTGTAGGTCATAGGGGTCTGTGTGGAGAAGTGGTCAAGCTGTTTGTCTCATTCTTTGAAGGTCATTGAGGTCTGTATGGAGAAGTGGTCAAGCTGTTTGTCTCATGCTCTGAAGGTCACTGGTTAATTTTACAGATGGGTCATGCAGTTGATGATGGCAGTTTGTAGGAAGATTCAATGGTGATTGTTGCCACATGTGGTGGTTAACAGACATGTTGGAAGGAAATGAGAGAAACTGGTAGTTAACATACACGTTAACAACAACTCCATTTTTACCCTTGGTCTGTAACTGTTGATGCATAAGGCATTCACAAGAGATGTGAAAATAGATCTCTGACATCCTTGAGCCTAAACATGTTGGCAACTTTCTGTCTTTCCAGACAATAGTGTTCTAATGCTCTACACCAGGAAGGCTAACCTGGTAAACAAATTTAGGATGTGCTGAAAGGTGCAAATATTGCAGCCATGCACAACGTGGCTAGGCACAACGTGGCTAGGCACAACGTGGCTAGGCACAACGTGGCTAGGCACAACAGTTACATCTTTGGATAAAAGCAGAAGAAGATACTGCACTAGGAGAAGGCATGGGAATCACAGGCTATGGTGATAGCAAGTGCGACTAGCAAGACCCACCCATGCCAAGAAAAGTCTTTCATAGATAGCACATAGAATTCCATGACCATTATTGCCTTAACGTGTATTTAGTAAGTTCCTTCTCTGAGGTTCAGCTCTTATCTTCTCTGCAATCATGTCTCCTTCTCTGAGGTTCAACTCTTATCTTCTCTGCAATCATGTCTCCTTCTCTGAGGTTCAGCTCTTATCTTCTCTGCAATCATGTCTCCTTCTCTGAGGTTCAACTCTTATCTTCTCTGCAATCATGTCTCCTTCTCTGAGGTTCAGCTCTTATCGTCTCTGCAATCATGTCTCCTTCTCTGAGGTTCAGCTCTTATCTTCTCTGCAATCATGTCTCCTTCTCTGAGGTTCAGCTCTTATCTTCTCTGCAATCATGTCTCCTTCTCTGAGGTTCAGCTCTTATCTTCTCTGCAATCATGTCTCCTTCTCTGAGGTTCAGCTCTTATCTTCTCTGCAATCATGTCTCCTTCTCTGAGGTTCAGCTCTTATCTTCTCTGCAATCATGTCTCCTTCTCTGAGGTTCAACTCTTATCTTCTCTGCAATCATGTCTCCTTCTCTGAGGTTCAGCTCTTATCTTCTCTGCAATCATGTCTCTTTCTCTGAGGTTCAGCTCTTATCTTCTCTGCAATCATGTCTCTTTCTCTGAGGTTCAACTCTTATCTTCTCTGCAATCATGTCTCTTTCTCTAAGGTTCAACTCTTATCTTCTCTGCAATCATGTCTCCTTCTCTGAGGTTCAGCTCTTATCTTCTCTGCAATCATGTCTCCTTCTCTGAGGTTCAGCTCTTATCTTCTCTGCAATCATGTCTCTTTCTCTGAGGTTCAGCTCTTATCTTCTCTGCAATCATGTCTCTTTCTCTGAGGTTCAGCTCTTATCTTCTCTGCAATCATGTCTCCTTCTCTGAGGTTCAGCTCTTATCTTCTCTGCAATCATGTCTCTTTCTCTGAGGTTCAGCTCTTATCTTCTCTGCAATCATGTCTCTTTCTCTGAGGTTCAGCTCTTATCTTCTCTGCAATCATGTCTCTTTCTCTGAGGTTCAGCTCTTATCTTCTCTGCAATCATGTCTCTTTCTCTGAGGTTCAACTCTTATCTTCTCTGCAATCATGTCTCCTTCTCTGAGGTTCAACTCTTATCGTCTCTGCAATCATGTCTCTTTCTCTTCTTGATTTTGAGCATAAAGATAACCTACCGTATATTGTTAAAGTTTTCCACTGGTTGTCCATTGACCATCCACTGAACGGATGGAGTGGGGATGCCATGAACTGGACACTCCAGCTCTACTCGCCTCCCATTGTTCACTTTTCGATCATATACAACATTAGACTCATCAATGGATGGAGGCACTAAACAAAAAAGGACAAATAAAATAACACAAATTCAGTTAAGAAAAAGAAACACTAAAACTGTCAGTGTTTTACATACAAAATATGACTCATCAGTGAAAGGATGCAATGAAAAAGACAAAATCTGTAAATTTTGTAATATCTGAACTGAAAACAATATGTCAATATGCAACATATAATATGGTTTATTAATGGAAGGATGCACACACGCATGCACACACAAATCATTTTGTCATACACATATGATCATAACAGTATAACAGTTATACTGTTATAAGGTTTTCTTAAATGAATGACATTATAAATACCTACAAGCATGTGCTAAAAAAAAAAAATTATATAGGACAAATAGTAACCATGGAAATTAAATATCGGTGAAGGGCTGCAGGAGTGACCAGAAGAGATAAAATCAGGAACAAGCTCATAAAGGAAAAAGTTGCACAGAAAAAAATTCTTAATTACATTTAAAGACAGCAAATCAAAGCTTGTCCACTTAGAGAGAATGCTTTGTGACTCCAGACTATACGAGGTATACACGAAAAGCAGAGAAGGATGTAGAGCTTAAGATGGACCAAGAACAAGATGGAAAGATAAAATCTAAACAGCATAATGTGTCTATGGTCAAGATTGCTAGAAAAGCAAGAAGCAGAATCTTATATCTCTCCCGACACCTGCAGCAGTAAGGAGGAAGTGAGGAAAAGTAAAAGAAGATAAATATTTCTCAACCTTATTTAGACCAACAGTTACAATCAGGCAACATACCTAAAACAACTAGATTAAAATCCGCCTTGTCTGTTCCTGCAGGATTTGCAGCAATGCAAGAATATAAAGCTGCATCAGATTCTGCTGCATCAATTATGCGCAGCTGTAACCCATTACTGATCATCTGAATACGAGAACTTGGCTCCATTTTAACACCAGCTCGTGTCCAGGTGATGTTTGGGAAGGGAATGCCAGAAACTGGGCAGTTGATAAGGGCAACATGGCCTTTGATAACACGAGGATTTGACTCAACTGCTGCGTCATCTATTACAGGAGGAACTGTGGATAAGGTTAAAAACAAAGACATGTTGTAGTAAACATCAACTGTCACTATGTGGGTTCCACGACCCAACTGTTAGGGGGAAGGGGGGGGGGGGTAGAGGGAACAAAGCTTGCTAATTAGAGGTGTTTCCTTGAAAGTTAGAGTGCATTTATCCGAGAGGCAAAGAACCAACAGTCTGCATTCATACAAGCTTGTTCTGTAAAGCAGATGTACATGCAAAATTCAAGTTCTGGAACAAGATTTAAGTCCTGAAGTGGATTTAAAAAAAAAAGTATGCCAAAGTTTACAGCTGGTGGACAAAAAGTAGAAAAATAAGAAGAACAATATGAAACATCAGATAAATGTCATGTTACTGAAAGTATAATCTAAAATACACCACAACTCTAACAGAAGGAGACAAAAGGTGCAAGGAATGTTTTGAAAGACATTTAGCTCATAGGCAGAACTCCCCCCCCCCCCCACCTTTATCAAAGTAGGAGACAATCAACATTCTTTTGGCATGTCATGAGAAGAGTTAAAGGAGGTATGTTGTGACAGGCAGAATGTTGGAGGGGGAAAGAGGAATGTGAAATCCAAGAGAGAGGAAGTTATTCAGTCTGGTATCATTTATGTGAGAACTTCCTTCTTCTTATGATCCATGTCACACAGATGTTGGTAGTCATGTCTATCCATGTCACATAAATGTTGGTAGTCATGTCTATCCATGTCACATAGGTGTTGGTAGTCATGTCTATCCATGTCACATAGATGTTGGTAGTCATGTCTATCCATGTCACATAGATGTTGGTAGTCATGTCTATCCATGTCATATAGATGTTGGTAGTCATGTCTATCCATGTCACATATATGTTGGTAGTCATGTCTATCCATGACATACAGATGTTGGTAGTTATGTCTATCCATGACACACAGATGTTAGTAGTTATGTCTATCCATGTCACACAGATGTTGGTAGTCATGTCTATCCATGTCACATAGATGTTGGTAGTCATGTCTATCCATGTCACATAGATGTTGGTAGTCATGTCTATCCATGACACACAGATGTTGGTAGTCATGTCTATCCATTACACATAGATGTTGGTAGTCATGTCTATCCATGTCACATAGATGTTGGTAGTCATGTCTATCCATGTCACACAGATGTTGGTAGTCATGTCTATCCATGTCACATAGATGTTAGTAGTCATGTCTATCCATGTCACATAGATGTTGGTAGTCATGTCTATCCATGACACATAGATGTTGGTAGTCATGTCTATCCATGACACATAGATGTTGGTAGTCATGTCTATCCATGACACATAGATGTTGGTAGTCATGTCTATCCATGTCACATAGATGTTGGTAGTCATGTCTATCCATGACACACAGATGTTGGTAGTTATGTCTATCCATGTCACACAGATGTTGGTAGTTATGTCTATCCATGTCACATAGATGTTGGTAGTCATGTCTATCCATGTCACAAAGATGTTGGTAGTCATGCCTATCTGTGGCCTTTTGTCTTGTGTATTTTCAAACATTTGTGACACAGATGATCTTCTATGCCACGCTGTCAATCTGTCAATAATTTTATTCGGTCTTCCTCTGCCTCTTTTCCTTCTAACATTCTCACCATCATGATGGAGGAACAGCTGAATAAATAAGGGTGTTACAACTGACAAAGTAGTGTGAATATACATGACAGTCATCGCCTCATACATGACAGTCATCGCCTCATACATGACAGTCATCGCCTCATACATGACAGTCATCGCCTCATTTCATAGACAGTTAAATGATGGTTAGCTAGCATTCTTTGGATATTTTCTGCAGATTATGCCTGAGTGTTGGGAAATGAAGAGGCAGATAGATTGGCTGGTTCTCCACCACAAGGTGGTAAATTAATACATACATACATACATACATACATACATTCATTACATTACATTACATTACAATACACTACACTACACTACACTACACTACACTACACTACACTACACTACACTACACTACACTACACTACACTACACTACACTACACTACACTACACTACACTACACTACACTACACTACACTACACTACACTACACTACACTACACTACACTACACTACACTACACTACACTACATACATACATACATACATACATACATACATACATACATACATACATACATACATACATACATACATACATACATACATACATACATACATACATACATACATACATACATACATACATACATACATACATACATACATACATACATACATACATACATACATACGTACATACGTACATACGTCCGTCCGTCCGTCCGTCCATCCATCCGTACATTGAACATTACAATGGTGAAGATAAAGAAGATAAAGATGATGATAACGATAACATATATTCAATTCTTACCCCAGACATCCAGCTCATAAACCTGCTCTGCTTCCCCCGCCTCATTAGCTGCTATAAACAGAAGAAGTTGGCAGTGAACTTGGTTTTGTTTCAGTAAAACAGACAACTACTTTTAAGTGTAATCAATTTTGTTTTTAGTTAGAATGATTCATTTATTTCTTATAGTTGATTAAATTACTAATGTAGTATGCCCCTGATAGGATATGGGATACAGCAAAATATTCCCTCATTTTCCTGTTGTACCATTATATGCCACATGGGGCTCACAGTTTATTTCTCCATTCCATTCTATCCTGCACAATAAGTTTGATATCATGGATGGAATCCAGTTGAGCAGCTCTCAACGTACACCTGAGGGTTTTCTTGGACATCACTTCAACATCCTCATTTCCTAAATCCCTCTGTTTCCCATTTCAGTGTTTGTTGGTGATTCTCTCTTTATCTCATCCCAGAATGTTTCCAATATAAGACAGTTCTGTCTTACAACAAACGATGTAGTGGTTGCCCAGATATTTCTCTTAATTCTTCATCCCTCTTGAATTCATCCCAAATGCCAGACAATAAATTATGCAATCTCCTGGTTGTGTCTTCTTTCATCACATTGTTCTTTTAGTTACTTCTGAAACAGGCTTGGTTAGTAGCTGACGTAGTGAAGCAGCTAGATGTTTGCCTGAGGTCCAAAAGTTGTGGGTTTGAATCTGCATTTAGGCAGATTAAAAACAGAAAAAAAAAAAAAACATTCACCTACACTTTCAAGTTAACCCAGTTTAAAATGGGTACCAGTAAAAGCCTAAAGAAGTAGGTCAATCTGCAATCATATGGTGGAAACCTGGGTTTGAATCTCAGTAAAATGAATAAAGTTATTTTCTGTGTTTTCTGTCTGAGCAAAATTAAATATTATAACTTGCAGTTCCTGAAAACTGCACTAGCCATGTAGCCTTTAATCCCCAGGCTTAATTAAAAAAAAAAAAAACACACACGCACGCACGCACCCACGCACGCAGGCACGGACGCACGCACACACACAAACACACACACACACACACACACACTTTGGTTACCTGGTCGACCCTGCCTAACATGGAGCCAAAAAGTCCTGAAAATCACAGGTACCAGCATAATGCTGGCCAGTTAATTAAAAAATTACGTGGAAGCAGCAGATATATGGTTCTATAATGAATGTTGAGAAAACCTTTGAAAAATCAGGAGTAATGTAGATGTCCTCAAAGAAACTGACTCACGAAGAGAACTGACTGCCACCATCAGAAGGAGACTAACAACATTCTTTGGTCATGTCATAAGAAGGATAACACTGGAGTACATTGTGATAACTGGGACAGTTGGAATGGAAGAGAGGCAGAGAGAGACCAAAAGAAAATATACTGTGTACAGTTTATTATTTTGGCATTGCAGATTACAAGCGTCAGAACCAGTTCAAAGTAAGTTAGATAGAAAGTTGTCGATAGATATGACTACCAATGCCACATGGCATGGACTGTAAGTTGTCGATAGATATGACTACCAATGCCACACGGCATGGACTATAAGTTGTCGATAGATATGACTACCAATGCCACACAGCATGGACTATAAGTTGAAGAAGCATGAGTTTAGAATTAACGTGTCTAACTGAGGGTTGCCAATAGGATTATTTATAACTTGCTATACCACGACAGTTAATGTAAGACTGGCTATTAACATGTAAAAAACTGTAGCTACAAAATCAAAATAAATCATGAATAAGCCTGGTAGTCTGGTAGTCTGGTAGTCTTAGTTTCAGCTTCATAGCAAACGGGTCACCCCATCTTTGCTCCACTCCTGTGCCAAAGAAAAACACACAGAATGTTTATCACAGTATTAGAATTGCAGTTCATCATTGATGGTAGCAGAAGTCGCCAAAAGATCAGCAGTTGCCCATGCGATCAATTTTAATCACATACGGGCACCACAACACTGCACGACAGGCATCGCGCCATTTTCTGAATATACAATTCACACTAACATATTGGTCACAGTCGAAAAAACATTCCAAATGCAATCCGCAGCTCACAGGGTCACGCCATACATTCAACTCAGAAGCTGGGCGACGAAACTATATCCAGTCTACAAATGGAGCAAAAATGCATCGGTCACCGTCCGGCAGAAGCAAAAAATTTGCCTCTGTTTCGAACAGTGCCGCTGCCTAACGTCCATTTTGACCGGAAGTCATACAAAGGGTTTGAATCAGGATGGTTGAGGGTGGTTGAGGGTCTATGCTTTTTTTGGGAGCTGAAGGAAGAAAAAAGTAGAAAGAGGAGGAGAAAGGAAAGGAGAAGGAAGGAAAAGATAAGGAGAAAGTGAAGAAGAAGAGGTGGAGGAGGATGAGGAGAAGAAGATTTTATTTTAAAAAAAAAAAAAGAAAAACATAAGTATTTTACCTTGAACACTTAACTGGAAACTCAGACTGTCCTCTCCAGCAGTATTCGTGGCCACACACCTGTATCTGCCTGAATCAAACACCTGTGCACTGTAAAGCACCAACTCAGTTCCACCCTGTCGGGTCTCCACAACACCTGGTCTCAGGTCCGCCGGCTGGCCATCTTTAAACCACTTGATATCTGCCACAGGGACACCCCCAGCTGGACAGGAGATGACCACAGAAGTGTTGACCACGACCTTTGGTTGGCTGTTGATCCCCTGTCTCTCAATCTTTGGTGGGACTGATCAACATACAAGAAATTTAACAACAGATGTTTAGTTAGTGCTACAGATGTTTAGTTAGTGCTGCAGATATTTAGTTAGTGCTGCAGATATTTAGTTAGTGCTAACGATGTTTAGTTAGTGCTGCAAATATTTAGTTAGGGCTGCAGATATTTAGTTAGTGCTGCAGATATTTAGTTAGTGCTACAGATGTTTAGTTAGTGCTGCAGATATTTAGTTAGTGCTACAGATGTTTAGTTAGTGCTGCAGATATTTAGTTAGTGTTGCAGATATTTAGTTAGTGCTGCAGATATTTAATTAGTGCTACAGATGTTTAGTTAGTGCTGCAGATATTTAGTAAGTGCTGCAGATGTTTAGTTAGTGCTGCAGATATTTAGTTAGTGCTACAGATGTTTAGTTAGTGCTGCAGATATTTAGTTAGTGCTACATATGTTTAGTTAGTGCTGCAGATATTTAGTTAGTGCTACAGATGTTTAGTTAGTGCTACAGATATTTAGTTAGTGCTACAGATATTTAGTTAGTGCTACAGATGTTTAGTTAGTGCTACAGATATTTAGTTAGTGCTGCAGATATTTAGTTAGTGCTGCAGATGTTTAGTTAGTGCTACAGATGTTTAGTTAGTGCTACAGATATTTAGTTAGTGCTACAGATGTTTAGTTAGTGCTACAGATATTTAGTTAATGCTACAGATGTTTAGTTAGTGCTACAGATATTTAGTTAGTGCTACAGATATTTAGTTAGTGCTGCAGATGTTTAGTTAGTGCTACATATATTTAGTTAGTGCTACAGATATTTAGTTAGTGCTACAGATGTTTAGTTAGTGCTACAGATATTTAGTTAGTGCTGCAGATATTTAGTTAGTGCTGCAGATATTTAATTAGTGCTACAGATATTTAGTTAGTGCTGCAGATATTTAGTTAGTGCTACAGATATTTAATTAGTGCTGCAGATATTTATTTTACATGGTGCCCATACTTGGGGAAAATTACATTTTGTTTCATGGAAACCATTTTTATTCTCAACAGAACACGTATAAGCACTGTTGGAGTTATGCTTGTAATGGTATTGATTTGTTAGTTTTTTTTCTGCGTATGTAAAAATTTGGCACAGCTGCTACAGTAACAGGATTCAGAATTACATTCCATTGTTGTAACTTAGTGATAAGCAAATTTAATGGGAACTATATTTATCACTGTCAGACATAAAACCTAATGAGTACAAAATCATAAAACAAAGATGTCATGTCTCAGAAGAGCTGCCATTGAAATGAGAAGAGGTGAAATTGAAAGTGAAGAAATCAGAAGGAGACTAGGACTTAAATCAGTCACAGAATTCATTAAAGAACAACAGAAGGAGTAGAATACAACCCCCACCCCCTTCCACACACACACACCCATTTTTTGCCCCTTTCCAACAAGCTTCTGGCAAGAGGTTGCTAATTAGAGGATTGTGAAATTTGGATGTGTTGAGTTGAAAGGCTCAGATATCACAGGCTAGCTGTAAACCACAACACAACATGCCCATCAACCTGATGGATGATGACTGAAAAAAAAGAAGATTCCATCAAACATTGTAGTTCCATGTTTTCACTTGGTGGAATTTACAACAATAACAACAATCCAACAACCTTATCGAGGCTCGGCTCTGGTGACCGACTTTTTTGTAATTTCTTATTTTCCTGCGAACTGTAGCTCACACATCATCATCATCATCAAGTGCCTCGCTGACTGGTGCTGGTGATCATGCCTCTCTACATCTGATCTTCATCAGCCTACATCAGTTTGTGTGTTGACTACTCTCTATGCCATGACAACAGAATTATCTTGCATTATCTTCCTCATTCTCCTTTTCCACAGATCTTTCCAATGGTCACAAAATGTTCCAGTTTCCTTTTCTCATAAAATGACCAAAAACTGATGACAGTCTCTTTCTGATATTTGTGATAAGTTGTCTTTGAGCCTTCACCTATTTCAAAACATCTGAGGTGCTCATTTTGACAGTGCAAGGAAATCTAAGGATTCTTCTGTAAAGCTTACTACATGTACAAATCCTGGCAAGCCCTGATCAACTGTAATGTTATAGCTGGGCTCCTGACGGTTATAAAATCACCTGAAATCTGGACCAGGCATTTTGCAATAACTCAAAACTAACCCTACGTCCGGGAGATGAAGAAACTTGGACAACGCAAGGAACTCATGGACTTGGTGATGTTTGGCGTGGCCCTGTGTCATGTGACCCCTGTGGTAGCCACCCTGGATCACTGTTCTAGACAACAGGCATCTATTGAAGTTGCAAAAGGCCTAGCAAGTGGGCAGTGGATTCATCACTGGACATCGCACAAAGTGATAAACATCCGGTGACACAAAGTGTCACCGTGCAGATGAGGATCACCCATGGAGAGGTCCCAGAAATCCCCGTTCAGCCGTTAGGCTATATTTATGGCCCGGCTCTATTTAGGGCCCCGGCAAAAGCCAGGGTAGGGCTTCAAATAAAGAAAAATTGCATCCCACATGACTAATGACTGCTTCTACTTCATAAGAAAAGAAATGTCAATGAAATTTACATAGAAGAAGAAGAAGAAGGAGAAGCAGGAGGAAGAGGAGAAGAAGACGATGATACATAAAAAACTTGAAAGCATGTCATAAGTGGCAACTAATGAGGCCTGGTGTGAGAGTTCTTAAAATGCAAAATGCCAGTGATCATGAGAAAGCCTACACAGGGCTTCCCATGAGTTGCTTAACCAAAACAACACAAAAAAAGTAAAGAATGTAGAAACTTGACCACCATCATCATCATATAGTCAATATCCATCTCCCTGGGTGATAGCATTAAATTGTCTATGGGAATCACAGCCCATGGTGATGGCCGGTGTGACTAACCAATTCAGGCCAGGCATAAAGTTGTACCTCTCCATAGCCCACAACCTGGGAGTCTTGTAGAGACCTTGTACCTCTCCATAACCCACAACCTGGGAGTCTTGTAGAGACCTTGTACCTCTCCATAGCCCACAACCTGGGAGTCTTGTAGAGACATTGTACCTCTCCATAGCCCACAACCTGGGAGTCTTGTAGAGACCTTGTACCTCTTCATAGCCCACAACCTGGGAGTCTTTTAGAGACCTTGTACCTCTCCATAGCCCACAACCTGGGAGTCTTGTAGAGACCTTGTACCTCTCCATAGCCCACAACCTGGGAGTCTTGTAGAGACATTGTACCTCTCCATAGCCCAAAACCTGGGAGTCTTGTAGAGACATTGTACCTCTCCATAGCCCACAACCTGGGAGTCTTGTAGAGACCTTGTACCTCTCCATAGCCCAAAACCTGGGAGTCTTGTAGAGACATTGTACCTCTCCATAGCCCACAACCTGGCAGTCTTGTAGACATTGTACCTCTCCATAGCCCACAACCTGGCAGTCTTGTAGAGACCTTGTACCTCTCCATAGCCCAAAACCTGGGAGTCTTGTAGAGACATTGTACCTCTCCATAGCCCAAAACCTGGGAGTCTTGTAGAGACATTGTACCTCTCCATAGCCCACAACCTGGGAGTCTTGTAGAGACCTTGTACCTCTCCATAGCCCACAACCTGGGAGTCTTGTAGAGACCTTGTACCTCTCCATAGCCCACAACCTGACAGTCTTGTAGAGACATTGTACCTCTCCATAGCCCACAACCTGGGAGTCTTGTAGAGACCTTGTACCTCTCCATAGCCCACAACCTGGGAGTCTTGTAGAGACCTTGTACCTCTCTATAGCCCACAACCTGGCAGTCTTGTAGATACCTTGTACCTCTCCATAGCCCACAACCTGGGAGTCTTGTAGAGACATTGTACCTCTCCATAGCCCACAACCTGACAGTCTTGTAGATACCTTGTACCTCTCTATAGCCCACAACCTGACAGTCTTGTAGAGACATTGTACCTCTCCATAGCCCACAACCTGGGAGTCTTGTAGAGACATTGTACCTCTCCATAGCCCACAACCTAGGAGTATTGTAGAGACCTTGTACCTCTCCATAGCCCACAACCTGGGAGTCTTGTAGAGACATTGTACCTCTCCATAGCCCACAACCTGGGAGTATTGTAGAGACCTTGAACCTCTCCATAGCCCACAACCTGGGAGTATTGTAGAGACCTTGTACCTCTCCATAGCCCACAACCTGGGAGTATTGAAGACACCATGTGCTGGCCATCCAGTATGATCCCTGGCTCACCTTGCCTTGTTTACTGATTATATAAAGCAAGCAGGTGCTCTGTAGTTGACTGATTATATAATCCAAGCAGGTCCTCTGTAGTTGACTGATCATATAATCCAAGCAGGTCCTCTATATGACATCACATAATTCACGCTATCCAAGAGACATCAACCACTAACAATTTCACAGAACATTAACTTCTCCTTGTTTTATAATTACAGTCAGGGAACGCCTACCAGAGAAGTTCAACAACTATGCAAGAACCAACCACCAACACAGCAGGAGTTGTCTGAGCAAACACACAGACAAACATGAATAAAAGGAGATCGGGGCAATTTCCGATATACCTGACGTGCAACAAAGTTGCTCCTGTAATGATCAATGAACAATATCAGAAGCTGCAAACTGGAATTTACATACAACTTACCACAAAATCTCAGGAATTGGTATTCCTGTGGCAGGGCAGTTGATGACAGCTGTGTTGTTGACAATAACTTGAGGTTTTGTGTCCAGATTTTCTCTGTTGATGCTCGGTCGGACTAGAAGGCAAAATTTTGCACATGTTCATCTCTTACCTCATTACGTGATGCAATTATCAATTCTTCTACGTGATCACAACTACACTACAAAGGTTAGACATGGTACAAAATCAAGCACTCAGAGTCATAACAGACAGGATGAAATCAACACATATAGCTGTGATGGAGAAGATCAAGATGATCCAAACACTGACACAAGGCAGAGACATCAAGATACTAATACAAGCAGAACAGTTTCTGAGCATGCCTAGATACCCTATGAAATAAATATTCAAAAATATAGTTATGGGATGACTGAAAAAGAACCAGTTTCATCAACCAGGCCCAACTCTGCAGTCAAACCACTGATCTCCCTGCAACTGTTAAATGATATTCCACAAGGGAATATTGAGAGGAACATAAGTTGCCAGTCCACATCCAGATAGAAGTGAAAGGAGTATTCGACAAGGAATAACAAAGCAGGGTGCAATGTAAAACAGAAACCTTGATGATAAATATCTACAGAATCTTCAAGCTCACATCTACATGGATAGGTCAGCACAAAACAAAAGCAGAAACGGAGGAGCAGGAGTGGACACTAAGTATCCAAATATCCATAGAGAAACAGCCAAAATAGCACCAGGAAAATGCTGTCACAATTATGATACAGAAGTTCCAGCCATTAAAACAGCAGCAGAGAAACTATTAAATATATCAAAGCAATGTTTCCCCCTTGTAAATTTGAACAAAAAAGACACAAACGTGATGACTAAAGACAAATCATTTCTAATCCTTCAATGGCAGAACGCTCAGATTTTTCTAAGCTTCCATGATTTGTCACCTGCACCAAGAACTTTGTATTCAGAAAGAGATGGTTCTGTCTTTACGTCTGCCCTGGTAAAAACAGGCAGTCATGTTTGATTGTTGTTGAAATTGTGCTTCAGTTGTAAAGGATTCACTTATTTGCTTCATTTATGTAATTGTTACTGTAGTATACACCTGATGAGATACAACGAAATATGCCAGGCAATAAATTGTGCAATCTATTGTTTGTGTCTTCTTTGTTCAAATACTAAATATATGTCACATTTCCCAAGCCATGGTATTCTTGACAGATGCAAGAGCGGTATTTCAGGCACTCGAATCTGGAAAATTGCCTGGTATATGGACACTACTCTCCAAACTAGGGAAAATGTTTAAGGTAGTCTGTGAAGTGGATACAATCCCACTGTGGAGTTCCTGGAAATGAAAGAGCTGATAAACTAGCTAAGGAAGGTACAAATGAAGAACAACCTGGTGTACCAGTCTCTTATCAACAGAAGAGAAGAATAATCAAATCAGTCAGAAAGCCTCCAAAACTGGCACAAGCTGATTACCATATTAACGGACGGACCAAAGCAAGTCATTATTGTACGCATTACAACAGGACACAATTGACTTTGCAGAAAAATTTATACAAAATTTAAGATTGGCAAATTGGCTCTGTGCACATGTGTTAGTTGAGACAACAGATCACATCCTCCAAGGATGTCCCAGGTACAACAAACATATCAAGGCAAAACTTCTGGCCAAGAGAAACACTAGTGGAAGCCAAACTGTACGGGTCACTGAGAGAATTACAAAAGACAGTGAAGTTCCTACTAGAGACAACATTGCAGATATAAATAATCTATTTCAAGCAAACAAAAGAAGAAGAAGACAATTTTGTCGCAGTTCCAACTTCACTGTAGTTGGGTCACAACATAATTGCTTTGTTCCTGTACCAGAGAGAACCCCACAGAATGTCCGTCATTGTCCCTTGAAGAATTGACATAGACCAGTCCCAACAAAGCCAACATCATACAAATATTAACTCTTTGTGTCCCAGGGGATTTAGCACCAGAGGCCCAAGGGGTAGTCAAGAGAGATGTAAAACCGGCACATCTTGCGTTCTCTGGGCTTTTAGGTAGAAAACTGTGAACGTATGAAGTGTTCCTTGGGACTGAAAGCATTGAATGCAAATGGATGCTATTATAAATGCTAGTGAAAACAACAACCCACCACTAGAACTGCAGTTCATTGTCGATGGAAGCTGCAGTTACAACAAGTCAGCAATTGTACATGCAATTCTGCATAAGGCACAGTTTATTTTGTGACAACAGGCCACGGTCCATTTTGTGAAAACAAACCACCTTGGGTGATATCTGCAGCTCACAGTGTTGCACCACACACTCAACCTAGTAACTGGTTGATGGATATTTGTATAGCTAATGAGTAAAGATATACAAAAACAGAGATGAGATGTATTCAGAAAACTGCCAGAGTAAAGAAAAAAAAAATCAAAAGACCAGGACTGAAACCATAAGGACAGAAAAAAACAAGAAGAAGAGGAACAACAACAACAACAACAACAACAACAACAAAAACAACAGCAGCAGTAACCTAAAATTCCCCCCCCCCCCCTCCTTCCCCAACCACAACAACAATAATAACAACAACAAGAAGAACAAAATCAAGACCAAGAAAAAATGTAAACACTTACGAAACACTTCTAAATCAAATGCTTTCTCAGCCTGGCCTGCAACGTTCTCAGCTCTGCAGTAATACCTGGCAGCATCAGTTATGTTTGCATCCTTGACTTCCAGTGTCCACCCAGAGTCTAGGAGTGCCAGCTACACAGACATCAGTATCAAACAGATTTCAGAACTCAATGTATTGCTACACAGACATCAGTATCAAATTGATTACAGAAACTCAATGTATTGCTACACAGACATCAGTATCAAATTGATTACAGGAACTCAATGTATGGCTACACAGACATCAGTATCAAATACATTACAGGAACTCAATGTATTGCTACACAGACATCAGTATCAAATACATTACAGGAACTCAATGTATTGCTACACAGTCATCAGTATCAAATACATTACAGGAACTCAATGTATTGCTACACGGACATCAGTATCAAATTGATTACAGGAACTCAATGTATTGCTACACAGACATCAGTATCAAATAGATTACAGGAACTCAATGTATTGCTACATGGACATCAGTATCAAATAGATTATATAAACTCAATGTATTGCAACACAGACATCAGTATCAAACAGATTACAGAAACTAAATGTATTTTTCCAGTGTAAAGAGGATATGTTTTCCCACACTGTTTATGTTTCTTCTTCTTCTTCTTGTTCGCCGACTGTAAACTCCGGCGCAAAGTTATGATTGTTTGTCAACTTCTTGACTTTACTCTTTTTCCAGAATGTGAGAGTTGTGTGCAGATCTATTTAACAGATCTAGCTTCTTTGCATGCAGACTGTTGATTCCTTGTCTCTCAGACAGATGTACACCGACTTCAAAGGAAGTCCCCAGTCATTCGACTCTGATAACATGATTTTTGAGAAACAGTGACTCTATTCTTGTTCTCCACACAATGGAGCCCCCAAACAAATATTAGTTAGTTAGTTAGTTAGTCTTTCCTCTTGTGTCGAGTGCGGCACATAGGGCAGAGGTCATGACTCTCCATGCATGGCGGTTCGTTGCAATCTGTTGTAGGTCTTGAATGTTTGAGTGGCCCATGAGCGAGCCTTCCCTGATGATAGTTCTACGTAGGGTTTCCCTTGGTCTTCCACGAGATCTTTTCCCCTGTGGTGTCCAAATGAGGGCTTGGTAAGGAAGTCTTGATTTATCCATTCTAAGGGCGTGGCCGACATAGTTCCAGCGGCGTTTTCGTATTTTTTTTTTTTTTTAACGTATCCAGAAACCATGAGTTGTAAACCCTTTGGCTCGGTACTATGGATATCGCAACCCTTCGGCATTGATTCCATTATAGGTACCCTTAATCTGGGAGAAATGTGGCTTTTCTTCCTACCCCCGGGAGTGAACCCGGACCACAAAGAGTTCGTCACCCGGCCGCCGCGAAAGTCAGGTTTAACCAACTTCGCTAGAGAGCCAGGCGCATTTTCGTATAAAATTAGACACATACTCTTGCCTGGATTCTTGCCTTATTTGTGTATTGGTTCGGAAATCTGACCATTTGAAATTTAGTATTCTTCTAACGCATTTATTTTCAAAATGTCTAATTTTGTGTCTAGAGTTTTCGTTGATTTCCAGCTCTCGCATCCATAGGTTAGTACTGGAATCACACAAGAATTGAAGATCTTGAGAAACAAATATGGCTTAAGTTTATAATTGGAAGTCAACTCATATACAGAATGTGAGAGATATATTTCTCTTAATATTTGGCTACAAACATACTTGTCATCTTATATATGGTGGCATCTTTGGACAGACAAATACTGTAAATTACAAAGAAGGTTGCATGTCTTTTGAAAGGTTTTAGGTTTAAATCTGTTTCAGGGCTGATGTTTTTTATAACATGACCAGGTCAACCTGACCTAAAAATTTGCCTAAAAATGTAAAGATGTCATAAGAAGTCAAGGTAGCTAGTGTGAGACTGACCACATCACCGGCCGAGTGCCAAGTGGTCTATCCAAATATAGGTCTAACAACATATGTGTGTGTATGAATGTGTGTAGTGTGTATGTGTGTGCGCATACATGCATGCATACACATGTATTTTTGCAGGTATGTGTGTGTGTGCATGTTGTGTGGGGTGGGTGGGTGAGTGTGTGCACATGTGCGTGTATGTGTGTGTATGTGTGTGTATGTGTGTATGTGTGTGTATATTACCTAACAATAAGCATGGCAATAGATAGTAATCTTGTGACAGCCTTGGTGAAAAAGGCACTTGCTTTTGAAAGTGTTTGAATTTATTCTTTAGTGATAACGGATTCACTGATTTGCTTCAGTTTATTCAGTTGTTATTGTAGTATGCACCTGATGAGATACAGAAAAATATGCCTGCAATAAATTGTGTAAGCTGTTGTTTTTGTGGCGGCTAAATATTCTAAAAAAATATCTTTTCTTTTGGAGATATTCACTTCTTCAGTCACTTTATTTCCCCTGTAATCAAGGCAATAATTCAATCAAATCACTTCCTGCTCATCAAACAAATAGATCCACTCAAATGTTGCCTCACACAACTTCAAAAAAGTTAAGTAGCAAATGTCATCAATTTTACAGAACAAATATTAACACCTGACACTAGCATAGCACTATTAAATACATAATTTTTAGCAACATTATGTTACCAGTGTCAAGCATGGACATTGAGCACAATAAAAAAAATATGACCAACAAAAATGGAATGTCTACAGTGTGTTACCAGTGCCAAGCATGGACACTGAGCACAATAACAAAATATGACCAACAAAAATGGAATGTCTACATTGTGTTACCAGTGCCAAGCATGGACATTGAGCACAATAACAAAATATGACCAACAAAAATGGAATGTCTACAGTGTGTTACCAGTGCCAAGCATGGACATTGAGCACAATAACAAAATATGACCAACAAAAATGGAATGTCTACATTGTGTTACCAGTGCCAAGCATGGACATTGAGCATAATAACAAAATATGACCAACAAAAATGGAATGTCTACATTGTGTTACCAGTGCCAAGCATGGACATTGAGCATAATAACAAAATATGACCAACAAAAATGGAATGTCTACATTGTGTTACCAGTGCCAAGCATGGACATTGAGCATAATAACAAAATATGACCAACAAAAATGGAATGTCTACAGTGAATCCTTCATATAACTAGAAGAGACAGGTCAGAAATGACATTATTAGGAAAGAAGCTGTGATAGAACCGGTATTAAACAACGTCAAAAGAAAACAGATGAAATGGTTTGGACATATGTCAGGACTACCACCAGATAGTGCACCATAAAGAGACCTGTTACTTAGACATAACAGAAGCAGACCTAAAGGTCAACCACACAAGTTATGGATAGATGGAATACCTGAGGCCGTAAATACCAGTATCTATGTAGCACATACCAAGGCTCTCACCCGATGTCTCACCTTTGGCCATTCTCTAAGTATAATGGTTGATATAGCTAACATTCAAACATAATACACATCCCTATATGTAGAAGAGACTTGTACAAAAAAGTTTGGTGTAGTCTGCAGCTTATGTGTGGAACCAGCTTCCAAAACCAATCAAAAATATCAACAACTTCTATAAATACAACTGGATACTTTTTTAATATTTTCTCAATACAGACTGCATGCCCCTTTAGAACATAATAGAGTCCTAAACTTATTGTTGATATTCACCATGGTTTATTATGCTTAATACTATAATTGTTTTAAAATGTAGGCATACTTTGAGCACATTGTAACTACCATTGTCACAACCCTGTGAGTACAGTCATGGGGCGGAATGGACCACACAGTAGGGTATACTGTGTTCAGGTGACACCCCAGGGTTGACACAAAGGTTAGTGGCATGACTGGCCAAGTCTGTGCTGTTTACACAGTGAAACTATCACTTAGTAGAGACCACTTGAAGATGACAGGTGAGAGTGAACTCTGTTACAGACAAGTTCGCAACATGATTGCCCCATGAGGGACTGAGCAGGTGAACGAGTCAAAAGACACGAGGTGAGAGAACACAGGGGATTGGGTGTACAGTGTTCGGACCGAGCAGACATGTTAGCAAGACAGTGATAGAATATTAGAGTTAGGATATTTCTTTAGTGACTACATAGATTATTGATAGTGTTTTGTTAGAAAAGGATAGTATTTTGTGCTGCATATTTAACTGGTACAATGTATTGTGTTGTTTCACAATAAGTAAGTAGTGTCCAGTTACTTCTGACCAGTTAAATCGGTTAGGTACACATTCTGTGAGAGAATGTCTAACCTTGTCAAGCAGACCCTGCACTAGACAGAGGCTGTGACATCTTGGTAGGTCAGTGTGTTGAGCCTAGCTGTGGTTTGTGCATCAGAGATTGCCTGTGGAATGGACTGGAGAGCGAGGCGACTGCAAAGCTTGTTCCGCCAGAGGGTTCAGGCAATAGGTGGCCACACAGCGGTAAGTCAACTGTCTGTTGTATTACCTGCACTTGCAATAAAGATTGTCATGTGTGCCCTGTGTGCGTTCGGGTTTAGTGTGTGTTAAAGGTTAGTTTGTGGGTCATATGCCCAGTTATGAGCCATGGACCAGCAAGGTCACCCCGAGGTCTGACAACCATGTTCTTGATAATGTCTATTATTATTATAATGATTACTCTTATCTGCTAAAATGATGTGTGAATGGAATAATGTATGCTTGGAGTGAGGCCAGGAGGGCAGAATGTAAGACAGGCCTATGTGCCCAATTCTTAACCCTCTAAAAATAAAGTTTGTTTGTTTGTTCATTCTTTCTCTTCAACACCTGATGCTGAAAGGCAGGACTTGATTAGAGAAGAAGGAGAAGACTCAAAGGACCCTTCTGGCACATGTGGTATTTGGTGCTAGATCTGATCTTTATAGAAAAATGGGCACTTGATGGGCAATGTGGACAACATTATGCCAGCCACCTTTACTTTCCATAGCACACATTTGCATTCATTCACTAATTCATTCATTGCCCTGTTGTGCCATTATATGTCATGCAGAGCTCACAGTCTATCCCTCAATTCCATTCTATCCTGTGCAATCCTTTCAATACCATGGATGCAGTCCAGCCCAGCAGTTTTGGCCTCTCTCATCCACATTCACTTTAGGGTTTCTTTTGGACATCTTTGTTTCCTCAATTCCTCAGTTTCCCATTTCAGTGTCTGTTTATTGATTATTTGTTCATTTCTTCTCAGAAAGTGTCCATGTAGAGCCATCTTCTCCGTCTTATAACTGTTGATACCAGTGGTTGCCCAGCCATTTCTCTGATCTCTTCGCACCTTTTGAATTCATCCCAGTTTATTTTCATCATTTTCTTCAGGCATTTGTTTTCGAATACATTTAACTTTTGTTCCATATCTTTAGCGTTCTCCAACTTTCACTGGCATATGTTGATAGTGATATAACATTAGAAGTGAAAATGCATAGTTTGGATCTAAAACAATAATTTAGAGTTCCATACTTTGTTGAAGCATTCAAAAGCTGCAGATGCCTTTCCAGTGTGTGTCTTCATTTCACACACCTGCAGTGCCAGACAATATTTAAAAACTGTAATTTGAACAAATAGATTGAAGAAATTGACAATGTCACAAACTTTGAGTGTCTGGCTCTATAATAAATAGCAATGGAGACTGTTTGAAAGAAATTAACAGAAGAATGGTAATAGCAATGCAAAGATCAAACAGCCTAATAAAGTCTATGGTTAAGCACCAGCAAGGAGATCAAAATAAGAATTTTAAGAGCATGCATCTTCCCTGTAGCAACATACGGATGTGAGTCGTGGACTATCTCCCCGTCCTTAAGAAAGAGAGTAGGGTCATTTGAGCTGAAATGCTATAGAAAGATTCTCAGAATATCCTGGACAAAGAAGAGAAGAAATACAGACATCTTGAAAGATCTGAACAGCAAGAAAGATTGGCTAATAAACAGCATCCTGTCTTGAAAGGTGAAATATTTTGATCATATCAAGCGCCTTGACAGACTGGAAACAAAATATAGCAGAAGGCATGGTACCAGGAAGCAGGAGCAGGGGCCGACTAACATGAAGATGGGCACAGGATATAACCGACTCCTTGAGTGTGAAAGTACAAGTTTCTTTCAGGCAGACCGTGATGACATCGACGTTCTGCAAAGGACCTGCTACATGATGATGAATGTGAATCAACTCACCTTGCTAGTATTGGTTTTAATAGGATTCTCTTGCTTAAACCAAGTAATTTTTGGTAGTGGAATGCCAGAGGCTGGGCAAGTGATGAAGACAGAGCTACCTTCGATGACTTCAGTCTTTTCAGGAATGTTTGGTTCCTCCACAGTCGGCGGTACTAGAACACGTACACAGATAAACTCACAAGTAAACTATGACTGTAATCTGCTTTTAGCCCCTATCTTCCCCTCCCTGCCAAACCAAAATAACAATCCCTTTACATGCCAGCGGCCTATCAGGCATAGGAGGCTAGACCAATATTTTTATAGACAAAACGGCACTTGATGGGTGATATGATCAACATGATGCTGGCCGCATTTTCTTCCCATGACTTTACCAGGTTCGCATCTTAATATTTTTTCAACTTTGAATGTGTGAATAAAATCTGGCTCCATACGGATCTGAACCCATGACCTTCAGATCTGCAGGCAGGTATTCCCCCCCCCCCCCCCACCACACGCACATGCACACACACACACACATGTATGCACACACGCATGCACACACGCACGCACACACGCACGCACATACACACACACAATGATATTGCCTCATTTTGTTAATAATTTAAACATAGTTCTGACTATTGTGATGCTACAAATATATCAGCCTACTTTTGACCTGCTCCATTTACCATTACTTCTGTTCTTCCATTTTTACTCTTCTTTTTCTGTGTTTAGTGGAAGAAATGAATGTACTGTGTGCATTTACACATAGCTGCCACATTTTCATCTCTTAGGCAACACATCTGACTTCTTCAGGTATCTGTTGCCCAGGTTAGCCTTTCTGGTTTCACTATTCAAACTAAAACATTTGTTTTCACTTTCTCTTACAGTTATGTCCATCAATTCTTGCGGCTGCATTTTATTTTCAACAATTAAAACTGCATCATCAGCATTAGGCAGATTTGTTGCAGTAACCCCCGTTCCACCTCCCCCCCCCCTTTTTTTTTATATCTTTGATTGTTTGTTCTTATATAGGACCCTTTTCCACACCTTCAGGCGTATTGGGCATATACCAGAAGCAGAAGAAAAAAGAAGAAGAAGAGGAGAAGAAGAAGAAGAAAAAAAAAAGAAGAAAAAGAAGAGAAGAAGAAAAAGAACAACAACAATAACAACAAGAAAAAGAAAAAGAACAAGAACAAAAAGAACAAGAAGAAGACAGAGATACAAAAATCAAACACGTAAATGAAGTGTAAAATGAATTACCGAACACGTTGACTGTGAAATCTCTGGCAGTCTTTCCTGCCACATTTTCTCCAATGCATGTGTAGCGCCCTCTGTCAGTGATTTTTGCGCTGATGAGTTCCAATCTGCGACCTTCAGCCAGCAGCTTCACGTTTGGATCCTGGTCAACAGATATGGGTTCTCCATCTTTTAACCATCGTACCTGTTCAAAATAAAAGAATGAAAATATCAATATTTTATATGCATAAAATAGACAGAGGCTGTCATTATTTTGTGGAGATTGTTATGAAATGGAATGGACCCTAGAACTTGGTTAAAACTGGCAGACGTAGGCAACTGCCAATCCCTGGAGACCATGGAGTTGTGTAAGTGGTTTTGGGAGCAGCATTTGCTATGACTGTAAAGTGGGAATGGCAGTCTCTGCCACATAGTTCACATGTAAACATTGATACTGAAGCTGGTTTACTCTCAGAAATCTCCTCACTACAGCTTGCTGTGCCTCTTACTTGCTGTGGTAGGCCTCTTACTTGCTGTGGTAGGCCTCTTACTTGCTGTGGTAGGCCTCTTACTTGCTGTGGTAGGCCTCTTACTTGCTGTGGTAGGCCTCTTACTTGCTGTGGTAGGCCTCTTACTTGCTGTGGTAGGCCTCTTACTAAGTGCAACAGTCCTTTTTCAGTGCCTGCCTCCATAGGAGTCAGTCAGCACCCGATTGCTGCCAAGTGTCTGTGTCAATATTAGCATCTAGGTCACATCTATACATTCCTTGCAGCACAGTTTTGGCCATCTCTATTTCCAGACAACTGGCAAGACTGATTGGGGGGGGAGGGGGGGAATGAGCAAGAGAAACACAAAGAGATAAATATCTAGATGGCATAGCAATATGAATGGATGAGACAAGCACACTGGTCTGAGATGTGATTGTGTGCAAAGGCAAAACATGACCACCTATACTTATTGGCTTGGACCATGATTATCATAATGACGATGACATACATTTTAGCACAGACACATCTAAACATTGGAAATACAATAATACATGTGTGGCTCGGAAGTTAGTGGAAAGCTTCAGGTCAGTATGAAGGATAAGCAGGTTTATTGTTGTTAGTCATGGCAAATTTTTGTTTTTGACAATAGTCATTGCAATTTCCTCCATATGTAGGCTAAAAGAATATACTTCCATCGCCCAGCTACCATGCGGAATGCTTAGCCAGACACATCAGCTGCAGATTTTATTTGGAATGCTTTTCAAATGACCAGATGTTTCTATTTTAAACTGCAGATTTAGAAAATTAACTGGTGGTGCCTTAAATAATTAACTGCATGTGAAACTAGTGATCCATTATAAATGCTGCTTTCATCGATGATGAACTTCATTTCTAGTGTAGGCCTGATTGTGTTGGCAATTCTGACTGCTGCCTTGTGCATTTAATACATGTGAGTATGTGAATGCTGCTGGATTTGCAATCTGTGTCAGCTTGTTCCCGAAGGGATAGTGTAGATTTTCTGTGTGGTTTTAACTGGCACAGTTGACGATTGGGTGACCTGTTTGCTACAAAGCTAGAGCTGTGATTACCTGGCTAGAAGCCAGTGAATATGTTTTACAAACAGGTGGGTACCAGGGTTAGAATTTCACAGCTGCCTTCTGCTGGCTTGAGAATCAGCTGTACCCACATGCCATGGTTGTAACCGCTTCACAGAGCATTTTGAAAATGGTGGAGACAAGCATGCTGAGTGCAGAGTGGCAAGCATCACTTCAGAGGTCCCAAGGAGTAAGCATCATTTGGATATTTTCTCCAGGTCATGCCGGTGTGTTGGGAAACGAGCGGGCAGATAAACTGGCCAGTTCTGCTCCACTTGGTAATGAAGTGATGTATGACAAGCTAGATGTTGTAAGGGCCCTTTGAGATTGAGTGAACAGAGAGGAGGCACAAGTAGATCATTACAGTCTGAGGAGAATGGCGCTTCTGGGAGTTACCATGGGATCAACACTCAAGGGAAGGATGAGACAGATATACAATGAAACATTTACTGGTACCGTCTGAATAGAACTCTTTGCCTGCTGCTGAAGATGGGGATGGAGTGCATATGGGAGTGCCATGAGTGCTGTGATATAAATTCTCAAGTCAACATTCAAAAACATTCTGCAAAAGTCAGTAGCTAGAAATGCATACTAACTATATGGCTCAAAAACAAGCACATCACGAGAAGAAGTGGGCAAAGAATCACACAAAAGGCACTGAAATATGAAACAAATGGATTGAGGAGATAAGGATATTTTAGAGAAACTCTGTGGCAAATGATGCTGAGTTATGCTACAGTTCTCTACTGGATTCCATCTAAATCTTTGCCTTGACTTATGACCATCCACATGACCCCATTAAAAAAAAAGTAAACAACAATGTAAATAAAGATAGATAACTAACAATGCAAACAAAAGAAAGTTAACTACGCTGGCAGGCTCAGAAAGTTCCTGGAACTGATGTAGTAGAGTACATATTATCCATGTTCCCCATTAAGTACATAGATTCAATTTGATTGTTTTATATATAATTTTTATTTGTGTAGAAATAAAAAATTCAACTTACGACCAGTTGGACTTTTGACCTTAACCTGTTAGTCGGAACAGAGCTCTGTCATAAGTCATGGTGGCCCTGTATAGTGAAAGAACTGTGCAGGATAGCACTACATAGAGGTCTAGACTGTGAGCCCTTAGTGACACATAACAATGGCACGACAAGATGATAAAAATGATGAACTTTGTTTAAGGTCCATTAAAACAAGTTATCAGCACATATTGTAGTACTCATACCTGTGGTGGGGGCTTGCCTTGAATGGGACAGTTGATATAAAGAGGCTGGCCACTGACCACTGATTGGTTAGAAGGAGACAGGCTTGATTCATCGACATTTGGTGGCACTGTGGGATACAATTAACATAAACTTATATTAGGAAGCAAAAATGAAAACATTCTGTTTCTGCATAAAAATCATTATCACCTCATCATCCTCCCTTTTCATTATCATCAAGTGCTTTGCTAGCTAGTCTGGACAGACAAATAAGTCTTCTCTGCATCTTGAAATCTCAGACAGCATTTTTTAAAGGTGCAGACAATTTTGTGTGTGCTATAAAACAAGTCTGTCAAGAATATCCTCTTGTGATCTTCCTCTGTCTCTCTTTCCAAAAATCTGTCCAGCTGTTAAAACATATTTCACAATTTCTCGACTACAGGGTCGTTGAAAAAAGTGTTGAATTCTCCTTTCAGAAGTTAGTTTTTTTTATGTTTACATTCCCTGGCTGTAAATTCCAGCATCAACTTCTGGTTGTCCATCCACTTGTGGACCAGATTTTGTTCCAGAACTTGAGTTTTCACTGCACATCCTTTTCACAGGTTTAGTTCATCTATATGCAGACTGTTGATGGGGAGTTCTGGGAAGTAAAGGTGGCCGGCATGATGCTGACCAAACATCCACGCAGTGCCAACTGGTCTATATAATATAGGTCTATCACTATAACCCAAAACACACATTAGCAAGGAGAAGGGTCCTTTACTTCTACTACTTAGAGGCATGAAGGGCACATTTTGGCCAGTCTCTAATTGCTCATTATCGATCAGTTCTGCCCACATATGCAGCGGAATCATGGTGGTTTTAAATCTCATAACAGGCATGGCTGCGTAAAAGGTTTGACCGACTGCTGTTTTGAGTCAGTCATATACAGGTTGCATGACGTCATCTCCTCGAAACGTTAGATGTATATAAACTAGTTTTTTTGGCACCGACATTTCTAATGTAACTGGTTTAGGCCGCCATGCCTGTTATGAGATTTAAAACCACCTGGTTTGACCGACTGCTGTTTTGAGTCAGTCATATACAGGTTGCATGACGTCATCTCCCCGAAACGTTAGATGTATATAAACGAGTTTTTTTGGCACCGACATTTCTAATGTAACTGGTTTAGGCCGCCATGCCTGTTATGAGATTTAAAACCACCATGATTCCTATGCCACCTGTAAAAGAACCAGTCTCGACGTACGCCAGATCTAACTGTATATACCAATTTAAATGCACCTGTAACACTGCATATGTGGGCAGAACTGATCGAGGACTGGAGAAACGGGTTGCTGAACATATTCCACTATGGGTGGTAAAAGCAACGCAGAACACTAACACCTCAGCAACAACGAATCAGGTGACTGGTCGACAAAATCCATCATCAGCTATTGCATGCCATATTCTAAATTCTGGGCACATAATTAACAGGGATGATGCATTTAGAATTATTTACAATTCGGCCAACCGTAGATTACTCCAATACGTGGAAGCTTCCGCGATTAGCCGGTTAAGACCAGATCTCTGTAGGCAGAAAGAAATGGTCGTTTCCTTAAGGTTACTTTGAAGAAACAGACAGTGTAGAATGTACTCGAATTTGCATTTCAGTTTCTAGGATTCAGCTATTTGCTTCATTTTATTAACTTGTTACTGTAGTATGCACCTGGCGAGATACAGTGAAATATGCCAGGCAATAAATTGTGCAGTCTATTGTTTGTGGCTTCTTTGTTCAAATACAAGAATGTCTCTGTATAGTTTTTTCAACATTAATTTAACTGGACATGGGTACTTCATTGTTTACATGTCTACCTAAAGAAAAAAGAAAAATATTCTGACAATTCTATGACCATCTAAGAAAGATACAGTTGACATCAAATGTTATAAAATGTCTTGGCACTGAAACTCCAAATAAGCCTCTATCCCCAAAGAGTTAAAACTATCTTACCTTGAACATCTAAAATGAAATTCTTGTCAACCTCTCCAGCAATATTACTAGCCACACAGCGATACCGAGCCTCATCTCCAGGCATGGCTCTGATGATTGTCAAAGACCTACCCTGGTCCTGCATGAAGATCCGACTATCTTGCTTGATTGCCTGGTTGTCCTTGAGCCAGGAGAAGACCGGGGGTGGGTCTGTGTCTTCTGATATTGGGCAGACTATGGTGATGTTTCTGTCCAAAATGACCTTATGAATCTCTGGGTTCAGTCGGTCATTGGGACTTCCTTTCAGCTTCGGTGGAACTGGGGAGAGGGAAAGAAAATTTAACAGTAGTAATGCAATGCTAATCACATCAGCTCACAGAAGCCAGTTTTAGACCTAAGAAATAAGATATGTGAGAAAGGTGGTCAAAATTACAAGAAGGAACAAAGTTTTCAACCAGACAATGTGTCTTGATCTAGAAAACAAGGTCCTACAAACTTGAGTGGATTAGTCACAGCTACAATGGATGGGACCTGTAGGCAGAATGGGAGAGAATCAGCCACCACTGCAGGCATGGGAGTCCAAGAACCAGGGAACCAGACCAGCAGAACCACCCAGGGTTTGCTGCGAAGACAACATCCGACAGAGGACTGAATGGAACACAGAAAAATGCTGATAGAGAAGACTGGTGATTTCTCTGGCAAACCTCCACACCCCAAGGTAGAGGAGGATCGACTAAGTAAGTATATCAGTGAAAAAGAGAGGTGTTAACACATGAGCTGATGAATACTGTATTAGATCGTAGGTTATGGAGAGGCATAATCCCCAATTTCAGTGGCCTAACTATTGGAATCTATATGTAGGCAGTTTAGAGTAACAACCTTAGGAATATTTAAAGTGCAAGCAGTTCAGAGTAATAAATTTTAGAATCTAAGTGCAGGTAGTTAGGAGTAACAACTTTTAGAATATACATGTAATCAGTTTAGGGTAAGAATTAAAGAAATATTTAAAGTGTTGGCAGTTTGGAGAAACAACCTATAGAACCTATTTGTAGGCAATTTAAAGTAACAACTTTTAGAATATATGTGTAATCAGTTTAGGGTAACAATTAAAGAAATATTTAAAGTGTTAGCAGTTTGGAGAAACAACCTATAGAACCTATTTGTAGGCAATTTAAAGTAACAACTTTTAGAATATATGTGTAATCAGTTTAGGGTAACAATTAAAGAAATATTTAAAGTGTTAGCAGTTTGGAGAAACAACCTATAGAACCTATTTGTAGGCAATTTAAAGTAACAACTTTTAGAACCTATGTGTAAGCAGTTTGGAATAACAACTATAAGAATCTAGGTGCAGGCGGTTTGGAGCAGCAACTATTGGAATCTTTAATTTGTAAGTATTTTGGAGTAAAAACTATTGGATTCTTTAATATGTATGCAGTTTGGAGCTGAAACTATTTGAATCTTTAATATGTAGGCAGTTTGGAGTAACAACTATTGGAACTGTTACTGGTAAGCAGTTTGGAGCAGCAACTATTGGAACCATTATTGTGTAGGCAGTTTGGAGCAGCAACTATTGGAATACATATTTAGGCAGTTTGGAGTAACAACTATTGGAATACATATGTAGGCAGTTTGGAGTAACAACTATTGGAACTGTTACTGGTAAGCAGTTTGGAGCAGCAACTATTGGAACCATTATTGTGTAGGCAGTTTGGAGCAGCAACTATTGGAATACATATTTAGGCAGTTTGGAGTAACAACTATTGGAATACATATGTAGGCAGTTTGGAGTAACAACTATTAGAATACATATGTAGGCAGTTTGGAGCAACAACTATTAGAATACATATGTAGGCAGTTTGGAGTAACAACTATTATATTCTATGTGTAGGCAGTTTGGAGTAACAGCTAATATAATCGATGTGTAGGCAGTTTGGAGCAGCAACTATTGGAATACATATTTAGGCAGTTTGGAGTAACAACTATTAGAATACATATGTAGGCAGTTTGGAGTAACAACTATTAGAATACATATGTAGGCAGTTTGGAGCAACAACTATTAGAATACATATGTAGGCAGTTTGGAGTAACAACTATTATAATCTATGTGTAGGCAGTTTGGAGTAACAGCTAATATAATCGATGTGTAGGCAGTTTGGAGCAGCAACTATTGGAATCTATGTTGTGTAAGTAGTTTGGGGTAGCAAAGGTGGGAATCTTTAATATGTAGGCAGTTCAGAGCAGAAACTACCAGATTCTATCATGTGTAAGTAGTTTAGAGTAGCAAACTATTGGTATTAGTAAGGTATAGGTTGGTTGAAGCAGCAACTACTAGAGTCTATGTGTAGGCATCTTCTTCTTCTTCTTCGCATTCACCAGCTGTAAACTCCGGCGGAAAGTTCTGGTTGTTTGTCCACTTCAGGACTGCAGTCTGGATCCAGAACCTGAGTGTTGCATGCGTATCCATTTTACAGATCTGACTCATTTGTATGCCGACCGCTGGTTCCTTGCCTCTCAGGCAGATGCACTCCGACTTCTATGGAAGCTTCCAATTAGTCGACTCTTACGACATGCTTTTGTGTAGTCAGTGGATCTATTCTTGTTTTCCCTATAATAGGGCCCTGGAACCCACACGGGGATGTAGGCAGCTTAAAGTGGCCACAACATGTGGGTAGTCAGAAGTAGCAAATTTTTAAATCTTTAATTTTATATTCAGGAATTTAACAATGCAGTATATTATAATTTTAAACAAACTTACCTAAAATTTTCAGCTCAAAATGCCTATTAGCCACGCCAGCTATATTTTCAGCCACACACTCATATCGCCCAGAATCGGCAACTCTGGTATCATCAATCTGCAGTGATCCGTCCTCTAACTGAGTTATTCCCAGCTCCTCTTCTGTCAGAACCACATTGTCCTTGTACCAGGTGACATGAGGCTTAGGGGTCCCAACTGCTGGGCAAGGCAGAATCACTGGGTTGGCTTCAACGACATCATTGTATTCTTGGTAGATGCCAGAAATTTCTGGTGCCCCTGTGGATGATTAATTCTAGTCTTATTTTTTTTTAAAATACGCCAGAGACAGTTGGAGAACCATGAAAGATATGGAATGAAAGTTGAGTGCAATTGAAAACACATTTCTGAGGAAAATGATGAACATAAGATGGAATGAATTAAATAGGAGATTGGAAATAAGAGAAATGTCTGGGCAACCACTAGTACCAACAGTTATAAGAGAAAGAAGATGGCTGGACAACCACTAGTATCAACAGTTATAAGAGAAAGAAGATGGCTAGACAACCACTAGTATCAACAGTTATAAAAGAAAGAAGATGGCTAGACAACCACTAGTATCAACAGTTATAAGAGAAAGAAGATGGCTAGACAACCACTAGTATCAACAGTTATAAGAGAAAGAAGATGGTTAGACAACCACTAGTATCAACAGTTATAAGAGAAAGAAGATGGCTGGACAACCACTAGTATCAACAGTTATAAGAGAAAGAAGATGGCTGGACAACCACTAGTATCAACAGTTATAAAAGAAAGAAGATGGCTGGACAACCACTAGTATCAACAGTTATAAGAGAAAGAAGATGGCTGGACAACCTATAGTATCAACATTTATAAGAGAAAGAAGATGGCTCTATATTGGACACACTCTGAGAAAAGATGGACAGAGAATCCCCAAACATTGCACTCACCATCATCATGATCCTTTGTGTGCCGTTAAATGTCCCATAAGGTCCTCAATTAATTTTTTTCTTCCCACCCTTTTGCATGCAACTTTCTTGATTTCTGACATGGAGTTCAGCCTAGCATTTTGTTTCCTCTTGTAAAAGTGTTCTTAATATTTCCCTTGGACATCCTCTTTTTCTCAGACCATTTGTTTCCTTTTTCAAAAACACTACACTGACATGAGAATTAATGGATTAGGGAAACAAGTATGTCCAAGAGAAACCCTGAGGTGAACATTGAGGAGAGAGGCCAAGGGTGCTGGATTGGACTCCATCCATGCAACCAAGGGGATTCATTGAATAGAAAGCAATTGAATGATAGACTGTGAGCCCTAAGAGACATATGAGTTTCTCTTGAATAACTTACCATAAATCATATTTGTAATTCTTATCATGAATCTCACTTGTAATTCTTATCATGAATCTCACTTGTAATTCTTATCATGAATCTCACTTGTAATTCTTATCATGAATCTCACTTGTAATTCTTATCATGAATCTCACTTGTAATTCTTATCATGAATCTCACTTGTAATTCTTATCATGAATCTCACTTGTAATTCTTACCATGAATCTCACTTGTAATTCTTACCATGAATCTCACTTGTAATTCTTATCATGAATCTCACTTGTAATTCTTATCATGAATCTCACTTGTAATTCTTATCATGAATCTCACTTGTAATTCTTATCATGAATCTCACTTGTAATTCTTACCATGAATCTCACTTGCAATTCTTACCATGAATCTCACTTGTAATTCTTATCATGAATCTCACTTGTAATTCTTACCATGAATCTCACTTGTAATTCTTACCATGAATCTCACTTGTAATTCTTATCATGAATCTCACTTGTAATTCTTATCATGAATCTCACTTGTAATTCTTATCATGAATCTCACTTGTAATTCTTACCATGAATCTCACTTGTAATTCTTACCATGAATCTCACTTGCAATTCTTACCATGAATCTCACTTGTAATTCTTATCATGAATCTCACTTGTAATTCTTATCATGAATCTCACTTGTAATTCTTACCATGAATCTCACTTGTAATTCTTATCATGAATCTCACTTGTAATTCTTATCATGAATCTCACTTGTAATTCTTATCATGAATCTCACTTGTAATTCTTACCATGAATCTCACTTGTAATTCTTGCGATGAATTTTATCTGTAGTTTTAAGTGAAATGTCTTTATGATTCATACCATAAAATTTACTAGTGATTCTTAGCAATAATCTGTTTGTAAATCTCACTTATAATCCCTCCAAGCTCTGTCCCAATTGTGGGTAAGAAAAAAGAAAGAAGGGCATAAAGCCAGCTCTCCTACTGTAAAATATTAACTGCTACAGAAAATTGCAGGAAAGGAAGCCATTCCGGTAAAATGTGAGTCAAACTGTTGGGGGTTGCAGTGATTGTATATATGATGGAAATGGATGACAGCTGCTCAGCAGAACTCAGTGGCCAGTCATGCATACTACAAGGCTAAAAAAAAAAAAAAAAAGCAAAATAGGTAATAGGAATGTTTTCCTACAGCACAACAATAAAAATCCACCCAATAGCAGAAGAAATGAAGTGATACTAATCAAAGAATAGACTGTGAGGCCTAAGTGACACATAATGATACATTAAGACAATAAATTAATGAACCTTACTTATAATTCCTAATTTGAATTTTACTTGGGATTTTTGAAATGAAATTGACTGTTGAATTCTTACCATGAACTGTCAGAGAAATGTCTCTAGAAACAAAACCAGCAGGGTTTGTTGCCACACACGAGTATCTGCCTCCATCTTTCAACGTAGCAGAGTTAATGGTAAGGGATCCCCTTGGTGAAATGTAACCCTTTTCAGGATCATTAACATCCAAGATGACCCCATCTTTCTTCCACAGCACAGCTGGGGGTGGGTCGCCGTGGGATTCACACTCCAGTAATGCAGTTTGTCCATACAGAACTGTGACATTGGAAGGGCCAGGGTCTAGAGTTGGTGGATCTGTAGAATTGATAGAAAACATGACATATTTTTTTATTTTCATAAACAATACCACTAAAGTTTATTGAATTTGAAAATAAAAGTCTGAGGAAATTGTTAAACACTAACTGAGTTAAAATTAATTGAGAGTGACAAGCCCCACTTCATAGGTCCAACAAGTTAGAGTCCTTTGGATATTTTCTCCAGGTCATGTCGGCATGCTAGGAAATGAACCGGCAGATAGACTGACTGGTTTTGCATCACTTGATGGTAAACTGATGCACGACAAACCAGTTGTTGTAAGGGACTCTTAGAAAGTAAACAGTGTGAATGAACAAACAGATCATGTGTTTAAAGAGAATGGTACAGCAACCAGTGACCAGGGGATCTAGCCAATGCTTAACACTCAGGGAAGAGGCAAGATCGAACACAATCAGATGGTTACTGGTACTATCAGAATTGAAACTCTTGCTGCTGAAGATAGAAACAGAGCACTTATGGGAGTGTCCCAAATTTTATGATGTCAGTTCTGAATTCTTTCTGCTTATTTGTAGTTGCTGCTTTGTCCATTTTTATCCTGGAGTGAGACTCTGAAATCGTGCTGAAAAAAGTTAAAGACAGGATTGCTTCGAGCAGAGTGGCAAGCTTCACTTGCAAGGTCACAGGTAGTGAGCATACTTTTGATCTTTTCTCCAGGCTGTGCCAGCGTGGTGAGGAATGAATAAGGCCAGAAGAAGGTTACAGTAAATACAAAGCAGAATGATCTTATTTATCACAGCTAACACATATGTTCCCATACAGGATAACCCTGGTACTGAAAGACACACAAGCAAACTTACCATAAACAATGAGAGTGATCATCTTATTAGCGTCTCCAGCAATATTTGAAGCCAGGCACTCATAAATAGCCTTGTCAGAAATCTGGGCCCGAGACACATACAGGCCATCCCGCTGGGCCTGTATCCTCTGAGGGTCAGGGTTCAAGGGCATGAAGTTCTGCTTCCAGCTGACAGTGGGCTGGGGTATGCCGCTGACTTCACACGGCAAAAGCACAGACTCGTTGACTTTGATTTCCAGTGTCTCTTCTAAATGACCAGAAATTCTTGGAGCAACTGTGGATTTTTTTAGAAAGTTAATATGTTAAGCTAAGAAAAACATTTAATGCATCAGGCAAACCATTAGAAATGCCAGCATAAACATTTCACCATTATCACTGCAGTTCATGTCAACAGAAGTAACAGTTTAAATCAGTAGTTGCACATGCAGTTAGTTGCATAAAGTATAACTAATTCTGTGGCAACAGACCACTCGCCCTTTTTTTTTTTAAAATATGCTGTTAACAACACAAACCATGTTGTTCACAGCAAAAAGAAACTTCCAGATAAAATCCTCAGCTCATAGTGTCATGGCATGCACTCAATTTAGGTAGCTGGGTGATAGAACTATATATTTTCAGTCCATATATGCGAGACAATGCAACAACTAACCATGGTTAGAAGCAAATAACTTGCCAAAAATAAAACAAGCTGCTGCCTATCCACTATACCAGACTGGAAATCACTGTTACAAAATGATGTCTGAACAAAAAAAAACTTCGACAAGAGATTCATGTTAACAAATGTATCTACAGACAAAGTAATGTTATATGTTATCGGATAATGTCTAAAAAGAAAAAAAAAATGTTTACAAAGACATTAATATTTGCAAATTTTATCAGATGATGTCAACTAAAAAACAAACCTTTTACAAAGACATTTGTTTGAAAATGTTAATTTATAAATGTTATCAGATGATGTCTGAATAAAATTAAACCTTCTATAAACAGATCAATGTCACAAATTTTTACAAAATGATGAATAAATAAAAAAAAAATATTCTGCAAAAGGACTCTGAGAAATGGCGCAGAATAAAATCTAAACCAGACTGTCCTCAAAGCTGTGGCCAGGGTGGCCTGGAGAGTAGCATGATGAAGGGTAAATCTAAACCAGACTGTCCTCTAAGCCGTGGCCAGGGTAGCCTGGAGAAAAGCATGATGAAGGGTAAATCTAAACCAGACTGTCCTCAAATCTGTGGCCAGGGTGGCCTGGAGAGAAGCATGGTGAAGGGTGAATCTAAACCAGACTGTCCTCAAATCTGTGGCCCGGGTGGCCTGGAGAGAAGTATGATGAAGGGTAAATCTAAACCAGACTGTCCTCAAAGCTGAGTTCTTGTGGCCAGGGTGGCCTGGAGAGAAGCATGATGAAGGGTAAATCTAAACCAGACTGTCCTCAAAGCCGTGGCCAGGGTGGCCTGGAGAGAAGCATGATGAAAGGTAAATCTAAACCAGACTGTCCTCAAATCTGTGGCCCGGGTGGCCTGGAGAGAAGTATGATGAAAGGTAAATCTAAACCAGACTGTCCTCAAATCTGTGGCCCGGGTGGCCTGGAGAGAAGTATGATGAAAGGTAAATCTAAACCAGACTGTCCTCAAATCTGTGGCCAGAGTGGCCTGGAGAGAAGCATGATGAAGGGTAAATCTAAACCAGACTGTCCTCTAAGCCATGGCCAGGGTGACCTGGAGAGAAGCATGATGAAGGTTAAATCTAAACCACGCTGTCCTCAAAGCCGTGTTCTTGTGGCCAGGGTGACTTGGAGAGAAGCATGATGAAAGGTAAATCTAAACCAGACTGTCCTCAAAGCTGTGGCCAGGGTGACCTGGAGAGTAGCATGATGAAGGGTAAATCTAAACCAGACTGTCCTCAAAGCCGTGGCCAGGGTGACCTGGAGGGTAGCATGATGAAGGGTAAATCTAAACCAGACTATCCTCAAAGCTGTGGTCAGGGTGGCCTGGAGCGAAGCATGATAAAGGGTAAATCTAAACCAGACTGTCCTCAAAGCAGTGGCCAGGGTGGCCTGGAGAGAAGCATGAGAAGGTTAAATCTAAACCAGACTGTCCTCAAAGCTGAGTTCTTGTGGCCAGGGTGGCCTGGAGAGAAGCATGATGAAGGGTAAATCTAAACTAGACTGTCCTCAAAGCCGTGGCCAAGGTGGCCTGGAGAGAAGCATGATGAAGGGTAAATCTAAACCAGACTGTCCTCAAAGCCGTGGCCAGGGTGGCCTGGAGAGAAGCATGATGAAGGGTAAATCTAAACTAGACTGTCCTCAAAGCTGTGGCCAGGGTGGCCTGGAGAGAAGCATGGTGAGGGGTAAATCTAAACCACACTGTCCTCAAAGCAGTGTTCTTGTGGCCAGGGTGGCCTGGAGAGAAGCATGATGAAGGGTAAATCTAAACCAGACTGTCCTCAAAACCGTGTTCTTGTGGCCAGGGTGGCCTGGAGAGAAGCATGGTGAAGGGTAAATCTAAACCAGACTGTCCTCAAATCTGTGGCCAGAGTGGCCTGGAGAGAAGCATAATGAAGGGTAAATCTAAACCAGACTGTCCTCAAATCTGTGGCCCGGGTGGCCTGGAGAGAAGCATGGTGAAGGGTAAATCTAAACCAGACTGTCCTCAAAGCAGTGTTCTTGTGGCCAGGGTGGCCTGGATAGAAGTATGATGAAGGGTAAATCTAAACCAGACTGTCCTCAAAGCCGTGTTCTTGTGGCCAGGGGGACCTGGAGAGAAGCATGATGAAAGGTAAATCTAAACCAGACTGTCCTCAAAGTCATGGCCAGGGTGGCCTGGAGAGAAGCATGATGAAGGGTAAATCTAAACCAGACTGTCCTCAAAGCCGTGGCCAGGGTGGCCTGGAGAGAAGTATGATGAAGGGTAAATCTAAACCAGACTGTCCTCAAAGCAGTGTTCTTGTGGCCAGGGGGACCTGGAGAGAAGCATGATGAAAGGTAAATCTAAACCAGACTGTCCTCAAAGTCATGGCCAGGGTGGCCTGGAGAGTAGCATGATGAAAGGTAAATCTAAACCAGACTGTCCTCAAAGCTGTGGTCAGGGTGGCCTGGAGCGAAGCATGATAAAGGGTAAATCTAAACCAGACTGTCCTCAAAGCAGTGGCCAGGGTGGCCTGGAGAGAAGCATGATGAAGGTTAAATCTAAACCAGACTGTCCTCAAAGCTGAGTTCTTGTGGCCAGGGTGGCCTGGAGAGAAGCATGATGAAGGGTAAATCTAAACCAGACTGTCCTCAAAGCCGTGGCCAGGGTGGCCTGGAGAGAAGCATGATGAAGGGTAAATCTAAACCAGACTGTCCTCAAAGCTGTGGCCAGGGTGGCCTGGAGAGAAGCATGATGAAATGTACAGTTTATGGAAAACATGGCAGAGGTTGACCTCTATGACGCTGGATACAAGACTCTGAGGATGTATTGGCTATGAAAGCACATAGGGCTGGGGAATTGGTTAGATAAAGAGAGATTTTAGTCATGCCGTGGAGAGAGTCATGTTCTGTAAAGCACCTGCTGACTGATGGTGTTGCTGGTTGTGATGATGAGGTGGTGGTGATGATAATGATGTTGATGGTGGTGGTGGTGATGATGAATGTGATGATGATGATAGTAATAATGATAGTGGTGATGATGGTGATGACAATGATGATGATAATGCTAATAGTAATGATGATGATGATATTGATGATGATGGTGATAATGAAGATGATGATGATGGTGATGATGAAGATGATGATGATGATGATGATGGTGATGATGATGATGGTGATGATTATGATGATGATGATGGTGATGATGATTAAGATGATGATGGTGGTGGTAATGATCATGAAGAGGATAGTGGTTATCTTGGTGGTGGTGGTGATGATGATGATGACAATGATGATGATGGTGGTGATGACGACGATGATGGTGGTGGTGATGATGGTGGTGATGGTGGTGGTTGTTGTGGTGGTTGTGGTGATGATGATGATGATGATGGTGATGGTGATGATGAAGATGATGATCATGATGATAATGATGATGGTGGTGGTAGTGATGATAATGGTGATGATGATGATGATGGTGATGAGGATGATGATGATGAGGATGATGATGGTGATGATGATGATAAGGATGATGACATTGAAGATGATGATGAGGATGATGATGGTGATGATGATGACATTGATGATGATAATGATGATGAGGATGATGATGGTGATGATGATGACATTGATGATGATGATGATGATGATGACGACATTGAAGATGATGATGATGATGATGATGATGATGAGGATGATGACATTGATGATGATGATAGGGATGATGGATGTGATGATGGTGGTGGTGATGATGATGATGATGATCATGATGATAATGATGATGATGAGGATGATGATGGTGATGAGGATGATGACATTGATGATGATGATAGTGATGATAATAGTGTTGATGGAAGTGATGATGGTGGTGATGATCATGATGATGGTGATGATCATGATGATGATGATGGTTGGTGGTAATGATGAGGAAGATGATGATTTCTAAATAAAAACAAACCTTCCACAAACAGATTCATGTTCTTATCCACTTCTCCAGCAACATTGGATGCCACACATTTGTAATTAGCAGAATCTGAAACATCCGCGCTGAATATTTCCAGTGCTCCATCCATGCGGATATAGTAACGGATGTCAGTCAAAGATATGGGTATGCCATCCTTAAACCAGGTATATGATGCTGGCGGGTCGGCTGTCACAGAGCAAGGAAGGAAAACACTGCGGCCTTGAATTACTGAGAAGTTTGTCTGTCTGTCTGAATCATTATCTGTTATCAGCTTGGGAGGAACTGCAAAATGAGCAATTCAGAATCAATTTATTGCATGACCATAAGAAAATAACAAATCAATTTAACATACACACAATTTTATTTGTGATGCTGTATATTAGTGTTTGTCCCCCCAAAAAACTGTTTGAGCTCTATGATAGAGGCTACAGCAATGTATACAGTGCTGTGAGAGTCCAATCTCTTCTAATCTTCATGGTCTTGAGGCATTGTGTCCGCCTCAAGTGCTAGAGGTTCTGGGTTTAATCCCCAGTAACGCTGCTGTCTGAGAAAATATGACCTTTCGGAGCAGGTGACTGTGATGCAATGCAGAAACAGGCCTTGACTACAAGCTGTCTGACTATGGAAGTGATGGTGGTAACAAATGCAATCATCTGGCTAGAGACACATAAATTTCCCTAAGCATGGCTTTTACGGATTCCATGAAAAGGTTTAAGAAGGTAGAGATAGGATGGGTTTGAAGAAAATGGTTAGAGTGTATGAAGAAATTTTTTGTCTGACAGGAATAAGTTCAATTTTTGTGTCAGGACACTCAGGGAATAAGCGGGAATCAACAAGTGGACTAGCTCACTGAAAAGGATATAATAGGATCAGGAAAAGCAATGAACCAGGCCGATGTTCACAACCTTTACAGGGAGGCAGGATGAGTAGATGATTGTGAAGATGACAGTCAATTGGCATCCTTGACAAGACTGTAAGAAATTCAAAAGAAGTGCTGCCATACATGAACACTATTCAGGCAGCCAAAGAAGAAGAATAAATCAACACAGAACTGGTGTTATTGGTTGTAACATGTAGAAGGAGAAATCAAAATGAGAGCTGAGGGCTTATGGACTTGTCCAAATTGCGACTAGTATGATCAGTCCATTTGCTAACTATTAAATAACATACAATCAAATATTTCTAATAAAAGATGAAAGACAGAAGAAGTCCACAAGGTACTTACCCAACACATCCAAATCAACAGAATATGTCTCGTTCCCTCCAATGTTGCTGGCCATACAGATATATTCCCCATCATCCTCTTCTCTAGCATCTGCAATAATGACTCTCCCTGAGTCAATGTAGTGCACTCTGTCGGATTCCCTCAGCAGCTTTCCATTACGTAGCCAGGACAGTCTAGGTTTTGGCTTGCCAAGTAGCACTACACACTCCAACTCCGCCATTTCACCCTCAACGACTTTCACATACGGGTTGGTGTAGGCAATCAGAGGCCGCACTAGGACACAAGTTATGCATAAGTTAGCAACAACAATAATAAGGAATTATAACCCCCCCCCCCCCCAAATGAAATTCTACTTTCTTTTTCTTCTTCTTCCTACATCTTCCTCTCTTCCTTCTCCTCTTCTCCTTTTCTTTTATCTTTCCTAGCCTGTATGAGTAATTGCTACAAGAAATAATAAATTTCTTTCATTTAACTGAGCTCACAGCATTCAGTTCTGCCAACCTTGACTTCTCACTATACTCACCTCTAGACAACCACCATTCCTTAATGAAATCTTATTCTCTCGGCACTATAAAACAGGCTCTTCATACTACACTCTCCACTAAGCAACCCCAACTCCTCTACTGCACTCCTTACGACACAATCATTGCTCCTCAATTGCACTCTTTAATAAGCACCATAAATTGTCCATTGCATTCTTCACTTTGTACCACAACTCCTCCATTGCACTCTTCACAGACCGTTTTTTTGTGTCCATGAGAACATAAGGCATGCCCTAAAGTGAGCCCTAAGTTGGGGCACAAAATGCCCGGCTCTCTAGCGCAGTTGGCTAAACCAGACTGCGCGGTGACTGGGTGATGAACTCCTTGTGGTCCGGGTTCACACCAGGGGGTAGGCAGAAAAGCCACATTTCTCCCAGATTTGCGGTACCTATCATGGAATCAAGGCCGAAGGGTTGCGATTTCCATAGTACTGAGCTAAAGGGTTAAGAACTCATAGTTTCTGGATACTTAATAAAAAATATAAAAAAATAAAAAAATTTATACAATACAGTTGGCAATGATCTGCGGGCCACTTGTTTGGCCTTTAAAGCTATCTTTTGAAATAAAAATTAATATCACCCAGGTCTGACTTTTTGGTGAAACATGGTTCATGTAATAGGAGAAAAAACATTTGCCTTGACTGCTGCAGTGTCTTACCTATTCCTGTCACACTAACATAGGCTGCTATTTCATCAATTCCAAAGGGGTTTTGAGCTACGCATGTGTAGATGCCTTCATCAACTTGCTGAATGTCTGCAATAAACAAATAATCAGTAAAAAATATACACAAACAATATACATAGTAAACAACAGTAAATAAATACAAAGAAAACAATATATACAGCAAACATAGGAACTGTTAATTTATATATGTATATATATATATATATATATATATATATATATATATATATATATATATATATATATATATATATATATATATATATATATACTAGCTGTACCCGGCCACGCGTTGCTGTGGCGTAATTTGAGATAGTCTTTGATCCCCACCCTACCCCCCCACCCCACTACTAAATCCACCTACTACCCTCTCCCTCATCAAAGGTTTTTAGAAAAGAAAGACAATGGAAATCGCACCTGTCTAATGAAGTTAATGACGCAGTCAATGTGTCTGCGCCGACGTCGAAATAGTCCTTGATTGCCCCCCCCCCCCCCCCCCCCCCCCGCCATCGAAGGTTGTTTGAAGAAAAAAAAACAGAAAATAGAAATCGTGTTTAATATGGTTATTGTGGCAAATATAGAGATAGTCTTGTTTGCGGTACCTCGACCTACTCTATGTATTAAGTCGTTGGCTGCACGTAACTCGCCGGCGAATGGCGGTAGCCTAGCGTTCTGACTACGGCAGCGCATGCGCAATTACTAACGTGGCTATAATTAGAAATCACTAAAGTTATAAATATTAGTTGCGAATATTTTGGCATAAATTGTGGTCACCTATCTCTAACAGTGACAGGTTGAATTTCAAACCACGATGGTTCAAAATCCGGTATCAAAACAAACAAAGCCTGAAAATTTCAGCTAAATCGGTTCAGTAGTTTCCGAGTCTTTAGGTTAGGATGTATAATTTCACTTGCCGACAGAAGAACGCCATAACCTTACCGGCGGTCTTCACATGAGAGCACTATGGTGTAACAGCCCAACCACAACTATTACTGCTGCTGCTACTTTAAGTGGGTAAAGCAGATATTGTGATTTAAAGCTCTCTCAGTTAATAGTTTGCCCCCCCCCCCCTCCCCCCAAATTCACCGACAACTCTTTCCCTCATTGAAGTAGTTGGGAGAAAAAAAAAACACTTGAAAAGCAAACGAACACAGGAAAAAAAACACCATAATTAGGAAATGAACGCCATTGTAAACAGCACAGCTTAAAATTCCAACACAGATGAAATAACTAAATCTAAATGAAAATAAATGAAAATCTATAAAATTTCAGCGTAACCATGCAATCGGAAAGTTTAACAATGCAATCATAAGTATGCGAAATGGTCAAATTTAATTATCAAATGGTTTACCCATTTACTTTTTTTTTTTTTTTTTTTTTTATATTAAGGCAACATGGCTAGTGCTGTCACCACGACAGAGCAGATGAGGATATTATTTTAGTCCGGGGTAAAAAAAAAATTTAACGACTGCGGATTCGAACCCAGGTCTACCGCACATGAACCCAGTGTTCTAACCATTCGACCAAGCAGCCACTTAATCGGAACAACGAAAAGAGAACTTAACTATTAGACATGTGAGTCCCTACTTCTGTGTCGCGATTAAAACACAATTCAAAACCGCAGGCAATTGTTTTCTCGTAGACAGATACTCCAGATATATTAATGAAATAGAAATCGCACGTGTCCAACACGGTTAATGAAGTTAATGTCGCAGTCACTGTCTGCGCCGACGTCGAGATAGTCCTTGATTGCCCCCCCCCCCCTCCCCCCCCTCCCCCCATCGAAGGTTGTTTGAAAAAAAAACAGAAAATAGAAATCGTGTTTAATATGGTTATTGTGGCAAATATAGAGATAGTCTTGTTTGCTGTACCACGACCTACTCTATGTATTAGTATTAGAGAAGGCGTTGGCTGCACGTAACTTGCCGGCGAATGGTAAATACGGCGCATGCGCAATTACTAACGTGGCTATAATTAGAAATCACTAAAGTTATAAATATTAGTTGCGTATATTTTATCATTAATTGTGGTCACCTATCTCTAACAGTGACAGGTTGAATTTTAAACCACGACAGTTCAAAATCCGGTATCACAACAAACATATCCTGAAAATTTCAGCTAAATCGGTTCAGTAGTTTCCGAGTCTATAGGGGTGAAACAAACACACAAACATTGATTTTTATATATATAGATATATACACACATGATACACGGTAAACATGATACATATGAAACAATAGACATAGTAAAAATGATACATATGAAATAATTTACACAGTAAACATGATACATATGAAACAATACACAAAGTAAGCATGATACATAGGAAACAATATACACAGTAAACTTGATACACAGTAAACATGACACACAGTAAACATGATACATATGAAACAATACACACAGTGAATATGATCCACACAAAACATGATAGACACTAAACAATATACACAGTAAACAATATACACAGTAATCATGATACACATGAAACAATAACCACATAGAACATGATACATATGAAACATGATACACACCAAACAATATACACAGTAAACATGATAAACTGTAAACATGATACACATGAAACAATACACATATAGAACATGATACATATGAAACATGATACACACTAAACAATATACACAGTAAACAATACACACAGTAAACATGATACACTGTAAACATGATACTAATGAAACAATACACACATAGAACATGATACACATGAAACAATATACACAAAGAACATGATACACATGAAACAAAACAAGCAGCAACATACTCATAATCTCAAGACTGCCTGAGGGCAGTTGCCTGAATCTGCCGTTCAGATCTATGGGCCTTCCATCTCCTCTCCTCCAGCTCAACTTGGGCAAGGGCCGGCCGATGGCCTGGCAGGGAAGAGAACCATTGGATTCTATGTCAATGCCCATGTTTTCCGGGCCCTGGATAATTTCTGGTGGGGCTAAAAGAAAGAAGCAGCACACAATTAGAAACGTGTTGAAATTAAATGTATTGGGCTGGAGTGCACAGATGTCACAGCCTAGCTGTAAACCACAATATATTGTTGCTATTAAGAGCAAACACAGAAGAAGAAAAAGAAGAAGGAGCTTGTTTAATATTTTTATACCTGTGTTGTTTGTGGACACAAGTTATGGTAATTAAACAGACAACTGACCCTTCAAAATGCAACATTAAAGTAAATGGGACAAACCTTAAGCAAGTTGATATGTTTAAGTACTTGGGTACCCTGATCAAATGGAATATATAGTAAGGAAGTTAAATGTCGAATAGCTCAAACACTGGCAGCATTATACAAAGTAAAGAATATTGTATACAATCTTTTTGTGTCAATTGAGACAAGAAAGAGAATTCTTAAAAGCTATTTAAATAAAAGCTATATAAATCCAATACTGATATGCGGGTGTAAATCATGGATAGATAAGTAAATAAGTAAAAAAATTTATTGGAAGCTGCGGAGATGTGGTTTTATAGAGGAATGATGAGAATATCCTGGAGAGATAGAAAAAGTACTGAAGATGTCTTAAAAGAAATTGGGTGACGAAGAGAACTGAATGCCCACATCAGAAAGAGACAATCTACATTCTTTGGTCATGTGATGAGAAAGGGAAAACTGGAGTACATCATGACGGTGGGTAATTTGGAGGGGAGGAGAGGCAGAGGGAGACCGAGAGAACAGATGTTGGACAGTCTGAGATAATGGCATGGAGTATCATCTGTATCAGACCTGATTGAAAGTACACAAGACAGAAGGTTGTGGATAGACATGACTACCAATGCCACACTGCATGGACTCTAAGATGTTGTTTGTGGGGCCCCATTGGGATGAAAAAAAAAAGAATAGACCAATTCCCCCTCCCCCTTTCCACCTAATAAGCATGTCCACACACACAAAAGTCGACTAATTTGGATGTTTCCATCTAAGTCAGAGTACGTCTGCTTGAGAGGCAAGGAACCAACAGTCTGCATACAAATAAGTCAGATCTTTAAAATGGATGTGCACACACAACTCAAACTGCTGAAAAAGACTGAAGTCCAGAAGTGGACAAACAACCAAAACTTTCCGACAGAGTTTCTAGCCAGTGAAAGCAAAGAAGAAGAAGAACAACAATATTTGTAAAGGTGAGAGGTTTGATCTCAATGCTCTGGGTTTTCTCCAGTATGTCCCAGTCTATCTCTGCAGAGCTGATAATTACTCACCAAGAGCCTTGCACAAAGCATGAATTCTGTAGCTCCAGGAAAGACCCCAAGAAATCTCAGAAACACTCTGACTAGCAAACTGAACTGAAACCCTCTAGGGAGGCAAGTGGTTAACCACAAGTAATCTTAATTCAGTTCCAACTTTATACAAAAATTTCACCCCAAAGTAGCTCCGTTTCTGCACCCAAAAAAACTGCACAGAATGTCCATTGAGGTTGCTTGTGAACAAATTAACACAGACTGAAGCCTTGGAAAAGCATAGATAGGTAGGTATCAGGCAGCTGTCTGAAGAGCAAAGATACACAGTGGAACACTAGAAATACAGTTCATGAGTGTGTATGTGTCTGTATGTATTGGAATGTAAGAGTGTGTGGGTGTGTGTGTGTGTGTGCATTTTTGAGTGTGTATGTGTCTGTATGTATTGGCCTGTATGTGTGGGTTTTTGAATATGCATGATTGTGTAAAGATGATCTATGTATGCATTATTTCATTATGTATATTTTTCTATACAAAGATAACATGTGTTACTGATAACATGCAACTGTTGTTTGACAGATGAGTGTTTGGCAGGGCCAACGTAAGATGGGCCTCCCTGCCCAGTTTGTAACTTTTTGAAGAAAAGTTTGTTTGTTCATTTCTTCTACATTTGTGTAAACAGTCTTAAAACAAATCAGTAATTGCATGCACAGGTAATAAGGTAGAAACCAATTAATTACTTACAGCCCACTTCTAATGTCAAAACTGCAGAGTCTGAGCCAGCCTCATTCTGGACCACACATCGGTAGTCTCCAGCATCTGAGTCCATGACATCGGAGATGATTAAATGGTCGCCATAAGTGACGTCAACATTGTAGGCCGACTGCAGCTGAAATATACATGTTGAACATTCTCTTCATGTAAAGTATCCTTTTTGTGGGAGCCACCATGGTGTAGCAGCTAGATACTTGTCTGAGAATCAGAGGGTTGTGAGTTCGGGTCCTGATGGAGCCAGATTATCATCACAAATGACTTTGGCTCCCAGATCGACTCAGCCTTGATGGGGTACCAGATAAGTCCTGGGAAGTAAAGGCAGCCGGCGTGATACAGACCACATCACCTACAAAGTGCCAATTGGTCTAAAAAATACAGGACTAGCCCTATATGCCCACTACGCCTGAAGGCGTGGAAAGGGTCCTCTACTTTACACACCCTTTTCATCCTACAGGCATCTCCTGCACAGGTGCTAGACACATTTTCTTTATTGACTAACCAATAATCAATGAGTAATTTTGTCAACATCCTGCAATCCACCTTTACTTCCCATGAAATTTTTTGCCACACATTTTACTATGAGATGGGAGCCTAAATTAAAAAGAAAAATTTGCAGATTTGAACCTGAGACCTTCAGGCAGGAAAACAAGTGTCTAGCTACTGCACATAAACATGGCTGCCACATTCTAACAAAGTAAAGGTCCCTTTTCCTCACCAACAGTGGCATTGCTTATATAGGGCTTGACCTATATTTGATAGATCTCTCAGCCCTCCATGGATGATACAGTCCACATCAAACCAGCCGCCTTCACTTCCCAGGATGTTACATGCTACCCAGTTAAGACTGGGTCAACCTGGGAGCCAAGCTTATTTTGAAAAAAAAGTCCAGCTCCGTTCAAATTTAAACCTATTACCTTCAGATCCACAGATGAGCATCTAACCACTACACCACTGTGGCTACCCACATGATAAGAAAGACAAACACAATTGAGCAACATAAATGACACTCTGAAGGCTTGATGTCAACATTCTGCTGTTTCTCATCTTGTTTTTTTTTTTTTACCTTTTAATTCCAATATCTGGTGTGGGTTTCGGGACCCCATTTCATAGGAAAAAAGTGACTGTAAGACTGCAGACCTGTATGATATCATCCTCTGCCCTACCGAGCCATGATTTGCCAATTTTTAGCCTGTTGTCCTTTTTCCTAAAGAGAACATTATGCGAGGTTACTTCAAATCCCAGCTTATCTTCAGGAATGCACCAGTCCTCCAGATCTTTATCCTATGGTGCATTGTTGGAAAATATGTAGATTGTATTTGCGATTCAAACCTGTTGTGGAAATAACTAAAGATAAAGCTAGAACGTGGCTTCCAGTTTCTGCTTGTAATGATGAACTCACTCACTTTCAAAATGAGGATGAGACCAGATGATTTGATGTTGAACTTGATAAAAATGGATCCTCCTAAACTTGCCTCATCAATTCAACGTACTCAAAACCAATACTTAGCGTGTAAAACAGATTTAATGTTCACTCTTTGCTCCATGCTGTAAGCTAATTTAACAAAACAGTGGATTACTTGTCCTCCTCTGACTAAGTGGTAGTATAGTTTGGCCAAATCACAGATGAATAGTGCCTGTTTGGATAATATGCTTTTCTTCATGGATGCTGTTTTTGCCTTGGCCATAATAAGAATCTCATTATTTAACTGCCAGACTGTGAACTATCATGTTTTTTTAGAATGTGGCCTTTTCAGGCCAGAACTTTTTTCTCACCTCTTGATTCAATGAAACTGTTTAAAAGAGTGATTTATAGCCCACTTGCTAGGTTCAACATAGAATATAACAACACAGATCCCATCTGGAGGAAGATGAGAAGAGCACATAAAAAAAGCATTAAAAAAATCAGCAAAAAATAAAAACAAATAACAGATGAAGACAGGAAAGAAGCTGAGGCAATAGAAGAGGCATACGTGAAACGTACAGGATGGAAGAAAAAAGAAAAAACATAGAAATAAGAAGCAAAAGGATGAAGAGGTGTAAGAGCTTCAGTAAAAGAACAAACAGGAGCAGGAGGGTAGGACGACATAAGGAACAACAAAGAAAAAGAGAAGGCGGTGATGAGGAATAAGATTCTTAGTATAGAAATAGTAAACTTTACCTTTCTATCTGACCTATACCAAGTGGTATTTGGAGGAGGAATGCCGTCCGCAATACACGACAGCCTGGCATCATCTCCAACAGCAACCAGAAGTTTGCGCTCAAACTCCCTCACTCTGGGTGCCTCTGTGAATATTTCAATACAATATTAGTTGAATAACAACTCCATATATAGTTCTGCTGGCACAATAGTTGCTATGCTTGCTTACCTTCAATAATTACTTGCTTTCATAGTAGTCTAGATCCAGTCGTCAGTCTAGATTTATTGCTAATTTACATTCAATTGTTAGGACAGATTCAATCACAAGTCTAGATTCAATCACCAGTTTAGATTCATTCACCAATCTAGATTCAATCACCAGTCTAGATTCAATCACCAGTCCAGATTCAATAACCAGTCTAGATTCAATCACCAGTCTAGATTCAATCACCAGTCTAGATTCAATCACAAGTCTAGATTCAATCACCAGTCTAGATTCAATCACCAGTCTAGATTCAATCACCAGTCTAGATTCAATCACCAGTCCAGATTTAATCACCAGTCTAGATTCAATCACCAGTCTAGATTCAACCACAAGTCTAGATTCAATCATAAGTTTAGATTCAATCACAAGTCTAGATTCAATCACAAGTCTAGATTCAATCACCAGTCCAGATTCAATCACTAATCTAGATTAAATCATGTCTAAATTCAATCATCAGTCCAAAATTCAATCACCAGTCTAGATACAATCATTAGTTTAGATTCAGTCATCATTTTAGATTCAATCACCAGTCTAGATTCAATCCCCAATCTAGATTTAATCACACATCTAGATTCAATTATCAGTCTAGATTCAATGGCCAACATTGGTAAGATTCAAGTTCCCAGTGAGAGCGGCTGTGTGACTGACTCAGCCTGATACATTATAAACACAGGACCCATTCCCAAATTTTGAGCTTGTGATACTAGGACTGAGAACACAGCACTTGGAGCATACCTAAAAGTGCTCCATCCTCGCTCTTTCACAGCCAGCGCAGAGTTCCAATTCCAGTTGTTTTAAGAGCTTCTGATGTTATGACGGTCTTGCCTTTCTCGCTGAGTGTTGAGTGTTGGCATGATTCCCTGGTTACTCCCTGCTGAGTGTTGAGTGTCAGCATGATCCCCTGGTTACTCCCTGCTGAGTGTTGAGTGTCAGCATGATCCCCTGGTTACTCCCTGCTGAGTGTTGAGTGTCAGCATGATTTCCTGGTTACTCCTTGCTGAGTGTTGAGTGTCAGCATGATCCCCTGGTTACTCCTTGCTGAGTGTTGAGTGTCAGCATGATCCCCTGGTTACTCCCTGCTGAGTGTTGAGTGTCAGCATGATCCCCTGGTTACTCCCTGCTGAGTGTTGAGTGTCAGCATGATCCCCTGGTTACTCCCTGCTGAGTGTTGAGTGTCAGCATGATCCCCTGGTTACTCCCTGCTGAGTGTTGAGTGTCAGCATGATCCCCTGGTTACTCCCTGCTGAGTGTTGAGTGTCAGCATGATTCCCTGGTTACTCCCTGCTGAGTGTTGAGTGTCAGCATGATCCCCTGGTTACTCCCTGCTGAGTGTTGAGTGTCAGTATTAACCCCTGGTTACTCCCTTCTGAGTGTTGTGTCAGTATGATCCCCTGGTTACTCCCTGCTGAGTGTTGAGTGTCAGCATGATCCCCTGGTTACTCCCTGCTGAGTGTTGAGTGTCAGCATGATTCCCTGGTTACTCCCTGCTGAGTGTTGAGTGTCAGCATGATCCCCTGGTTACTCCCTGCTGAGTGTTGAGTGTCAGCATGATCCCCTGGTTACTCCTTGCTGAGTGTTGAGTGTCAGCATGATCCCCTGGTTACTCCCTGCTGAGTGTTGAGTGTCAGCATGATCCCCTGGTAACTCCCTGCTGAGTGTTGAGTGTCAGCATGATCCCCTGGTTACTCCCTGCTGAGTGTTGAGTGTCAGCATGATTCCCTGGTTACTCCTTGCTGAGTGTTGAGTGTCAGCATGATCCCCTGGTTACTCCCTGCTGAGTGTTGAGTGTCAGCATGATTCCCTGGTTACTCCCTGCTGAGTGTTGAGTGTCAGCATGATCCCCTGGTTACTCCCTGCTGAGTGTTGAGTGTCAGCATGATCCCCTGGTTACTCCCTGCTGAGTGTTGAGTGTCAGCATGATTCCCTGGTTACTCCTTGCTGAGTGTTGAGTGTCAGCATGATCCCCTGGTTACTCCTTGCTGAGTGTTGAGTGTCAGCATGATCCCCTGGTTACTCCCTGCTGAGTGTTGAGTGTCAGTATTATCCCCTGGTTACTCCCTGCTGAGTGTTGAGTGTCAGCATGATCCCCTGGTTACTCCCTGCTGAGTGTTGAGTGTCAGCATGATCCCCTGGTTACTCCCTGCTGAGTGTTGAGTGTCAGCATGATCCCCTGGTTACTCCCTGCTGAGTGTTGAGTGTCAGCATGATTCCCTGGTTACTCCCTGCTGAGTGTTGAGTGTCAGCATGATCCCCTGGTTACTCCCTGCTGAGTGTTGAGTGTCAGTATTAACCCCTGGTTACTCCCTTCTGAGTGTTGAGTGTCAGTATGATCCCCTGGTTACTCCCTGCTGAGTGTTGAGTGTCAGCATGATCCCCTGGTTACTCCCTGCTGAGTGTTGAGTGTCAGCATGATCCCCTGGTTACTCCCTGCTGAGTGTTGAGTGTCAGCATGATCCCCTGGTTACTCCCTGCTGAGTGTTGAGTGTCAGCATGATCCCCTGGTTACTCCTTGCTGAGTGTTGAGTGTCAGCATGATCCCCTGGTTACTCCCTGCTGAGTGTTGAGTGTCAGCATGATCCCCTGGTTACTCCCTGCTGAGTGTTGAGTGTCAGCATGATCCCCTGGTTACTCCCTGCTGAGTGTTGAGTGTCAGCATGATCCCCTGGTTACACCTTGCTGAGTGTTGAGTGTCAGCATGATCCCCTGGTTACTCCCTGCTGAGTGTTGAGTGTCAGCATGATCCCCTGGTTACTCCCTGCTGAGTGTTGAGTGTCAGCATGATCCCCTGGTTACTCCCAGCTGAGTGTTGAGTGTCAGCATGATCCCTTGGTTACTCCCTGCTGAGTGTTGAGTGTCGGCATGATCCCCTGGTTACTCCCTGCTGAGTGTTGAGTGTCAGCATGATCCCCTGGTTACTCCCTGCTGAGTGTTGAGTGTCAGCATGATCCCCTGGTTACTCCTTGCTGAGTGTTGAGTGTCAGTATGATCCCCTGTTTACTCTCTGCTGCACCACTCTCTGTATACATTGAGGATTTGTTTGTGCCTTCACACTGTTCACTGATTCCCAAAGTGCCTTCACACTGTTCACTGATTCCCAAAGTGCCTTCACACTGTTCACTGATTCCCAAAGTGCCTTCACACTGTTCACTGATTCCCAAAGTGCCTTCACACTGTTCACTCATCCCCAAAGTGCCTTCACACTGTTCACTGATTCCCAAAGTGCCTTCACACTGTTCACTGATTCCCAAAGTGCCTTCACACTGTTCACTGATTCCCAAAGTGCCTTCACACTGTTCACTCATCCCCAAAGTGCCTTCACACTGTTCACTGATTCCCAAAGTGCCTTCACACTGTTCACTCATCCCCAAAGTGCCTTCACACTGTTCACTCATTCCTGAAGTGCCAAACACAGAAAGCTGTAGAGAGAAGTCTGAGAGAAAACCTAGCCTTAGTATAAAATAGTATGAACATTTTTATGTAGACTGTGTGGCAGAGACTGCCATTCCTGTACTGGACTTTACATTCATAGCAAAAGCTGTTTCCAAAACCAACTCTATGCTCCAAGGGATGTGCTGATTACTACTGCTGCTGCTGCTACTGCTTCTATTACTATTACCACAACCACTACTACTGGAACAATAATAAAAACTAAACCCTTCAGTACTTAAGAAAGAGAATAGGGACTTTTGAGCTGAAATGCTATAGAAAGATTCTCAGAAGATGGACAAAGAAGAGAAGAAATACTGATATTTTAAAAGATCCAAACATCAAGGAAGATTGGCTAATAAATAGTGTCTTGTCTTGGAAGCTGAAATATTTTGGCCATATCAAGTGCCATGGCAAACTGGAAAAGATAATAGCAGAGGCATGGTACCAGGTAGGAGGTGCAGGGGCTGACCAACATAAAAATGGTCATTGGATATAACTCATTTCTTGAATATGAAAGTACTTGAGGTGAGGGAGCTGGTGAGAGACCAAGTTTCTTTCAAGCAAGCCCTGATGAGAGCGAATTTCTGCAAAGGACCTGCCACATGATGATAATGAACGTGTACCACAGCTTCAGTCACATGACTTACCAATATACACAAGTCTGGATCTCACCACAGCCGTTCCAGCAGAATTTTGTGCCAAGCATTCATATTCTCCTTCGTCAGAAGGTTTGAGGTTTCTAAAGGAAATGTAGCCGCCATCAATCTGGAAGCGTCCACCAGTCGGCAGTGCTTCCCCATCCTGCTGCCACACAAATGTTGGCTCGGGGTATCCTCCAGCGATACAAGTGAAGTTGTGCGTGGAGCCAGTAACAAAGGTTTGTTCTCTGGGGGTTATCTGAGCCACTGGTGGTACTGTAAGCACAATCATAGATATCAATCATTGAAATGTTGTCCTGACTATCTGGGCAATTAAAACAGGATAGAAATAAATTTAAATTTAAATCAGCAAGGCATTTAATGATAATTATGAGTTTATGTGTTAGATTATGAAAGGTGGGGAGGTTCTGCTTGAGTTGGTTGAAACTCTGGGCTCCATTATTATTTGCCATGCCAATGCCAACACTGGACTTTAAGTATGTGGTGAATTCTTCCTCACACAAATATTGTTGACATTCCTATTGTGGGGACAGATTTTAGCAAGTTTTCTATCTAGACATCATCATCATCACCATCATTCATAATCACCATCATGTGTGTCACAACCCTATTAAGTACAGTCAGTGTACCACACCGTAAGGTGTGCACCCAGGGTTGACACAGAGGTCAGGGCCGTCACTGGTCAAGTCCGTTCTGTGATCGCACGGCGAAACCAGCGCTCAGGATAAAGCAAGAAAGCTTGAACTGTGTTTTAGTAACACGATGACTGCTTCTGGGACTGAGCTGGTGAACGGGGGTCAAGAGACACGAGGGAGAAGGAAGGAGGACATTCGGTGTGCGTCAGTCAGGAAGAGAGGACGTTTAGTGACTGGATAGTTTATGTTATAGTATTAAAGTTAGGATATATTTCTGTTAGTGACTGGATAGTTTATGTACAGTTTTGTGTTAGGATAGGATAGTTCTTGTGTAGAGTATTTATGTATATGTGCTGTGAGAGAGTGGCTAACCTGGACACTCTGACCCTGCACTAAGACAGAGACTGTGACAGTTTGATTGGGTCAGCGTGGCGATAGAAGAGAGCGTATCCTGCCGGATTGTGGTTTGTACACCAGAGTATTGCCTGTCGCACGTACTGGGGACGGGGCGATTGTAAAGCCCGTCCAGCCAGAGGGTCCAGGCAATAGGTGGCCACACGGCGGGAAGTCAACTGTCTATGTATTACCTGTACTTCCAATAAAGATTGTCGTGTGTGCTCTGTGTGCGTTCGGGTTCAGTGTGTGTTGTAGGTTAGTTTGTCTGTCATAGGCCTAGTTAGCGAGCCACGGACCGGTAAGGTCATACCAGAGGTTTGTGACAGATTATGGGGGCGTTCGTCCTTGGGAATTGAATCGATAGTAGTAGCTAGATAGGAATAGTTGTCCGCGTTAATTGTGAACCCAATGTGCTTGTATTTATTTGTCTAAATAGGAGACATAGATTAGTTCGTATGTTTTGCTGACTGATTTTTTTTTTTTCTTTATGTTTTGTCGTTCACTATTGTAGGGCTAACGTGTTTGAGTTAATCCCTTAATTTTGATGTTGCTATCGAGTAAGTTTGTGATGGCGTTGCTGAGTTTATTCTCTTAAATAGTGCATCGTTGTCCGGGCCTACTCTTAATTATTGATAGCGACATCGGGGTTGGCTTGGGTCACTCGTAGCGCTATAAAGTGATAGTTTGTTATCGTTTTCGTATTTGTTCCGACTGATTGTAATTAATAATGACTAAATGTGATAGGGCTGCGTTTGCGTCGTGACAAGTTAGTGACGTAGAGGAGAAATAGTTTAACGGACAGTAAAAAGGGTGAGGAAGGTCAAGATTGTGTGCTGTTGTGTGGTTGCTGCCGACACCAATCAACCGAGGCCTGTCGATCTCGGTCATCACCTCATCCTCATCATTCTTTCTGTGGGAGGCCAAGAATCAAGGACTGGAGAGAAGATAAGTTTGTTTTGTTTTTGGTGTATTGTTGTGGTCTGTTCTCCAGCCCTCGAGGGTTCTACGCAATTGTATTTGAGCCCCTGGCACCGTTCATTGTCCTTCTCATTTCTCGTCTGTCCTTTTCATCATTTACGTTATTTTTGTGGGTGGTTGGCAGGGCTAGTCTTGTGTTGTCCCTAGTTGTCTAGTGTTGCTAGGTTAACATAAGATTACGTGTCAGCTATATTGCGATTCTAGTCTCGTCTGAAACTCGTTGTGCAGCCGGGTCTATTGTCAAGATATATGCTTGTAGCGTCTTGTTTGTAAATAGTTATTGTCCAATCGTTGTGCTTTCCTGTCAATAAGTGTCTATCTAGTAGTACGTTATCGTTCGTGCGTGTACCGTCTGATTTAGAGATTAATAATCTCTTCGAGGTGTTTTCGTGTGTGAAATTGTTTTCCACGTAGTGATACTAGTGCTGTTCATTTTTGTGTTAATTTTTTTTTTGTGCACACACATCATCATCCCTCATTCGGAAATTGTAACGAATAAGTTTCGGTGACCCATCCCTTTTCTGTATCGGAACAGTCCAAATTGTTCCATAATTATTATTATTTTTGTATTGCATTTATTAATTTGCTATATTATTTGCAGTGTTTTCACTGATTTCCGGGCTTGCCACTTAGTAATTTTTAGTATTTTTGTTCGTGGCAGCTACGGTTAGTCAGGTGATTTGTTGAGTGGTTGTTGATTAGTATTTTGAACAAAAGATCATTGTTATTGTAATTAAGATGTCGAGTCTATCTGAGTTCCTCGAGATGGCAAAACAGCATGGTCTGACTGGCGAGAAGGCGCTAGAATGGGCAGATAAGAAATATGCCGATCTTCAAGAGAGAAAAGACAGAGCTGACGAAAGAGAACTCAAGAAATTGGAACTAGAAGCCGCTGGTAAACTAAAGCAGATCGAACTGGAAGCCCAGGCGGCATTAAAAGACAAAGAAGTAAAGCCCAAGCTCAGATAGCTCTTTAAAACAACAGGAGTTATCTGCGATGGCTGAGAGAGACAGGGTACAGTTGTTGATAAAGGACAAAGAACTAGAACACACCTCTACCTTGAGACTCAAAGAGATGATATGCAATTCAGACCTAGAGAAAGAAAGGCTGGTGATGGAACTAAAGGCCAAAGAGATAGAAGCAACTAGAGATGCGGAGGTGCAGATGCGTAAGGCTGAGATAAAGGCTGCTGAACCTTCGTTCAAAAAGTACCAGGGCCTAATAAAATTTTTTACACAGGGTGATTCCATATCTGCATGGACACAAAATTTTGAATGTATGGTTAATCACTATGAGGTCCCTTTTAAAGAGTGGTCACTGATTTACCGAAAACATCTAGGGGGGGAACCTTTGAAATTACTAGAAACAATCCCTACTGAAAAACTTGAGGATTATTATTTTGTCAGGGACAGAATTCTCCAACATTTCTCCCTAGATGAGGAATCTTACAGAAATACCTTTAAAAATTTGATTCCGAAAGCTGAACAGACATTTCTGGATTACATGTCTGAGGTGGTATCCACTTTCGACAAGTGGGTAACATCGGCGAAAGTGAACAAATCATACGAGTTGTTAAAAGATCTTTGATAAGAGACAAGGTGTTGTCAAGTGTCCCGAGCAGCATGAAGACGTTTTTGATTGAGCAAAAACCTGAAACAGTAAAGCAGATGGAAGATGCAGGTGCTGCATACTGGAATGCTCACAGAAACATTTTTAGTTTCAACAGGGGTGCAGACATCGGCTACGGAGCTGCAGTACAACCTGTATACAGGAAAAAGCAATATACTCAGAAGAAAGGAGAATACTCAAAAGAGTATAAGAGCTACAGACCTGTAAGAGATAAAGGTCCAATAGTTACATGCCTATACTGTAAAAGAGATCATGGTCAACGACAGTGGTGCGAAATGAACCCAAAGTATGAAGAGCATTTTCGTAAGAGGGAGAAAGAAATGCATGAGAAAAGCTCAGTAAACTACCCACTCCAGTGTCGCCTGTGCGACTCGATTGATCATTTACAAAAAGACTGTAAGATGAGAAGAAGACAGCATCAGAGTGCAGCTGCAGAAATATCTGACAGTGGCAGTGACTCTGGAAGTAGGTTCTCTGATGGGAGTATGGCAGATGTACCTACAGCAAATTCAGCTGAGCTTGTGAACTTCTCTGACACAGGATGCCAGACCTACAGAGGGTTTAATGAAGAGGGTAATCTGACCTGTGGTCACAGTGAGATAGGGGATGCAAATGCGGTAACGAGTTTCGATGGCCAGCTGAAGTTCACGAAAGGGGTAGTTAATGGAAAAGTAGTGACAATTTTACGGGATTCTGGGTCGACAGTTTTTGGTATAAGAGAAAGTCTAGTGAATGCGTGTGATTTGACGGGTGAATATATTGTATGTCGAACCTTTTCAGGGAAGAAAGAAAAGTATGATTTGGCATGGGCCAATCTAAAATCAGCTCACTGCACAGGTAGAACAAAATTTGCAGTGCTGGCAGACCCTGTTGCTGATATTATCCTTGGCAACTGTAAAAATGTAAAGGATGTCTCTGAAAGTGAGATAATCGAGTGGCAGAGGGACAACATAACTTGCAATGTTGTAACTGGACAGCAGTCCGTGAGAGAGAGTGATGTGAATGAAAGTGTATGTATGAAAAATATTTTTACTGTCAACACATCAACTCAAACAAACCTTTCAGAGAATTTCTACACAAATAAAACAATTGAAATCTCTCCCGATAATGTTTATTCGGAAGAACTGTTACCAATCCCTTCTAAACCAACTGACAAATTAGTGGTTGAGGAGTTCCATAATAGAACTGTCATTCCTGACTCTAATGTAGTTGATACGACAGATATTCTCTTGTCTGTCCTACAAGACTTACCTGCAACCAAACAAACCCTTACACCTAATATTACCCAACAAATTTCAGAAACATCTACACAGAAAGCTGAAATTGATAATGTTCTCTCTGATGTGCCAGGCAGATGTACACACATTTACCAGCATCTACAATTAATAATCAACAAACCGGTCAAAATAAAACATACTTTATTATTTCTGATACTGCAATGTATACTGTTGACATGTGCATGTTTATTAATGATGCCTTATAGATTATCTGATGTTCAAGGAATACAACATTTTGGATTTACAGATCTTCCCAAAATTTTGAATCTTAAAAACTCCACCAACAATAAGGAGATCCGAAGCTTACTCGACCTCATCAATCATTACAACCAATTTACCTTGAACATTATCCAGGAAAATGTATTTTTCACTAAACCATTAAAAAGGGAGCATTCCAATACAATTGAGTTGAACCGAGAACTAGATCATACTTTCACCAAAATCAAGACTCTTTTCTCCAGTTCCCCTATTTTAAATCTGTCTAATATCATATTACCATTTGTTCTCAGATATCATACCAGTGGTACGGCAGTTGCGGTATGTCTGATGCAGTGGGATGGCGAGATGTTACACCCAAACTGCTGTGTGAGCAGTAGGTTGTCTCCAGCCCAGGTACACTATGTACAGTGTCCTGCAGTGATTGTCTGTGTGACAAGACTCAATCGTTACCTCCTGGGCAGACTTTTTGTCCTACAATCGGACAACCAGCCATTGCTCGTCACTAAGTCTGGTGCGCCGAAGAACAATAGAATCACCAGACGGGCACTGCTACTGCAAGATTTCCAATTCACAATCACTTACAACAAGGGCAACAGCAACAACCGGCTGACCTATTAAGCCGGCTGTAAAACTATTGATTGCCTAGTGGTATCCTGAAATTGACAGTCTGGTACCTTCAGAAATTTAAAGACTGTGTGAAACATTGTCTTCATATATTCATGCCTTCTTGAATGACTAGAAACTGTCTCATAACGGAATTCTACACCAAGTTTCATAGATCCAGTTGTCAAGTAGCAGTGTATACAAGTACTGTTCTAGCCTAAAACCAGTGAACTGAACAATCGTAAAAGATTACCCAACAGGAAGATAGAGGTGATGATCATTCTAAGGACTTCAGCAGAATGGAAAATGTGATGTATGAAAGAAGAGTGTAAGTGGAATAAAAGGGAATGAATGTATAGAATAGAATTCTATGTTGTGATTGTCATATTATAAGTTAATCTTATTATGTTCATCTTTAATATAATATATGTTGGATGGATTATATATGTTTTATATGTTCTGTATGTGCTATATGTTTTATATGTTTGTTTCATGTATATTATTTGGTTTTGAATTGATAAGTTTATTCATTCAATTTCATTCGCACAATTTTTATTTGTGTATTTTTCTTATTTATTTTGATTTGTAACTATTGTGTTGGTATCTATGATTTTATCTAAATTTATTTTTCTTATTTATTTTTTTGTAACTATTGTGTTGGTATCTATGATGAGTAATTTATCTAAATTTATTTTTCTTATTTATTTTGATTTGTAATAATTGTTTTCGTATCTATGATGAGTAATTTATTATTTTATTATTTATTTTGATTTGTAACCACTGTGTTAGTATTTATTAATTTATTTGTTTATTTTTCTTATTTATTTTGATTTGTAATTATTGTGTTGGTATTTATGATGAGTAATTTATTTGTGGATTTTTCTTATTTATTTTGATTTGTTTATGTGTTGCGATTTTGATGAGTAATTTATCAGTATTTATTTTTTTATTTATTTTGATTTGTAACTATTATGGTATTTATAAAAGGGAAATAATTTTGAGTTTGAAAATTATTTCATGTATATTTTGCTTATTTATTTTGATTTGTAAATTTTATTGTTTTGTTGGAATGAATATAGTGTAATGACTTTTGTTTGTGAAATTATTATGTATGTATTTTGCTTATTTATTTTCAGTGTAAAATTATTTGTGGGACAATCCATTTGGATTTTACAAATATACTTTCTTTTCTTTTCTTTGCTAAAGATTTTTTGTTAGATTACATAAGTAATGTTAATTGTTTGATTTGCAATTACTTTTGGTTTAAAATTCTCGAATTGCAATAATAATATTCTTCGGTTTTTGAAACTTAATCTGAAATCCATTACTTTTATTAAAAGTTTCAATGAGTTTAATATTAACTGAGTGTCCTATGTGCACTAAATGTAAATGTTAAAGTATATGTTAGACAATAATGCATTATAGGTAGATAACTTTGTAAACTAGTAGACTTTAAAATAACTGACAATTTAGTTTGGCAGTAAAATGAACTTATTTTAATTTTTTTTTTTTTCTCTTTAAATTGTTTATTTTGCTTTCCAAAATTGATGATGACAGTTTAAATGAAAGTTAGATTGTACTTTTACAAGGGCACTCACATGGAGAGTTAATGATGTTTGTAACTAGTATCGCATATATGGAGATTACATTTGAGGAGTAGCACTATCCTTGGAGGATGGGAGTGTGTCCAACTGGCCACAGATTTGTTTACTGCCTATTTTGCACTGTGGGTCATATGGGGTGATTTGTGTCTTGGCAGGTACTGCGGATTCGCGGACACATTATACGACTGTAGGTCGGGGAGTCAGGTCATGACTCCTTTTCACAACCATGGATAAGTCTTTGTGGAGACAGTCCATGACGCCCACTGTTATAAATCACGGTGTCGTTGGTTAAACGGCTTGGGAGTGTATACAGTGGCGTCTTACTTGCACAGTAAGTGAAGTAAGGTGTAATTGGGTCCCGGACGATTTGAGTGTCCACCCAAATTATTATTTATATCATTACCCATATGATTTGAAGGTGTAATGAGTAGTGACGTATTTGTGTCAAGGGCTGATACCATTTCTACCCATTAGGGAGGAGCTTACCCATTGAATGTATATACCCATTAAATATGTGCCAGATAGTTTGTCCTTAGGTGATTGACCCAAAAGTACATGACATATATTTTTTTTTAGGTAACTAAATATTGACGATAAAATTTAAAAACATGACTGTACATGATGGCAGGCCATGCTTTGCTGATACTTGACTTTGTCAGGAAGTATCAGTTCAGAGGAAGGGTGAATGTCACAACCCTATTAAGTACAGTCAGTGTACCACACCGTAAGGTGTGCACCCAGGGTTGACACAGAGGTCAGGGCCGTCACTGGTCAAGTCCGTTCTGTGATCGCACGGCGAAACCAGCGCTCAGGATAAAGCAAGAAAGCCTGAACTGTGTTTTAGTAACACGATGACTGCTTCTGGGACTGAGCTGGTGAACGGGGTCAAGAGACACGAGGTAGAAGGAAGAAGGGACATTCGGTGTGCGTCAGTCAGGAAGAGAGGACGTTTAGTGACTGGATAGTTTATGTTATAGTATTAAAGTTAGGATATATTTCTGTTAGTGACTGGATATAGTTTATGTACAGTTTTGTGTTAGGATAGGATAGTTCTTGTGTAGAGTATTTATGTATATGTGCTGTGAGAGAGTGGCTAACCTGGACACTCTGACCCTGCACTAAGACAGAGACTGTGACAGTTTGATTGGGTCAGCGTGGCGATAGAAGAGAGCGTATCCTGCCGGATTGTGGTTTGTACACCAGAGTATTGCCTGTCGCACGTACTGGGGACGGGGCGATTGTAAAGCCCGTCCAGCCAGAGGGTCCAGGCAATAGGTGGCCACACGGCGGGAAGTCAACTGTCTATGTATTACCTGTACTTCCAATAAAGATTGTCGTGTGTGCTCTGTGTGCGTTCGGGTTCAGTGTGTGTTGTAGGTTAGTCTGTCTGTCATAGGTCCTTGCCAAGAATAGTTATGATTTCACAGCTTACCAAACTCCAGATAAAATGAATAAATGTGAGCTCCATAAAAGCAGCCTTAGTTAGCCGGTATGTGCAAAATTATCTGTAAGCAGCGGAGATCTGGTTTAACGGATACACAATGAGAGCACCATGGATTAAAAAAAAAAAAAATTAATGATTGATTAACTGATTGCCGGCATCACAAGGAGACAATCTATGTTCTTTGATCACATTATGAGGAGAAATCATATCTACATTGTGTCAGTGGGAAAGCTAGGGGGGAACCGTGACAGAGGTAGACAGACAGAAGATTCTGGACAGTTTTACACGGCATGGAAGATCATCTGTGTCAGAATGACTGAAAGTAGACAAGACAGGAGACTGGATAGATACGACTTCCAACACAATATGGCGTGAACTGTAAAAATAAGATTTGCAGTTGTTTAAGTTGTAACAACAGGAGATTTGTGTGCACTAGGTGACCCCAGACTGTCATGCGAGTGCAGCTGAGTGAAAACATCACATAATTGAAAAAAGACAGAAGTGGAGGAGATCAAACAGATTACCTTTCAACTTTAAGGTCAACATTTCTGTAGTTGAGCCTCCCTCATTGTGTGCTGTACAGGTGTAGCTACCTTCATCATGTCTGCCAACATTTCTGTAATAAATAGGTCACTGTTGAACTTACACTGTATGTAGCAGTCACATAAAAAAAATAAAACATAAGTAACCATCATCATACACCTTATGGACCATACATCTCACTTTCTTTTGGGGTGTTGGAAAGGGGGGGGGGGGCAGTTAAAGTACAGACAATAGTACAGGAAAATAATGACAACAGTAATGTAACAGACAACAATCATGACTAGGACAACAGCCAAGCAAACAGCAGAGACTTCCTGTGCTCAACCCTGGTAGAGACACTGCAGATAATGAAGAAAAATAAGACATGTTTGTATGTCTGTGTTGCTGTATTCCTACAGTCTATAAAGGAAAATAAGACATGTTTGTATGTCTGTGTTGCTGTATTCCTACAGTCTATAAAAAAAAATAAGACATGTTTGTATGTCTGTGTTGCTGTATTCCTACACTCTTTGAAGAAAAAGAAGACTTGTTTGTATGTCTGTGTTGCTGTATTCCTACAGTCAATGAAGCAAATAAGACATGTTTGTATGTCTGTGTTGCTGTATTCCTACAGTCTATGAAGAAAAAGAAGACAAGGTTGTATGTTTGTGTTGCTGTATTCCTACAGTCTATGAAGAAAAATAATACATGGTTGCATGTCTGTGTTGCTGTATTCCTACAGTCTATGAAGAAAAAGATGACATGGTTGCATGTCTGTGTTGCTGTATTCCTACAGTCTATGAAGAAAAATAAGACAAGGTTGCATGTCTGTGTTGCTGTATTCCTACAGTCTATGAAGAAAAAGAAGACAAGGCTGTATGTCTGTGTTGCTGTATTCCTACAGTCTATGAAGAAAAAGAAGACAAGGTTGTATGTCTGTGTTGCTGTATTCCTACAGTCTATGAAGAAAAATAATACATGGTTGCATGTCTGTGTTGCTGTATTCCTACAGTCTATGAAGAAAAAGATGACATGGTTGCATGTCTGTGTTGCTGTATTCCTACAGTCTATGAAGAAAAATAAGACAAGGTTGTATGTCTGTGTTGCTGTATTCCTACAGTCTATGAAGAAAAAGAAGACATGTTTGTATGTCTGTGTTGCTGTATTCCTATAGTCTATAAAGAAAAAGAAGACATGTTTGTATGTCTGTGTTGCTGTATTCCTACAGTCTATGAAGAAAAATAAGACATGGTTGTATGTCTGTGTTGCTGTATTCCTACAGTCAATGAAGAAAAATAAGACATGGTTGTATGTCTGTGTTGCTGTATTCCTACCGTCTATAAAGAAAAATAAGACATGGTTGTATGTCTGTGTTGCTGTATTCCTACAATCTATGAAGAAAAATAAGACATGGTTGCATGTCTGTGTTGCTGTATTCCTACCGTCTATAAAGAAAAAAAAGACATGGTTGTATGTCTGTGTTGCTGTATTCCTACAGTCTATAAAGAAAAAGAAGACATGTTTGTATGTCTGTGTTGCTGTATTCCTACAGTCTAATAACATATGCACACCTACCTGATCAGCAAGGTATCATTATTATATGTCCGTATCCTTGGGTCCAGGGTTAATGAACCGTAGTGGTTGGTTCGCTTCCATGTCATATTGTAAGGGACACTACTGAAGGCGGTACAGGACAACATGGCCGTCTCTCCCGGCAGAACTGATATATTCTGTGGCGGCAGAATTACCGGTGGTGGATCTATCAAACAGACAGGCAGGATTATAATGACAAAAACAAAATCAAGAGCTGGACAAACAACATTCTGAGACAGTGTACAACAAAGACATGAGAAAAAGTGTTGGAGATCTACTGCAGACCACCTTTTATTGCAGGAATGTGAGATGACTGATGGTGAAAACAGATTCAGTGGCACACATAAAGTGTTTCTGTAGCAAACAAAGCAGGAAAATAAACACTTATGCTCATGATGTCACCGTGCAATATCCTTTTTTGTTTAATAAACGGAAAAATGTTATGTTAACTTGAGAGCTGCATTTTCCAGAGGCCAAGGGTGCTGCTGTCATGTAAGGCCAAGGGTGCTACTGTCATATAAGGCCAAGGGTGCTGCTGTCATGTAAGGCCAAGGGTGCTGCTGTCATATAAGGCCAAGGGTGCTGCTGTCATGTAAGGCCAAGGGTGCTACTGTCATGTAAGGCCAAGGATGCTACTGTCATATAAGGCCAAGGTTACTACTGTCATGTAAGGCCAAGGATGCTGCTGTCATATAAGGCCAAGGGTGCTACTGTCATGTAAGGCCAAGGGTACTACTGTCATGTAAGGCCAAGGATGCTACTGTCATGTAAGGCTAAGGATGCTGCTGTCATGTAAGGCCAAGGGTGCTACTGTCATATAAGGCCAAGGTTACTACTGTCATGTAAGGCCAAGGATGCTGCTGTCATATAAGGTCAAGAATGCTACTGTCATGTAAGGCCAAGGGTGCTGCTGCCATGTAAGGCCAAGAATGCTACTGTCATGTAAGGCCAAGGGTGCTACTGTCATGTAAGGACAAGGGTGCTGCTGCCATGTAAGGCCAAGAATGCTACTGTCATGTAAGGCCAAGGGTGCTGCTGCCATGTAAGGCCAAGAATGCTACTGTCATGTAAGGCCAAGGGTGCTGCTGCCATGTAAGGCCAAGAATGCTACTGTCATGTAAGGCCAAGGGTGCTACTGTCATGTAAGGACAAGGGTGCTACTGTCATGTAAGGCCAAGGGTGCTACTGTCATGTAAGGCCAAGAATGCTACTGTCATGTAAGGCCAAGGGTGCTACTGTCATGTAAGGACAAGGGTGCTACTGTCATGTAAGGCCAAGGGTGCTACTGTCGTGTAAGGCCAAGGATGCTGCTGTCATGTAAGGCCAAGGGTGCTTCTGTCATGTAAGGCCAAAGGTGCTGCTGTCATGTAAGGCAAAGCGTGCTGCTGTCATGTCTAGATGCTTGCCTGCAGATCAGAAGGTCTATAAAATATATATTTATATCCAGGCCTAAATGTTCCGTGTGTCTGAAGGCAGGGAAAGGGACCTTTTAAGGTCCTGGACCCGATTCTACAGGAAAGGGACCTTTTAAGGTCCTGGACCGGATTCTACAGGAAAGGGACTTTTGAAGGTCCTGGACCGGATTCTCAGGGAAAGAATCAAATGAATGAATAGACTGTGGTGAAGGACATCACTTTTTTTTCCATGGTGTTATGCAATTATAGCAGTACCAGCACATCTTTAAGGTACCACCTCCTGTATAAATAAAAAACGCAAATAGGACAAGAGACAGAGCAAGACAATGGAACCAGTTTCATAAGAAAGTGCCATTAAATGACATCAGTTATGCACTTGAAATAGATAAGACAAGACTTCCCCATCAAGCCCTCAAATGGACACCGGAATAAAAAAAAGGAAGAAGATCAAGAGAGACTCAATGTAGAACCATCATCAGGAAAAGCTCAACGTTGGGCCTAACATCCAAGACCTAAAGCAGATGGCAAACAACTGCCAGACATGGAGAGCTATGACCTCTGCCTTATGCCCCACACTAGCCCAAGAAGAAAGACTAACTACACCCCAGTGCTACCGTAATCGACACTTTGTGATGAGTACCGGCACTTTATAAGACATGCTGTGGTGAGTCCCGGCAATTGTTTCTAGAAACTAATGCCTTGGTGATGATGATGATTTTCCAGTGGTAGAGGACAGGTAGCATAAAAGATATAATTAATTTTCAGAATGCTAAGTATCGCAAAGAAGAGGAGGAGGAAGATGAAGAAGAAGCAGCAGCAGCGGGAGGAGAAGAAGAAGAGGGACACAGATTTTGAAGGAGAATATGAGGGTGATAAATCTAGCATACCACTGATATCCAGATATGTGGTAGCGGACTGATAACCTGCAGAGCTGGTCACATTGCAGGAATATTCTCCCTCTACGTAGCTGCTAGCTCTGGGAACATCCAGAGTTACATTGGCTGGATCACTGTAAGCAGGAAATAATCGTACAATTAACTCTTCTAAAATTACTATCAAACAGGTAGTACTTTAACTCAGTCTATTCAACTAACTGACATGTTTGGAGAATACCATGCGTCACTTTTGTAATGACAGCTCCGTATGGGTTCCGGGGTCCATTCTGGAGGGACAATAAGTAGACCCCCTGCCCCGCTAACCAGTATGTTGTAAAAGTGACTAATTAGGAAGTCGGAGTGTGTCTACCTGAGAGATGAGGAATACAGCTCACCAGCTTTCAACTTCAGCAGAAAGTTCTTATTGTTCATCCATGTCTGGACTTAAGTCTTATTTCAGAATTTGAATTTTGTGTGCACATCTGTTTTACTGATCTGGTTTATATGTTTGCAGACTGTTGGTTCTTTATATCTCAAGCAGTTGCACTCTGATATAAAGGAAATACAAATAATTAGTATATTTGTTTGACATGCTTATTAGGGGTGGGGTGGGGGTGATTCTTTTATCCCCACTCCCCAAATAGGACTTTATGCCACCACTAGATTATAAATAGTGAGATACAGAAAACCTGCTAAGGAAATCAATTGTCTGATAGATTCAGAATTTATGAACATAAACAGGCAAATGATTTTACATATCTGGGGAGCAATATTTGTCAGAAGAACTTATACAGAAATCCAACAAAGTTGTGATAAAGCCAATCAAGGTTTAGGCCAAATGGCACCAATTTTGAAATGCAAGCATGTGAATATGAACACTAAAAGAACACTGTTTAACACAATATTCTTACCAATGCTCTGCTATCAATGTCTAACATGGATACTGTCTTTAGAAGGCAGGAGGAAAATAGACATGACAGAAATGAAGTGTTTATGTACTGGACTAAGTGTAATGAGGAAGGATGGACTGAGGGACGATGATGTCAGAAGAAGATTTGGCACAAAACCAATACTAAACTTCATAGGCAGACAACAAATCAAATGGTTTGGTCATGTAACAAGATTGGCATCTGACAAGGCACCAAAGAGAGCAATTTTATACAGATACAGCGGTAACAGAGCCAGAGGTCGACCACACAGAACATGGACAACAGAGACACTGAAAGTTCTTTATAGAAAGAGAACAGAAGGGCCTGTTCAAGAGATCTCTTGCTGCCCTGACACTGTGAGGCATTCCAGTAGTAGAGAAAAGAAGAAGAAGAAGAAGAAGAAGAAGCAGCAGCAGCAGCAGAAGAAGAAGAAGAAGAAGAAGAAGAAGAAGAAGAAGAAGAAGAAGAAGAAGAAGAAGAAGAAGAAGAAGAAGAAGAAGAAGAAGAAGAAGAAGAAGAAGAAGAAGAAGAAGAAGAAGAAAACATCATAATCTCAAGTAGAAAACTAAAGCAACAAGCATACCTAAAGAACAGATTATTTCCTTGCTGTTTGCCCTTGTGCCACCACTGGACTGTATATGGTATAATACTGAAAACCTGGCAGGTGATCACAACTGTAGTGTCGAAGAAGCCACGTGTGGTCTCTGGCATGGTCACCCGCGGTGGCTTGGCTTTAAGTGGGCTGATGGCGGTGGGGGTAGTTCTTTGCATGACGAAGCCCAAGTCATCTGTACCAGTTACCTAGGACACAACAAAAGTTTTTGATTTTACTGACATCAGTAACCTATGGCATGCATACCAACTGTGGCCTGTGGAATGATTTTTATTGATATGCTGTCAACAATAGTACACTGTTTCTTTTTATTTGAAATGACAGGCAGTGGCCCAAGGAGTGATTTTCAATGGTACTCCTCTCGGTCAGATGCACTCCAACTTTGAAGGAAGCTCCCAGTTAGTCAACTTTTATGACCTCCTGTTTTGGGGAGGCAGGAAGGCTAACTTGAGCAATAAACGTCTGAAGAAAGTTGGATGTGTCGGCCAAAATGTGCATTATTATAGCCATGCTGTAACAGGCACAAGGCAATTACATCCTTTGATAAATGCAGAAGAAGAATAAGAAACCAAAGAATAGTCAATAAATATTGGGACTGATTTGCAACATCCTGAAACTCCATTTTTTTCTTTTAAAATCAGCAACAGAACACAGTCATCATACAAAAATCTCTTGGAAACCCATTAGAAGCAAGAAAATGAAAAGAGCCTGCTTTTCTGGAAGTGTAACATATCAGATTCTCAGGCAGCAATCACTAAAAGTTGCAGAGGCAGTGGCCCTTTACTAGGATTTGTTACACTGAATGGCTCAATGTGAGTTGGTTGATGTTCAGTTCTCCGTCAAAAGGATTTTTAAAGATGTGTGCATCTCCACAATGGAGGCTGACAGAATGGACACATGCATACACTGTTGTCTTCGGGTACATAACTTTGATACAATCCCACATCTCTTCCACGTACAACTCTCATACCAGTGTCATAAAGCAACCAGAATAGTATTTCTCTGAGCCGTCAACTGCAAACATGGAACTGTGGCACACTGGGACTGGACAACATGGAACTCTGGTACACTGGGACTGGACAACATGGAACTCTGGTACACTGGGACTGGACAACATGAAACTTTGGTACACTGGGACTGGACAACATGGAACTCTGGTACACTGGGACTGGACAACATGGAACTTTGGTACACTGGGACTGGACAACATGGAACTTTGGTACACTGGGACTGGACAGCATGGAACTCTGGAACACTGGGACTGGACAACATGGAACTCTGGAACACTGGGACTGGACAACATGGAACTCTGGTACACTGGGACTGGACAACATGGAACTTTAGTACACTGGAACTGGACAACATGGAACTTTGGTACACTGGGACTGGACAACATGGAACTTTGGTACACTGGGACTGGACAACATGGAACTTTGGTACACTGGGACTGGACAACATGGAACTTTGGTACACTGGGACTGGACAACATGGAACATTGGTACACTGGGACTGGACAACATGGAACTTTGGTACACTGGGACTGGACAACATGGAACTCTGGTACACTGGGACTGGACAACATGGAACTTTGGTACACTGGGACTGAACAACATGGAACTTTGGTACACTGGGACTGGACAACATGGAACTCTGGTACACAGGGACTGGACAACATGGAACTCTGGCACACAGGGACAGCAAGTATATTAACCTATAAGCCAATAATAATGGGATCATAATCTGCAGTAAAGATGTGTGCAAGTTGGGCATGAATGATACAAGCATTCATAGGAACAGGATGCCATGGACCTTGCTGTGTGGAAGGGATAAAGGAGCATCTGGAAGGAAGCATTTTTAAGACATGATCTGTCAACAAGGGTCCTGACATTCTCTAATCTCATTGTGGAAGACTTTTATTTTGTAAATGTGCTTGTCATGGGTTGTGATTCTCAAGCCTCACTGTAGCACAATATAACACAATTGTTAGACAGATGCTAACTAATGTAACAAAATAACACTATTGTTAGACAGAAGCTAACTAACGTAACAAACTGACACAATAGTTAGACAGATGCCAACTAACGTAACAAAAAAACACAATTGTTAGACAGATGCCAACTAACGTAACAAAATAACACAATTGTTAGACAGATGCCAACTAACGTAACAAATTAACAAAATTGTTAGACAGATGCCAACTAACGTAACAAAATAACACAATTGTTAGACAGATGCCAACTAACGTAACAAAATAACACAATTGTTAGACAGATGCCAACTAACGTAACAAAATAACACAATTGGTAGACAGATGCCAGCTAACGTAACAAAATAACACAATTGTTAGACAGATGCCAACTAACGTAACAAAATAACACTATTGTTAGATAGATGCTAACTAACGTAACAATATAACAACAATTGTTAGACAGATGCCAACTAACGTAACAAAATACCACAATTGTTAGTCAGATGCTAACTAACGTAACAGCAGAAATGAATCTACTAAATGTTACCTTCACATAGAAATATTGATCTGGCGGAACAAAAGATGTCACATTGTACAAGGTGCTAATCTCTGGATCACGGACCAAAGGGAACTTGGCTATAGAGTTACCACGTAAATCTACCAGCTCCAAATCATTCAGGGTTGATGGGTACTCTATTCCCGTGGAGTTGATCAGTACATGTGTTGAGATACCTATAACACGTGCCAAGATTTCATTATTATAACAGCAGTATATCGCTATTTGTAATATTTTGGAAACTATATGTAATTTTTTATTTTCTACAGTAGCTTTGACTAGAGCAACAGTCTCAATGAATTAAAATAGTATAAATTTATATCAGAATGAGCTACTTAACCTACAGCAATAGAACAGATCCATACAAATTATCTACGAGGTTTGTGCTTTATGCGGCTCTCTTGGCATGTAGCTAGGCATTCTGTGGTGAATGACTCAGCCACATGGGATCAAACGTGGAGCAATCAGGGAAGACTAGACCGGGCAACAATTGACTGAAGAGGTTGGATGTGTTGGCCAGAAGCCTAACGGAAATAGACACAGTGCAGTAAAGTTTTCACACCCTTTTTCAACACCATTTTCAACATGTTGTTCTTGCAGTCTGGTCATGGTTACAAATTCACAGTTATCACTTGGTTCATGTAAACGTCTGACTTCTCATAGAGCATTCAGTGGTCCATGGCTTGTCCACCCTTGATAGTAGCTTTACCTGCAAGCCAATTAGAGCGCTCATTTCCTTGCACACCTGCGTGCCCTGGCACAAATATATAACTGATATGTGTCAGCCCTGACCACTTTAGAGACTCCAACCACTGGATTCAGATCCAACCCATCTCTATCTTCCTCAGCATGCTCACTGAGTCGCCGAGAAAGCATGCAGGGGGAAAAAATCTGTCTCAAGCCATGCTATTGCTGAGTCTAGGAATTCTATATGGAATCTGGGAGCCCCTGAGTTGGGGTGAAAAGTGGAAAAGAATGAAAATGTACACTCACCCTGGATTGGTCTCAGGCTTGTCTGTGAGATATCTTTGGTTGGGTACTTGGAGAAGCCTGTAACAAAGTCGGCAGAGCTGAGGCCTGTAACTCGAACAGTGTGAGGTCCAGTGCTGCTGACCCGAAGTCTCCAGTTTCCAGGGGCAGGCTCTTTAACATTGACAATGTGGACATTGCTGAGACTCAGAAGTTCAGTCAGGCCATTGCTTAAGGTGACTTTGTTTCCTGCAGGCAAAGAAATTTGAAGTTTGAAATTACTATAACTCACAGCGCATTTTCTATTTTATTTCTTGTTGTTGTTTATTTTAATAAAATAAATGTAACTCTTTCATTCCTATAAACTTGTAGATAATGTCTGAAGGAGTTCTTCTTCTTCTTCTTTGTCTGGCTGTAAGCTCCTGAGAGTTCTTCAATTTGGACTTTGTCTTTGTGCCAAGGCCTGAGTTGTGCATGATTTATTGGCAAGTGTGTGTGCAATCTGTTTTTCCTTGCCACTCTGGCAGATGTACTCAGACTCCCAGGGAGGATGTCTTGTCTCTATCTCTATGACCCTATCTCAAAGGAGTTAGGAATGACAATACCAAACTCAAGCACATACTACTTCCAGAGGGGCCAAATATACAACCTTTGCAAGAAACAAATATTTTGTCAGAGTTCTTCAGAGCCGTTCCCTAAATATAAGATGTACAAACATACATAACACGGTGACAGACAGGTGAATAATACCTGGTCACACAAAGTTTGTTGATAGGGACAAAAAGAATAAAAGTCACGGATGACACTAGCTAAAAATACTTCTTGTTCGGGTTCACAGGCTGTAAACACCGGCAGAAAGTTCTGGCTGTTTGCCCACTTCTGAACATTGGTCCTGTTCAGTTTTACTGATCTGGCTGTTTTGTAGACAGACTGTTGGTTGGTTGGAGATGCACTTCCACTTCAACCCTTAATTAGGCTCTTTATACAACACACTTGTTGGGGAGAGGGGGGGGGGGCAGTGGGTCTATGCTCTTTGTTTTCTCCACAGTGGGGCCCTGGAACCCACAGGGGAATGCTGAAGATACCATTGGGATGGCAGCCTCAGTTCAGGTAATGTCAGAGAGCCAACTTGGAATAATAGAAACAGATACAACAGTAGTGTCCATAAAGTCAGAAGGCAATGTATAGAGTGGTGTAATGGTAAGACAGAATTTGAGGGACAGCCCTGACAGAAGAAAATGCCAGACTCTATGATGCAACAATGCACATCAACTATTCTGTTTATCAGGGTAAAAGAAATTTGGCTGAAGTGTCTCAGCTAGAGACATGGCTAAAGTGTCTCAGCTAGAGACATGGCTAAAGTGTCCCAGCTGGAGACATGGCTGAAGTGTCTCAGCTAGAGACATGGCTGAAGTGTCTCAGCTAGAGACATGGCAGAACAAACTTGTGTGCTTTTATCTACAACTTCAGGCATGAGGATGGAGGTGAAGGCCATCATGTCAGCTCTGAAGCTGATAGCTGAAAACAGTTCTCTAGGGAATCATAATGTCTGGCTTTCAATTTGTATTGTGAAAGATTCAAAATGGACAGCTGTGTCAGGAGAGGACTCCAAGAATCACCATGTCTAAACTAGAAGTACTCAATTAGATATACTGTCCAAGATATGTAGGAGTGTGAGGGAATGAACATGTGGGTTATTTGGCTGAAAAAAGTGAAAGCTGCAGAAACACTCATACCAGACAATGGAGACATTCTAAACATCATTTATGAATGAATGCAGATGTACGATATGGCATTAGATAAAATAACATGTGTAAGGATGTACGAATTTGGAACTAAGTCTGGATCTGGCAACAGTAATGGAACAGTAATGAAACAGTACTGGAACAGTAATGGAACAGTAATGGAACAGTCAGTATCTACACCTGATGATATTTGCTGAGGGAGATGGAGATTTAGGGTACGCCTGGTGTGCTATGATGTTGATTCTTAAATCATAATTCTCCTGGTGTGAGTTCTGGGGCTCTATTATAGTGGAAACAAGAATAGACCCACTGCCTACCCAAAAGCATGTTGTAAGAGTCGACTAATTAGGAGCTTCCTTCAAAGTCGGAGTGCATGTGCCTGAGATGCAAAGAACCAACAGTCTGCATACAAATTAGTCAGATCTGTCATAAGGATGCACACACAACACTCAAGTTCTGGAACAGGACAGCAGTCCAGAAGTGGACAAACCATCAGAACTTTCCACCAAAGTTTACAACCGGTGAACGTGAAGAAGAAGAAGAAAAAAATCATAATTCAGTAATCTTTTGTTTGCTTATGATAATGCAATGTGTAAGAGAAAAATGAGAAAAGCTGGCAACCTAACCATCCGATGGAGTGAATAACGACACTATCAGACATATATGGAGGAAACAACAGCTTGTACTAGATTCATCAAGAAACAGCAGATCAAGTGATTTGGTCAAGCATGCAGCAATATCAAGTACCATCACTGGTACTACATTTCAGAATAGTTTCAAGTGCAATCGGACAAGTGTGAAACAAATATGGTTCAACAACGTTAAAGACAGTCTATGCCTTCATGGCCTGACAGTAGCTAGTGGCAGCCAACTGACTTGAAAATTATTTCTTCCTATGGCACTGGATGACAGTCGCCATGGTGTAGTAGCTATACACTCGCCTGCGGATCAGAAGGTCTTGGGTTCTGGTCCTGACCGAGTCAGACTTTATTTTCAAAAATGACCTTGGCTCCAAGATCAACTCAGCCTTGAATGGGTACCGGGTGCAGTCCTGGGAAGTAAAGGTGGCCAGTGTGATGCTGACCCACCAAGTGCTGATTGGTCAATATAATATAGGTCTAGCGCTATATGCCAATGCGTCTGAATGCATGGAAAAGGCACCTTACTTTTTGTTTGTTGACATGACGCTTAATGGCAGAAGTGGTTTTTAAAGATGATGAGGAGGAGGAGGAGGATGATTATGATGAAAAATTAAATGTGTAATCTGAAATTGCTGAAACTCATAGAGCATGTAGCTATAGGACTGCAAATGCAGTTTTCAATTACCTCCAATATAATGGCAGCATTTGATAATAATTATGATAAAAAATGAGGCAATACCCATCTGTTGAAAGATAAAAGGCAGACATTTGGGTAAATTATAATTTCAGAATCTAAAGGAAATAATGACTGACCTTCAGGATCCCGGAGGTGGATCTTTGGGTTTTCACCACTAATGGATACAGTGACTTCCTTGAGATGAGAATCCAGAGGCAGATTGAACACCTGTGTCTTGCCTTCATCTTCGTTAATTGCCAGCAGATTTACCTTTCTAGCCTGGACGGCCACACGCACAAAGTTGAGCACCTGCAAGCAGCAATCTTTTTGTCAGCTCACAGCAACCAGCAATTTTAGTTTGGAAGATGAAATAGCAAAAGTACATTTTCATCAATAGATGCCTTTTGTAAATAGAGAAAAAAATAAATAAATAAATAAAGAATGGAGCTAACTAACAATGTAAGATCAATCAACTAATGGTTTGGTGGAGGGGGGGATGGGGGGGGGGGGGGGGGGGGGGGAATAATTGTGATCTGCATTTTCAGAAAAAAAAGGAAAAAAATTACACCTGCCTAACAATTGTATGAGATGAGGCGTATTGGGACACGAAGGAAAACATGGCTGGCCATTGTGGAAAAGATTGGGACCTTACCACGTAGCACCCAAAGACAGTAATGGAAGCACAAGTTTGAAAAAGCAATGCAGGCACATCTTGGCCCCCTGGAGTAATGCCTGTTGTAAATACAAACAGGGAAGAGACAAATCCTCTGTTTAATAACGAGTGCGCCTTAAATTCTTCTGAAAGGGCACATTCTGACAACGCATATCTGAAAAGTAGAAAGAGATGACTTCGCATTGGCACATGGAATGTTAGAACGTTATATCAAGTTGGAAAATGTGACTGTTTAATTTCTGAGGCAAAGTATATGAATTGAGATATTTTGGGAGTATCAGAAACAAGATGGACAGAAGCTAGCTGCCTAAAGAGAGATGATTACATATTTATTAATTCTGGAGGAGAACATCATGAACGTGGAGTAGGATTCTTGATAAAATGAAATTTAGAGAAGTTTATTAGAAGGTTCTGGGCTCACAATGACAGAATTATATTGATCAAGATCAAGGCAAGACCTTTTGATATTGCAATAATACAGACATATGCACCAACAACTGACTACAGTGATGAACAGCTTGCAGAATATTATGAAAAACTACAACAAACACTGAAAGTTGAAAAATCATCAGAGGTCTTAATAGTTATGGGAGACCTGAATGCAAAAGTGGAGAAAAAGAAGCACAAAAATATTGTAGCTCAATTTGGGATCAAGATAGAGGAGACAGACTGATACAGTGCGAAGAGAACCAACTCATTATCTGTAATACATTTTTTCAACATATATCAACATCATAAAATCTTTTTATAATGAAACACGATGTTGTGTAAGAACTGAATCCGGCAATTCTGACTGGTTCCCGGTGGAAACAGGAGTGAAGCAAGGCTGTGTCCTATCGCCGATGCTTTTTGGTATAGCAATCGACTGGGTCATGCGCAAGTGCATAAATAACGCAAATTTAGGCATTATATGGGTTGACAAAATTCTGGAAGACCTAGACTTCGCCGACGACATAGCACTCCTGAGTTCAGAACACACAGACGCCCAAAAAAAATCAATCGACTCCAGAATTTCTCAGAACAAATTGGACTCCAAATTAACACCACAAAAACAAAAATTCTAGACCTTACCAACAGTTCAGTTGATATCACGCTGAACAACAACAGCCTTGAAAAAGTCAACAGTTTCACTTATCTAGGGAGCAAGATGTCATCTACAGGAGATACCGCACCAGAAATACCATTTAGAATAGCACTGGCATCTAGTGCCTTCAATAAACTGTCCAACATCTGGAAATCAAAGACACTTAGCAGCAAACACACAAAACTCAAGATCTTCAATTCTTGTGTGATTCCAGTACTAACCTATGGATGCGAGAGCTGGAAATCAACGAAAACTCTAGACACAAAATTAGACAGTTTTGAAAATAAATGCCTAAGAAGAATACTAAATTTCAAATGGTCAGATTTCCGAACCAATACACAAATAAGGCAAGAATCCAGGCAAGAGTATGTGTCTAATTTTATACGAAAACGCCGCTGGAACTATGTCGGCCACGCCCTTAGAATGGATAAATCAAGACTTCCTTACCAAGCCCTCATTTGGACACCACAGGGGAAAAGATCTCGTGGAAGACCAAGGGAAACCCTACGAAGAACTATCATCAGGGAAGGCTCGCTCATGGGCCACTCAAACATCCAAGACCTACAACAGATTGCAACGAACCGCCATGCATGGAGAGTCATGACCTCTGCCCTATGTGCCGCACTCGACACAAGAGGAAAGACTAACTAACTAACTAACCTAGAAAACTGTTTACGTGGAAAAGTCCAGGAGATATAAGTAGAAACCAAATTGATTATGTAATGATTAGAGACAAATTCAAAAACAACATAAAGAACGCCAAAACATACCCAGGTGCGGATATAAATTCAGATCACAACCCTGTGGTAATAAAAATACAAATTAAACTTAAAAACACAGGAATAAAAACGCAAAGATTACCCCACATAGACATATCAACTTTGAAACAGCCAGAAATAAGCCAGCAGTACCTAGTAGAGGATAAAAATAAATATGACAGATTGATAGTTGAAAGCATGGAACAATATCGATGGGAGAATCCAGAGGACAAAATTAATACAAAATCTGAATGTTTCAAAACTAGTATAGAAACAGCTAATGTCATCTTACAAGTGAAAGAAGACAAGAAAAATCAAGTATGGATGACTGAGGAAATTATTAACAAAATGACACAAAGGAAGAAAGCAAAAAACACTCCAGAATATTCATCAATAGATAAAGAAATACGAAATATGTGAAGAGCTGCTAAGGAAACTTGGATTCAGTTAAAATGCAAAGAAATAGAGGATTTTGAAATAAAACACAGAACCAAGGAAATACATGCAAATATAAGAAAACTTACAAACAAGGAAACACATTTAACAGGAAATGGTTGTATTAGGGGCAAGGATGGAAAAATTATTGTTGATAAGAAAGATATAATAAAAAGATGGACTGAATACACAGAAGACCTGTTTTGGGACAACAGAGGTGACAAACCGCCAATCCATAATATTCAAGAGGGACCAAACATATTAAAATCTGAAGTAGAGAAAGCCATTGACCAACTGACTACCAGCATCGCACGTTATGCGACGAGGCGACGTTCATGTTTTGCCGCCAAGGTCGCACCTCTTGCGATTGAAGCTTTGGACGCCGGCCGTCATGTTAAAATTGCGATTTTTTTGACGAATTTAGTTGAAGCCTTTAGCTTATTCACTTGTGTGTGATTAATTAAGGGAAATAACTTCGTAGTGCTTAAAGTAAATATTTGACGAATTTCCTTAGTTAGCTCCCATGTCGGTGCGACATTGACGCAATTTTCATCATTGCGTCAAATTCTCAGAACCATCCTGGTGGTCATATTTATAATAATCTTTCTGATGATGCATGTGATTTTCCTGATTTTGCTTCAAAAAGTGAATTAGAAGACACTACTGAACAGTTTGATGGCTATGACTATGATAAATAAAAAGGATTTCTTAGTTGCCTTTTCTGCAACAATCTGCAGCTAGATGATGATGATTTCAGACAAAGTAAACATCATTTTTCCCTTTCAAATGTGTTCATGGTTCAATTGTGTGCAAAAATACCAAATATAATAAATATTTGTTGAATATTTTTGAAAAAATGATATTTTTTATTAGTCTATACTGTTGTCAGATAAAATATTTTCAGTTGTCTTTTTTTGCAACAATTTACAGCCGCATGATGATGATGATTATTTCAGACAAAGTAAACCCTTTATTTTCTTCAAATGTCTTCTCAGTTCAATTTTGTGCAAAAATACAAATTATTGTAAGTGTTTGTTGAATATGTTTTCAAGATATGACATTTTTATTTGGTCTATATTTCATCAGATCAAAAATTTTTCTGTTGCGTTTTTGCACCAATCTACAGCCACATGATGATGATGCAAAACAGAATAAACACTTTTTTTAACTCTTGAAATTTGTTCTTCATTCAATTTGGTGCAAAATACAAAATATTGTAAGATTATATCAAATAGTTGTGAAGCTGTGGCATTTTTAGTACACAGTAAAATACGTGGTATCTAAGAGAATGCAAGGGTTAATGGGCTTGGTAGTCAGTGGGTTAAACAGATGAAGCAGGGAAAAGCTGCAGGTCCAGACAGCATAACTGCAGAAATGTTAAAATCATTGTCTACTTTTGGATTTGATACTATCACAGAAATATGCAATGACATTCATGACTATGGGTACATTCCCAGGGACATGAAAACATCTGGTTTTATCACACTACCCAAGAAATCAAAAGCTGTTGATTGTGAAGATTACAGAACTATTAGCCTAATGAGTCACGTAACTAAGTTACTCTTGAAGATAATACAAGCAAGAATTCAAGATAAAATAGAGAAAGAAGTTTCTGAAGAGCAATTTGGATTCCGTAAAAACAGTGGTACTCGAGAGGCCATAATTTGTCAAAAGATGCTGACTGAAAAATAAATAGAAGTTCAGAAAAATATTTATGCATGTTTTATAGATTACAAAAAAGCTTTTGACAGAGTGCAACATGAACAACTAATTGCAGCTCTTCAAAACATAGGACTAGATGGAAAGGATATCAGACATATTAGAAACTTATACTGGGAGCAAGAAGCAACAGTAAGATATGACAACATCTGCTCACCCCAGAGAGAGATCAAGAGAAGAGTAAGACAAGGATGTGTGCTGTCGCCTAGCCTTTTCAACTTATGTACAGAAAACATTTTTTAAAAAATTGTAGAATTACCAGGACTGCACATCAATGGTAGAATAAAAAACAATTTGAGATATGCTGACGACACAGTGTTGCTAGCAGAGAGTGAGCAGGAGTTGCAAGACCTAGTGGAGCAAGTAAACAGAAGGAGTGCAGAATTTAGATTAAATATAAATTTGAAAAAGACAAAAACCATGATATTTAGCAAAGAAAATAATCAGCTAACAATGAATATCACAGTGAACGGGGTGAAATTGGAACAAGTTAAAAATTTCTTATATCTTGGACAAGTAATAACATGTGACGGCAGAAGTGCTTTCCTGTTGTGTGCAGTCTTCAGTGCAGTTTTCCATGTCAAAGATGCCGCACTCAGGTCACTTTTCATCGTTCGTCTCCATGTTGTTTTAGGGTGCCCCGTTTTCTCTTTCCCTCTGGTGTCCATGTGAGAGCTGTTTTGGCAGATATATCAGAAGTCATTTTCATAACATGGCCAAGCCATTTCCATCTTCTCTTGGTAATCATACTGTCTAAAGTTTCTTGGTTTGTAACTTGAAGTAATTTAGTGTTTGAGATTGTATCTGGCCAGAAAATTTTGATAATTCTACATAGACATGTGTGGTGGAAGGTGGACAGCTTGTGTGCATCCTTTTTGGTCAATCTCCAGCATTCCGCTCCATAAAGAAAAACTGGCAAAATGATGCTCTTGTAGAGTCGGAGTTTTGTACCTCTGCAGTAACTGTTGGATTTCCAGATTTGCCTCAACCTTCCAAAAGCAGCTCTAGCTTTGTTCAGACGTGACTGTATGTCCTCTTCGGTCCCTCTCAGTGGGGACACTACTTTTCTTTCTTTCTTTTGTCAAAATCTGCTTGTGCCGCTAGGCGTCGCAGTCTATCAGATGATCGGCAACCGAGCCAAGGCGCGCTCAGTCGCTTCATATGCCGTGATGTTATGAAGTCTCAAGTTGTCCGTGACTCCTTCAATCCATCTTCTTCTTGGTCTTCCCCTGCCTCTTGGTGTTTCGATTTTCATGTTGTATGCTCTTGATGCTGGCATCGTTCGTTCCATTCTCACTAGGTGACCAAACCATTTCATTCTTTGCTTCTCAATAAATTTAACGATGGGTATGGTTCCAATAGTTCTTGTAATCACATCGTTTCTCACTCGATCTCTTCTGGTTTTATTCGCAGCCATTCTCAAACATCTCATTTCACAGTTGGTTAGTCGTCTCTCGTGTTCTTTTGTTAATGTCCAAGTCTAACATTGATAACCTAATGTCGGTATAAAGATTGTATTTATAATTTGTCTTTTAATCTCAGCTGGGACAGCAGGGTGTTTTAAAATTGGGGCAAGCTGGTATGCGACATTGTTGGCTTTTTGGATTCTTGCTTCGATCTCTCTCTGTCTATTTTACCATTGAATGTAAAGATACTTCCCAAGTATTTAAATTCTTGCACTTGTTTTAGGCTGTGATCTAGAATCTTTATGTCGATGGTCTGTTGCTCTCTACTTATGCTCATGACTTCTGTCTTTTCAGTATTGATCTTCATATGATGCTTGAGGCAACTGTCGTGTAGGGACACTACACTGCCAAGATATTTGAAATGTTCTACATTTTTAAGAGTTTGGTTATTTATGGTCACTGGTTGTTGGTTTGGACTGCTTGTCATGATCTTGGTTTTCTTTGTATTTATTCTCAGTCCCACCATTTCTGCTGTGCTTTGTAGTTTGTTACTGTTTTCTTGTATATGTTCATGTTTATGTGATAGTAGTGCTATATCATCTGCAAAATCAAGGTCCTCAAGCATGGTGAATGGAGTCCATCGTATGCCTCTCAATGTCCTGTCTACTGTGTTCTTTAGTATCTAATCAATCACAAGGTTGAAGAGAAGAGGTGACATAACACATCCCTGTCTTTCACGTATCTTTACTGGGAAAGATATAATTTTTTATTTTTATACTGCAGGAAAAGTCTTTATAGAAGAGAGCAAATTATGTTTACTATTTTTTCTGGAATTCTATAATGTACAATTTTCCATAGACTGTCTATATGGACGCTGTCAAAAGCTTTCTAAAAGTCCACAAAATTAATATATATACTTCTCTGCCATTCGTTGCATTGTTCTAAAATGTTACTTAGGGTGAAGATGTGCTCAGTTGTTCCACTGCCCTTTCTGAATCGTGCTTGTTCCCCTTTAGGTATTTATCTACTCTTCTTTCCAGCCGCATTATAATGATTTTACAAAATATTTTGCTTGGTACTGAGAGTAGAGTAATTCCCCTCCAATTATTGTAAAATATGTACTATTCCCCCAAAGAATTTCGACAGCACTGTCCCCGGTGTATGATTAAACTATGCTATAAAATCCTTGAGAATAACCACAGCCAAATGTGAAAAACAAAATTGTACCTGATTCACTTGGGATTTCTTCAACAAAAACACCTGCCCAGAGCTGGTGGCTGCTATTTCCTCATAGGCTTTGTATCCACTGTGTGTGACGTCACCACAGTCCCCAGTTAACACAAAGACAACCTAAAGGATGAAAAAAGGTGTATTGTTGTTCATTTGAGTGGCCAACTTGCCTGTAATGAACATAATGAGTTGTAAATTAAATATTAAACAAAACATTACAGCCTAAATGTCACTAAAATAGTGGAATGCAGGGAAAAAGAAACATGAATTTAAAGGGACTCTTCCATTAAAAAAAATATTAGGTAAATAACAAATGAATTTTTAAAATAAATGAATTGATTTACTGCCCTTATGACATTTCAAAATGTTCTACGACCCCTTTTTTCATTAGCCATAAAAAGAGTTTTCATGCTAGTGGTACCTAATTGAGAGTGACTTGTTACTTATTGTCTGTTCCAACATCCTAGCTCATCAGTTTGACCCATTTGTGCTCCGTCCTCAGATGCAGCAGCCATCTCAGTGTCTTCATCCTTAATGTACTTAGTTGGAGTTGATTGGCGTGTCTTCTTTCTATACCCCCGTAACTAGTTTCTCCATGGTTATACTTGTTTAATGCACATTTTCAGCACAGTTTATTGTCTCTGACTCCTTTGTCTCAACATCTCTGGACTGCAGCAGTGCATTCACTATGTTTGCCTTGTCCATACTTCTCTTAATGCTTCACCACAGTAGACACAGCCAGTCTGTTGGCTCTTTCATTGCCTTTCATACCAACATATCCCTTTGTGTAAGCCAATACAGCATCTCCAGGTGGAACTCATGGAAGCTGACAACTCATTCTAGTTGGAGTTTGCCAGCTGCATGCTCACTGAGACTCACTATCAATGTGTTTGTTACTTTATTTACACCTAGACATGCATGTTCCCATAAGGCAGCTGCTGCTTATCTCAATTTTGAACATGAACTCAACATGCTTGGTAACTTTACACTAGGCAAAAGATCCTCTGCTAAAAATCAAAGAAAGGCGCAACATTACTGTAGTTTCTTGTTAATTTGCCCTTGAACTGGATATGACCCCGGAAGTCTTGGAGCTGTAGGCGGAGATGAAACTTTCAAGTCAGTGCCAAACCGGAATAGTAAGCTCTTTTTTTTCTCTACAGAGTTTACTGGCTGTAAGTTCTGGTCGTTCGTTTACTTTTGTCTAGGCGTTGGTTTTATTCTAGAGCTTGTTTTTCCCCTACTCATCTGTTTTACAGATCTGACTAATTTGTATGCAGTCTATCCTGTTCCTCTCCTCTTTAGTAGATGCCCACCGACGTTGAAGGAAACAGCATTGATTAGTTACCTTTTATGCTTAAAGTAGTTAAACTGAGTGCCTGTCTTCGTTTACTGCCTTCCCATTCACCTGTGCTGTGTATACATACGCAGAATGCATCTGATTGAAAGTACATCCCTTGTTTCCACCAAGCTGCTAAATATTGCCTACATGACTCTGTCTATTGCTTATGAACAAGTCTCGCTAATTATAAATATTCTCTGTGTTCCTGCAGCCGATCCCAGGAACCTTAGGTCATGCTTGCCTTAACATCAAGTCAATCGCCTCAGAGAGGGCAGGAATAAGTCTATCCATCCGCTTGACCTCAAATGCCACAAAGCAGAGACTACTAGAAGAAAGGTGCAAAATAGAAAAGATACTAAACAATACACGAGACTAACTGAAAGTTATAATGATGTGAATATATGTATGATTTCTGCACTTCATTGTCATCTGGAGGTGTCTAGTTCGATCCCCAGTAACGTAACTGTGTTTTTCCATTTTGATAATGTTTAGTGTATCTCTGATGTATACATTTAACTCACTCCTCACCACTATCCCCCCTCTCTCTCTCTCTCTCTCTCTCTCTCTCTCTCTCTCTCTCTCTCTCTCTCTCTCTCTCTCATCCCCCCTTTCTCTCTCCTTCCTGCCCCCTAAATTGAGCCAAACATCATCATCAGATAGGTCTTAACAGCATTATTGGTCCCTGGGCAAACCAGTGTCCTGGGGCCCCTATGACAACCTCTTACAGGAATGAAACTGTTATTGATGGCAAGTCAGTTGACATACAAATATTAGCATATGGCCCCTAGGCTGCCCCCCTCCCTTTCCCACCCCGACAGCGGGTCCGTACGTTAAGACAGCGCTGACCATCATCAACATTGTGTAACTGGTGCTTTGCAAAACATCAATTACATTATGGTACGCCAGAAAGCCTTTGAGTCTACTGTCAAGTTTCCTACCTCATGTACATACATCAGCGATAGGCTGGAACATCAGCTCACCGGTAGATGACTTTGACACCGGTCAGGACAGAATATAGGTCCGGCTACTTCGATCAAACCAACACTGCAAGAGTCCTGTTCAGGACGACTTGGTGGCGAGCAATGCTAAGCCACTTTATAAGGTGCACATAACCTAGTCACAATTATATCCTAAAGCTCCCCCTTTGGGGATGCTGGTTGATTTTGTTTTTCGCACAGCAAGTCAAATCACCTCATGGATACAAAACAACAACAAAAATCCATTTAATATGAACTAATGTTGATAAAAAATGGTTACAGTAAGAGAAATGAAACTACTTGCAAAATGAAAGGTAAATTTGCAAATGAGAATCAGTGGTTGAAAAGTTTAGAAAAAAAAAGTGGGGAAGCACAAACTGCAGATGGATTGAACGTGTGATAAATTATTTAAGCATGAAGTACATTTGGTTTATGGTACAGATAAATTATTGACATACAGCAGTATCAGAAGCGACATTATAAATGTATGTTTGGGAGACATTGTTTACACATGACAGCAACAAAACATTTGGTTTATGATAGAGAGAAATATTTAACACATGCCAGCAACATTATATTTGGTTTATGACAGAGTTAAAAGATTTACAAGTGATAGCAGTAGAACATTCGGTTTGTCTTCTTCTTTTTTAAGTACTCCTTTACCGCTTCGGGTGTCGAGGGAGATATAAGGTCCTGCTTCGTGCTCTTCTGGCTGCTTCGACCATAGACACATCGTGGTGCTGTAGAGTTTCTCTGATGTTATCTTCCCAACTTGTTCTTGGTCTGCCTCTTGCTCTACGTACCTATCCTCTTGTGGTATATGCCTTGTATTGTGTAGCATTAGAAGGCATTCTCTCCAAGTGGGCAAATCATTTGAGTTATAATAAAGAGAAATAATTTACATTTGAAAGCAAAAGAAAATTTGATTTAAAGAAAAAGAAATTTCGAAAGAATTACTTGGGCAATAGGAGCCGCTATGGTGCAGTGGCTAGACGCTCTCCTACGGCTCTGAAGATCTTGAGTTCTGGTCCTGACAGAGACGCGTAGCCAGACTTTCCTTTCCAAAATAACATTGGCTACCAGGTTGACGCAGCCTTAAATTGATACCAGGTAAATTCCTGGGAAGTAAAAGTGACCAGCGTGATGTTGCTTCTAAGCTACTATTGACGTACCCGGAGTGTCGTGAAGATAGGCCAACGTTTAGTTCTTAACTCCCAACTCAGTGGGAGCCCAATGCTTAGCTCTTAACTCCCAACTCAGTGGCAGCCTCCACAAGAGCAAACTTCCTCACCTGTGACTGTTTCTGCTGAATGAGAGATAAGACCTCCTCTGTTAAGAAATAGTCCTTGCTTCGAGCGTCAGTGAACACATAGATGAATGAATATGGAAGGGACACTTCCAGAGCTTTCTTGATCGCACCAATGCTCATTTCTGGACAGTCGCCTAAATGAAATAAAAAATGTAACACTTGTAATACAATCCTAATGTATCCAAATTTAGTCAAGTTGGTTAAAAATGTGTGTATCCTTTACATATTGTTTAAAAACAACCTAAACATGTATTGACTATTGTAAGTTCAGTTAGGCATTGTAATGTTCTGTTTGCCCGTAAGTTAGCCAATCAAATTGTTTGCCCATTTAGCGAGTATAAACTGCGATGCCATACCATAAAAGGATACACCTCAAGACAAGAGCGTAAATCACGAGGTAGACCATAAACAAGAGGAAAAGAGGGAAAGATAGCATAAAGTAATTCTATATGTCTATGGTCGAGATGGCCAGAAGAGCAAAAAGGAGAAATGTATATTATCTCAGATTAGGTAAAACAGCAAGTCAAAAAGAAAACAGATTTCTGAAGAGTGCGACCCTCAAACTGTTGTCAAAATCCACGACCAGCTCCAGGATAGGCCGGACAGGTGATCAGTGACATCATAGCACAGGAGGTCCTGTTCTTTCATCTAGTGGTGCGTAGACTTCAACCAGTCATCTTTTGCTAGCATTGTGTGTGGATCATAGCCTTCTTTAAGTACATTTAACTGTATTGTAGAGTGTGGTTATAACAATGTATTGAAAATGCTGTATCCCTTTATGTGAATATGTAACCATATTTGAATTTCCAAGTGATTCTGATATGAGGGAGAAATGGAAAAGTGCATACCACGTAAAGAATAGTGCGACTAAATATACAACGTGGTATGCCATCATTTTCGTCCCTGTGATAGGACTGTATCCAATAAATATTCAGACAAATCTGAACGTGAGTTGCCCATATTGTATTCTATTTTAAAATCAAATGCATGTAATTTTGCGTTTCCTGGACTGCCAGCTTACTTATCAACTGAAGTAGCACAAACTCGCTTTAGATACTCAACGTTGTTCAAAATAGCAAATTTTTATATTAAATTGCTTCAGTAAACAGTGATTGTTCCCTCTCTCCTCTAAAGCCATGCATGAGTTAGTGTATTTATGAACATGCTGACTTGTAAACAATACAGAGGAAAAATATTTAGTAGTGCTATAATATTATAAAATTTATGGTGGAAGAAAAACTATTGCTTTCATATTGACTGTGAATACTTAGTATAAGTGGTGCACCTTCATTGTGGATATACTATGTCAAGTTTTTGGAGCAATCTCTAGGTAATTGGAAAAAAAAAAATAATAACTAACAGTATAATTGTATGTTGTAGCAGTATACTAATATTAATCCTCAACCATTTGTGTTCATTTTTGTGAATCATCTTCTGCTTCGCGATTACCAGCTGTAAACTCTGGCAGAAAATTCTGGTTATTCATCTATTTCTTATGCATATTTGCAGTTGTATGGTCTGTGTTCCTTTTTGTGAATGGTCTTCTGCTTTGTGAACACTGGCTGCAATCTCTGGCAGAAACTTCTAGTTGTTTATCTACTTCTTATGCATATTTGCAGTTGTATGGTCTGTGTTCATTTTTGTGAATGGTCTTCTGCTTCACTATCACTGGCTGTAAATTCTAGCAGAAACTTCTGGTTGTTCATCTACTTCTGGGCTTTAGTCTTGTTCCAGACACTGCTTTGAATGAGACCCGGTATCTATATGGGGAATTTTTGTGTTTGATATGTGTATGTTGCACAGCATTTGCAGTTATTTAGTCTGTTTTAATGGGCTTCATTTACCTTCAAAATAATATGCCATTCATGATACTTACACGCGTTGTTGGATGCAGTATTCATAAATACGTGTGATGTATATTTTAACAGTTACTAAAAAATTAACAATGATAAAGAACTGATTTCATCCAACAAGATGAAACTGGACAAATTTGTGCTGTTTGTATCTTGAGGATAAATATTTAGTAGTGCTATAAATACTGCTAAGAAATCTGTTCTGGGTGAAAAATTATTGCACATATCAATTTCTTATTGACTGTGCTTGCTTACTAATTATTAAATGACAGTATAATTATATGTTGTAGTAGTCTACTAAACATTTTATTCACAACCCTTAAGTGAAACCACAGATCTAAGTATGGAGTGAAACAAATCATATGAACCCATCTGTATTATGTGTGTAAATTATTTTACAACTACTAAATATAAATGTAAAATATAGAGTTAAAAAGATGGTTCTATTTTGATCATCGAGGGGTGGTAAATAAATGGTGCCTACTGTCATCTGTTTTTAGATCAACAAGTATTAGGTGAGTACAAGGGTACTGATACACACGCACACACGCACACACACAGACACACATAAACACATACACAAACAAAAACGTACACACATGCACACATGAACATACACGTACCTACACGCATACACATACATAAACACATCCATACATGTTTTTTCACAATCACTAATAGATACAAGGACCTGCAAATGTGAAACCAGGCGAGTAGTGATCAAAGTTAGTCAATGAAACAAACAAAACAAGCATAATGCACAAATCATGTATAGATATCCTTGAAAACAAACAAAGATAACAAGACACACAAGAAGAAGAATGTAAGTTTGTTGTCGTTGCTAATGATGGTGATGATGATGATGATGATGATGATGGTGATGATGGTGATGATGATAAAGATGATGGTGATGATGGTGATGATGATAAAGATGATGGAAAAACGAAAGAAGAATAGAAAAAGAAAGAAAGAAAGAAAGAAAGAAAGAAAGAAAGAAAGAAAGAAGGAAGGAAGGAAGGAAGGAAGGAAGGAAGGAAGGAAGGAAGGAAGGAAGGAAGGAAGGAAGGAAGGAAGGAAGGAAGGAAGGAAGGAAGGAAGGAAGGAAGGAAGGAAGGAAGGAAGGAAGGAAAGAAAGAAAGAAAGAAAGAAAGAAAGAAAGAAAGAAAGAAAGAAAGAAAGAAAGAAAGAAAGAAAGAAAGAAAGAAAGAAAGAAAGAAAGAAAGAAAGAAAGAAAGAAAGAAAGAAAGAAAGAAAGAAAGAAAGAAAGAAAGAAAGAAAGAAAGAAAGAAAGAAAGAAAGAAAGAAAGAAAGAAAGAAAGAAAGAAAGAAAGAAAGAAAGAAAGAAAGAAAGAAACAAACAAACAAACAAAGACAGACAGACAGACAGACAGACAGACAGACAGACAGACAGACAGACAGACAGACAGACAGACAGACAGACAGACAGACAGACAGACAGACAGACAGACAGAAAAAGAAGAGATGCAAACACCTACCTCCACCTTGCACGTAGAGATCCCTCAGATTTTTCTGAAACGCATCTGGATCTGTTGTGACTAGCACTGGACCTATCACTGAAATCAAACAGACCAGACAGTTGACTACACACATTGATACAGCTTTAAAACATGATCACATTTTCACCATCATTCATCCCCATAACCTTGCTGTACCCTCTCACGCCATCTCAATATAGGGGTCTGCGTGGTCTCGAGCTATAGCATTCGCCTCGAGTGCTGAAGGTCCTGGGTTCAAACCCCGGTGAATGCTATGAGTTTTTTACGTGCAGTTCTAGTAATTGCCCCCCGGTCTCTGAGTAGTAAGTTTGGACGCCCGTGTGTATTGTTGCGCAATTAAAAAAAAAAGTCCATTAGAAGTTGGAAATCTAAGAATAGCATAACGGCGCTGCCCGGGCAAAATTTGGAGTTAAAAATATACCCACATAGTATTTCAGGATCCTCGCCGTTGCAAAGGATTTCGTGCACTTGGCTGAGATACTTCAGACTCAGGCTTGACTTAGAAGCTGGACTGACCCACCCGCGTTAAGAAAAACTTTGCCAGTTATAGACTGGGATTTCAGGACCACTGTTGTCAACATGTGTGTTTAGTCTGTTTCTTCACAGACGCTCAGTTCTCATCCTTTCTGTGATCATTCTTCCTTTATTCCCATTCCCTCTCAATACTTAACACATACATATACATGCACACACATACATACATACACATACATACACACAGCGGCATTTGAAAACAAGCTACTTACTATCTGTATCACTTTCTTCTCTTCTACCCTCTAACCTCTGTGTGTTTGAAGTATGAGGTTTGAATAACGGATCAACATCATGGCACACGGGTAACCCATAAGTGCCGCTTTCTTCTCTAGTCGGAGTCCGAAGAAGCTCAGCACAGTGCACAAGCTCTGTAGCACCGACGAGGATCCTGAAATACTTTGGGTAAATTTTGAACACTAAATTTAGCTCAGGCAACGCCGTTAGGCTACATTTTTTAGATTTCCAACTGCCAAGGGATTTTTATACGTGCGTAACAATGCACACGGGCGTCCGATCTCGCTACCCAGAGACCAGGGGGAATTACTAGAAGTCTGAGTCCACGTGAAAAAATCCCAGCCCTTAAACCCGGAACCTCTAGCACTCGAGGCGGACACCTATCCTCTGTATATTACACATATACACGTACATTCTTTCTCTCATCCCCTCTCTCTCATATACACACACTCTCTCATCCTCTCTGTCTCACAAAAACTCTCTCTCATCATCTCTCTCACACAAACTCTCTCATTCTCTCTCTCTCTCACACACACTCTCTCTCATCCTCTCCCTCTTTCACACACAGTCTCTCTCATCCTCTCTCTCTCTCTCTCTCTCTCTCTCTCTCTCTCACATACACGCTCACCAATGTCTGTTTGTTTGTTTTAGTATCCAGTAGTCATGAGTTGTTAACCCTTAGGCTCGGTATTATGAATATCGCAATCTTTCGGCCTTAATTCCATTGTAAATACCGTAAATCTGAGAGAAAATGTGGCTTTTCTGCCTACCCCTGGGATTGAACCCGGACCACAAGGAGTTCGTCACCCGGTCTCCGCGCAATCCGTTTTAGCCAACCACGCTAGAGAGCCGGACTCTCCAATGTTTCTGACCAATCAATACTCGGTTATGAACACACAGTCACACACACTCACCAGCACTTCAACATAACAGTCACATGCACAAACATCTATCCCCCCACGGCAACATCCCCGCACACATA